GTCTGGCACCAATAACAATTCCCAGAACTTTGGAAACATCCCTCGTATATAATGACATAAGTAGATATGTTCAAGAGAAATAGAATATATTAAATATTTTAACACAATGTGTTGGATTGGGAATGTACCGCTTTATACTATTTAAAGGCAAACAAAAAAATTCATACTTACAGGGCGATCACAGCTGAATATGCAAGTAGAAAAAATGAACAAGAAATGTTCAAATCGTTGCCAAAGAATAGAAACTAATTGCCTTATAAGTTGCGAGTTGTTCATTAAAAAAATCATATACGTCTACATACAGGGTCACACATTATTCCATTACAACAAAGTTTATTATATTGTAGGTCTAAGTAGGATCTAGAGAAATGAATTGTGATCGGATTACAGGTTTACGAGGGTGGATCAATAAGTACTGTATAAAGGCAGGTGGCGTTGCTGAGGGAAGTTGGCATTACTGTCGTGTACTGTCATCTGTCACACGACACCATACTAAGGGTATGGTCCGTTATTAACCCACTACTAACCGCAACCAACCAGGATTTTTTGACAGCGGTTACTGAAAAGTTGGTTACTTTTGGACCACGGACGAAAGGTCACGTCATTTCTGCGACAGATTGACATTCGACTAAACGGTAACCGTAAAATTATAGCGGTTAGAAGATTGACGTTTGAGTCACCATTTTTCAGGGAACCGCGTCCCAAATTTAACCGCTTTTTCAGAAATGTCAAGAGAGCGGTTAGTTTTGGACCGAGTAACCGATATTTCGGTTAATAACGGACCATACCCTAAATTTCAAACTGATTCATAGGTTGGTTTTTATTTGGCAGTAACTTGTACCATAATCGATAAAATGGAAAAAGAACAATATCGATCCGTAATTCGCTTTTTATTTTTGGATGGAAAAACATGCGATGAAATAAAAGCAACGTTGGATGCTGTCTATGAGGACCCTTCACAATCTATGACAATCGTAAGATATTGGTTCAATGAATTTAAACGTGGTCGTACATCTGTTTTTGATGAGGAGCGACCAGGTCGCCCGGCAGACGTTGTCACCGAGGAAATCGTTAAAAAGGTCCAAGACATGATTGTCGCAGATAGCCGAACGAAAGTGCGAGAAGTAGCAGAGGCCGTAGGCGTATCATACGGAACGGCAATTAATATTTTGCATGATAAGTTAAACATGAGAAAGGTATCGGCCCGATGGGTGCCGCGATTGCTTACGGTGGACAACAAGCGGATACGGCTGTCAATGTCGAAGTAGTGTTTGGAGCTCTTTAATCGATATTCGCAGGAGTTTTTGCGTCGAGTCGTCACCGTTGATGAAACATGGATATATTAATAATTAATATACGCCAGAGACCAAACGACAGTCGAAGAAATGGATTTTTCGGGGTGAATCTGCTCCGAAGAAAGCAAAGACGGTCCCATCGGCCGGAAAGATCATGGCCACGATTTTTGGGATTCCAAGAGAATAATCCTTATCGACTTTTTTCAGAAAGGAAGTCCGATCACAGGGCAGTATTAGAGTGAATTATTGGACCGATTCGATGCAAAATTGAAGGAGACACGGCCTCATTTGGCTAAGAAAAAAGTCCTCTTTCACCACGATAACGCACCAGCACATTCATCGAGAATTGTCGCGGTCAAATTGTAAGAACTGCAGTACGAATTGCTGCCGCACCTACCGTACTCGCCCGACTTGGCTCCATGCGACTTTTTTCTATTCCCCAACATGAAAACGTGGCTCGGGGGAAAAAAATTCAGCTCTAACGAGGAGGTTATCGTCGAGACTGAAGTGTATTTTGCGGAGTTCGAGAAGTCATATTTTTTTGAAGGGGTTAAATAAATGGCGGAAACGTTGGGAAAAGTGTATAGCACTAAAAGGAGATTACGTTGAAAAATAGAAATATTTTTTTTTTTTTAAAAACTTGTCTCTTCCTTTCTAACACGGGTACTTTTTGATCCACTCTCGTATTTGGCTCGAGCATTGCCATAATTGCTTCTTTATATTGTATATTTAAATCAGATTGTGAGCTCCTTTCCGCACCAACCATGAGGTGAAGACCCCAATACGTTTTATTTTTAAGTCGCATCTCCAATAGGATGGCCACAGTTAAACATGCAAGATGAAAAAAATCAACAACATATAAAATTATTACAAAAGACTAGAAAATTAATTGCTTGCCAGTTCTTTATTGAAAAAGCTTATAAATAATACAAATAATATTTTAAATAGGCAATAACAAACTTTGTCAAACTGACATAGTTTTTGGAATAACTGGAATTTAAAAACATTTAATGGTTCCTCAGTATGAGCAGATAAATCTGGGAGATTCTCCACTTTTGAACTGTCTTCTTAATTGTATGTTTATTGTGAGTTTTCTTCTATGAAATCCATTAATTTCAAGTTAGGTACACCATGAAGTATAATTGTCACATTTACCTATTGCTACACATTCATTTAAGAAATAGCCCTTTCATGTTACTGGTTGTTCAGATATTTAACATAAAAATCATTATTGTCATTTTTATAAAACAATTGTTGATATTTTTATAGTTTACAGCTTACCTGTTCTTCTCTTGATTTTTCAAGAGCTACTCATAAACAATATGATTTGAATATATTTTTTTGTTTTTTTTTTTTCACCCTGTTCATTCAATTGTGAGTACGAAATTTTTTGTCTGCCTCCAAATAGTACAAGGCGGTACATTCCTAATCCAACACAGGTTGTCAAAATATTTAATATACGATACTAGTTATAAGATTCAATTTTACCAATAAGAATTTCGAACGAGTACATCGAGAACTATACAACATCAAATATTGAGTCTTTGACGATGGTATTTTCTTTTTTCATATAAATTAAAATTTTCCTTGGTTTATTCGGTCGTTTTTATTTTCTATTGTTTAGCACAGCACTACATATGTTTCGGAAAACTTTTTCATCTTCGGGTGCAGCCAAAATTTATTGAAACATGGGGACGATTACAAACAATTTAAATAAAAATTTTTTTTTGGCATTTCAGCTATTTTTGTTCGATGGAAATACCTACTTTGACCGAAAAAGAACAATATTTAAGTGTGATTATTGGTGTCCATTCTAAAGAATTAGGGATTTTTAACTTCAACACCCTGTATCTCAAAATCTAGTCGTAGATTGGGCCCATGGACACTTTTGATGGGGACATCAATTTAACATATCAAAAATTCAGAAGTTTTGACAGTACTCCCGTTTGCATAAGAAAAGTGCGTGGTCCTTTTTCCATTGTTTTAGTTTTATTTATTTAATTAAGTTTGGATAATTAAAAATGAGGAAAGAAATGAAAATATAAAGTCACACTGTAACTATTACAACAAACTGCCTATTCAAATAATCAAGATATCATGGATCTAAGAAAGTTTAAGGGTACAATATTTGCCAACATAATACATATTTAAAAGAGGATTTTTTTAAGGTTCCTTGCACCATTATGCGTTGGAAAAAGAAGACAGACAAATATTGAAAGAATTGAATTTTGATATTAAGGACTTTTTCTTATTTTTTCACTACTAAAGCTAGCAATTACCTGCTTTAGTAGTTCATTTCTTTTTTCTTTTAAATATGAGACGTTTGATTTTGCCGTCAATAATTTAATCTAAACATATTCTTACAATATTTTTCTCTAATTGTTTTTATTATAGACGATTTCGGCATAATATTAAAAATCGTCATCTTGTCTTGTTACTTGTTATTTTAAGGTCATATGTTTATTTAATTTTTTAAATTATAGTGCTAATCTAATAAGATAATGTCCAATATAAATTTCATAATAAGTACATAATTATAATACATTATGTAAAAGTTATTTTAGGAAAATAAAAAATTTCTACTGCTACTTTTACCGGTTGTGATACGGATATTATCAATTAGTAAACAATTTTCTTATTATCATTTAAGCTTTTAGGCATTTAGTTCTTTTCTGAAACCGTTGCATCAGATCCATCTTTTTCATGGAATTCAAATTATTATACCCAATTCTTGCAAAGTACATTATTTTACAATTATTTGTTAAATACCCTGTATGATTCGAAGAGATAAATATCTATTAGTAATGCTAAATTAAAGTTATCTGTCTGATAGTTACTTTTGTTATCAGAATAACAACAAAATTAACTAAACGTAAAATATGAGTAATTTATTGAACATTTACAACTACTTTTACTGATAATAATAACGCTATTTGGAATTAAATATTCAATTTTATAAATATGATGAATCGAAAGGCAAAGTTGAGTTTATTATGTACATGTTACGGGCAGTGTTGTAAATTGGGCACTGACGATATTGACCGGACACTAACGTCAGCAGAATACCCAATCAAATAGGTGATTTACGAAAATGATCGGCCAATATCGTTAAAGACCGAAATATCATCTTTGACCATAACACAACATACCATGTATCAAAAAGTTTAAGAGCTCCCTAACTAATAAATTTTTGAACACACAATTCACAATAAAGTTACCTTATGTTTATAGCGTCAAAAGTTTTATTCATTTTATTCTTGTTAATATATAAGCATATTGAGAAACTTTTTCTTTAAATCCGTTCCCGTTTAATCCCTGGCGCAAACTTAAAAGCTCTTTCTGACTTTAAAGCATTTTAAATTGAGATTACGAAAACTCCGAAACTATTACCGTCAACGGTTTCTTACTGCTTGTCCTTTTCGTTTTATAGCAGGATAAAATCAAATCCCAGAAAGGATTTTAGTAATTTACTTCTGTACCAGCTAAATGTTCGCTTATTTGAAATTTGGTAATGTTTTATTATAATGAATTCTACATTCTACGATTATGCTAAATATTTTGAATTAACTTTTTACTGCATCTCCCAAGTCGCAGTTACTAAAACCAGTATAACACAAACTACCTACATAGCAGTAGTCAAACTAATAAATAATATAAATAATAAAAACATGAAATTCCTTTTAAAACCAACCGATGTGGCCGTAGATGGTATTCCCCAGTCTAACGCCCACGGTGTGATGCATAAACGTAATCTACTGCAGACCGTGATGGCACCCATACCGGATCTTCGCGCCGGAATCAACGATCCGGCAGATCCTTCTGCTTTCCAAGGTAATTTCTTCCTCTTCTACTGTTCATCTCCCTCAGATCTTCGGATCGATAATGTAGTTAGTAACACCACATAGTATCGACTAACAATAATTTATTGCGCATGCATTAACATTTTAACCTATTAACTCATTAAGTTGGGTAGAATGTGGACAAGGTTTGTCAAATGAGTAGAGTATAATTATTGCTATAGAAAGCCTCAATTTCAACAAAAAGTAGGTAAAATAGGGTTTGTAAGTAGAATGCAGATATAGGTAGAGTGGGATCGACCAAGCTTTGGTAATTTACTTCGGTTATGACTAAATATGACTAGAAGAATCATGGTCTGTCTCTTATAATACATGTTTTGAGATATAATTAAAGAACATTCGCTTGTGAAATTCAAGAAAAAGTGGGATGGAATAAGAAGCAGCAGAGTTGCTGCCTATCTTTTAAGTTACCCTGACAACACTATATCAACCTAGACTATGACTAGACAAAATCTACAAGCATTCTTACTGATCATTAATCATTACCAAGGACAGAAACATATCCACAGCATGGGGCTGCCAAAGTCAATAGACACACATTTAGGCGTCGTTTTCACCCATATTTTCAACTATATTAAATCTGTAGGCTGACTGACGAGGTAAGAGAGTCCTATCAATTCAGGAGGATACACAATGGGTCTAATAAGACCTAAGTGCTGTGGGGCAACCCACCTTAAAGATACAAGTACTATATTTTTGATGATACTATAACTCGTTCAAAGACCTCACTAATGAAAAGCTATCGATGTTTACAAACAAAAATTTGATAACAATGGGTTTAATAAGACCTAAGTTCTGTGGGGCAATCCACCTTAAAGATACAAGTACTCTATTTGTATCGTATGTCAGTATATGGTCGTATGTTACTGTCAAGAGAGTAGATATAGTCCGTCAGATAGTGACAGATTTAAGTGCCCTAATTTCGCATACAAGCCTCGAAGAGGGTTAAAAAGTACATCAATTTTAAGTAGAATGAAAGAAAATTTACGAGTGGCTGCTGGGGATAACACATGGAAAATTCGATTTTCCCTAACTAAAACGAAAGGTTATTTGTTGCCCATTTTTCCAGACAAGCCTTTTTCACTATATGATTAATTTATAGAACTTAGCTTCGGAAAACCAAAGGCTTTAATGTGGCAAGTGGCTAAAGGGTTGAAATAAGGGCGTAATCTTCTAAGGAAAAATCGTGATTTTGCCAGATTTTTCCACACAAGCCTATCGAATGTATGAAAACGTACGTCGTCAGTATTCCGAAAAACATTTTCTTGAATGACCCGAATGTATAAGTGCATTTTGGGGTCGGAATTTTCCATGTGTTATCCCTAAGAGCCACTCGTAAATTTTCTTTTATTCTACTCAACATCGAAATACTTTTCAACCCTCTTCGAGGCTTGTATGCGAAAATGGAACACCTAAATCGGTCACTATCTGACGGTCTATTAAACTTTCTACTGAGGTTACTATTTATAGCAATAAAATGGGAAAGAATCCCAATATTTCAAAATATGTGTTTTGTGAGACTGCTATTTAATTGTTCTAAATCACCCACTAGGGTGTAAAAACCGATATAGATTTTAATTTATATAGAAGCCGAGGCTAGTGTTGATAAAATAGGTGATTTAAAGTTTTGTTAATATTGCAAATATGAAATATTAGTCAATAATTCAGATTTTGCAAATTAAAGATGTAAATAAATTTCACAAATTCAAATTTATTATCACTTAAATTCTGAAAAATAGAATTATCACTTTCTGATATCGAATTTTTGTTTGTAAACATCGATAGCTTTTCATTAGTGAGGTCTTTGAACGAGTTACAGTATCAAAAATATAGAATTTATGGGTTCTTCCTTAATAAAATGCCATTCACAAAAATGTTTCTGAAGTAGACCATGATCCATAAAATTGAGTCATGTTTGTTATAACTACAGATGCTTCTGAATCAAATCCAAATTCTCATTTAAAAAAGAAGTCTTACCTTAGAATTATTTTTTTTTTCACTTTATATTGGGTACTACGTAAGTAATTTTACTTTTAATATGTTACTTTAAGGGGTAATACGAGGTTCTATTTAAAAATAAGAACTTGACTATCGCGAATAGATATAGTATGAAGAAACTTGCCAGGAAGGGCTCAAGCAATCCTTTTACAAGACTTTAGCCCTCATTGGACTTCTCCAAAGATGTGCGATAGCTTTTATTAATACATTCATAGATCGGTAAAATATTGAAATAATAGTAAATTGTATTCGCTAGATATGATGAAATTACGAAGATCTTGAAAGTCGCACGGTTCCGCCTATGGAATTTTTGTTATCACCAACTCAGTCACCGTGGTTATAAAACCACTCGGTGTGAGCTTTCAATTACTTGACGGGTGGGTTCGGTAGGATTATAAATGCACGACTTACGGCATATTAAATTACTGTTAGGCGACGCGATGGTTCAAATGCCTCAATATACTGTGATAATTTTTCGGAAATTTGAATAGTTCGTTATAGAATTTGGAGAGTGACGTATTAGTGGTTTAAATCCTAGCGGACCATCGTATCAAAGATGGTTGGTGAGGTTTTCCTCACCTGTAAATCAAATGTCACCATCAATAATCTATAATTCGCTCTGAAGCGACAGGGTAAATGATAATGATAAAGAATAATAAAGAAGACAGAGCTATAAGTCATGTCTGTTATAACTTCAAGCGCCTGCCTTTGGATTAAATCCAAACTGTCACATAAAAAAATTGGAGCATACGTAATTTTGTTCATGGCTTACTTAAAAACATTTTTTGTGGAATTCTTCTGTCAGAGCTTCTGGAGTTAAGTCGTAAGGAGGTAAATTATATGGATAGGATTATTAATACTTATATTTCACATTGCCAACGAAAACTTGTTAAAAAATATTCGTATTTTTACGAGGAAATTCTAGAAAATTTTCAGTAGTACCTCGTATTATATCAGAATAATTATTTAAAACCAATAAGAACGTCAATCATGTATCCCAGCCGGTATTGCCTTACAAGGTTGGTCGCCTTCTCTACCGACAGTAGCCACCTTACTTACGCATCTGTAACTTTCTTAATTTCTTGTTGCTAGCAATATAATTAATCCATCATTACATATTTTTTCTAAGCGTAACCTTATTCTAAAATCGAAATCAAATTCTACATTATATTTAGCTAGAAAATATTCTGTATTATTGCCATAAAAATGATACTTTTTAACTTATTTGTAGTTTGACCATTTTAGTTTTATACTATTGATATTTAATTATATATGGTACAAATCATTTTATTAAGATCTTAAAATGTAATTAGTTTTGTAAATAATTAAAAAAAATTAAATATCTACTTTTTATTATTTATTCTATCGTTTTGGATTACATTTATCCAACTTTGCTTCGTATATTTTTTGAATTGGTATGCCATTAATTTTTAGCGATCCTTCTGTTACATACAGTGCTGGCGGAATTAAACCTTCAGTCCTGCTTTTCTTGTATAGAGTGCACAGTAAATGACATTCGCAAGTGCAGGAAAGGACGTTGCCTGTGAATGGCTACATTGATTCTGGATCAAAAGTTTGATCTTGCCAGCAATGTATATATAACCATATTATTCTCATTATAGTAAATGAAATGCGGATTACTAAAAGAATGATTTACTTATCTTATGTAAAAATCAAATCAGTCCACATTTTATCCACTCATGCCCAGAAACAGCAGCTTATTAGATTTAGTTTGCAATATGCATGATCTTTCACTTAATAGTTTTCTAATTTTCACACATATTTGATTAATTATAAATTGCATGATTCAAATTCACTCCGATTCTAATTCTCCATTTGCGTGCGGGTCAGAAAAATCAATATATCTAAATAAACATGAATGAGTTTGCGGATATATGACTATTATGTCATACAGTATCATTGCTGTGCAATTGATTTAATTATTTATAGAATATATTTTGTTAGCCATTCGCAATATATAAAAATATTGTTATAGGTACTATTTAGAAATGATTTATATAGGGTGAATCCGACGTTGATACTATGTATAGAAGTTGTTAAAATAAACAACTTGCAAATAAGTTTTTCAAAAAAAATGTCCTCCACGATGTTTCCGCAAATTACCCGTATCCCTATAGCCCGTTGAGTTAGATTAATACAAGTTCTGGGACTATGATAGTTTCGCAGGGTAAAGCTATTAAAATCACCCAGACGACTGTCGTGTGAGTCATACATAAGAAAAATAAAAAAAAATAAAACAGATAAGAAACATAAACAGACTTCTCATTTAACTTAATTTTTGATACACAATTACAGGTCCTGATTTACATTTTTTAATTGTGTATTGTTAATCCTTAAGGTACATGCCGATGGAAATGGCATGATTTACAAATAATATTCCTGGGTAACGCAGTCAGCCACTGTGGTTGTGGTTTTGTGCGGTGGTTGTTGTCTAGAACAACGTGTTATTCAGCTTATATCTTAAAAACTGATAAATTGCCGAATATAAAATGTCTTATTTCCTAATATCAGAAGTGGTTGAACCCTATAAGTGCCCGTTTTGTTTGTTTTGGTTCACTTCGGCTAAATGCGTAAGAACTATTAATTTTAATGTTTGTTTTTATACTAGGAAATGATATTTTATATTCGGCAATTTATGAGTTGTAGGCACAAAACCACAACCACAGTGATTGACTGTTCAGACTAGACTGCTTTACCCGGGATCCCGGGAATAATATTTATAAATCATGCCACTTTCATTGGCATGTAACTTAAGCGATATCTTTCTTATATTTGAGTTTTTTAAAAAATATTTGAAAAACATGTTTTTAACGACTTCTGTACACAGTTAAAAAAGTATCAACTTATCAACCCTTCATAAAAATATTGATAAATATTATTAAAATTAAAATAAATATATAATAATACAACTAAATTTTTCTTTCCTGAAGATAGGTATGAAATAAAAATCATCAAAATACGAGGGTGTATTGATATCTAGTTAGCCTTGGCCAGTTCGTGGATAAACATAATAGTATCAGTTAGGAATTCCAACGCATGCGCGGATGATAATACGAGAATATAATGTGATATGTAAGACTTTTCATTTCAATTTGAGCTGTGTCCAGGCCGTTGGAGTTTATGCCGGTCGGCGTAGCCAGGTATGGGTTGATATTTTCTCGTGGCGGCAAAGCCGCCACCCTACGAGAAATTGTTGCTTCGTCTTCTTGTTGTATATTCACGGACCGACATGCGCATGGAATGCTTTACTACGAATACCGCTTTGTGGTTTTGACAGACAGGGTCAATGATATATACAGTTATATAGATTGCTAAAAGCGAGTCACATTGCGCGCGTCTATATTGCATCGCAAGTGCTTATTAATCAAATTCGGTTTAGCAAAAATGGTTTTAAAATACATTTTTGCTAAACTTATTCTGATTAATAAGATAAGCAGTTGCGAGGCAATATGGCTGCTCACAAAACGACACGCTTTGAGCAATCTATACAACTAAATATGGATCATTGACCCTGTCAATGACAGCAGCCCACTGGATTGCCATATTTAAACTGTCATTTCCCACTTGTCATCATTTTGACAGGTCGTTGGAATTCCTAATTGGAAACATGTCATTTCACGTCAAAAAGTCAAATAGTAGCCATGTAATATAATTTTTAACCGACTTCAAAAAAGGAGAAGGTTCTCAATTCGTCGGTACATTTTTTTTATGTATGTTCAGCGATAATTCTTTAACACGGTGTCCGATTTCAATGATTCTTTTTTTGTTAGAAAGGGTGTACTTCAGGGGTGGTTCCATATAAATTTGGTTAAAATTTAATAATTGGGTCTATGAGAAAATCCTAAAACTCTTCATTTTTTCTATCTGTTTAGCGATAATTCTTTACAACCTTGTCCTCTTTCAACGATTCTTTCTTCGTTAGTAAGGGGGTGACTCAGGGGAGGTCCCATACTTTTAATACTTGTTAAGAATATAAAATCAACAGATATTGTGAAAATCGAAAAATTGGAGCATCGAGTACTCATTAAATAAAATGTTTAAAGGGTTCATAAGGTAATCAGATTTACAAATGTGTTTCCGATTTTGGAAATATTTACAGTTCCATGACCTGATATACGGTGAGTCAATGAAACGGGACGATTTCAAAAAATCAGAAAACATACAAAAAATCTGAATAAGGATACTTTCCTGACCGTAATAGAATTTTATATAATTAAAAAGTGCCAAAGTTTATTTGGTCAACAGTTTTTATTTTTTATTAATTAAGTACTACATATATTTCGGAAAACATTATTCCATCTTCTGGTGTAGTCAATATATTTATAAAAATATGGGGACGAATACACTTTAATTTTTTTTAAAAAATCTCCTTTTTGTAGATTATAAATATGCTGTTTTAATAATGCCTCGCCTTATGTGTCTATCAACGTGTTTTACAGATAAATGATCTCTACAATTGAATCAAATAAATATATTAAGAGTAGATTTATGCTAAATAATAACATATTTCGAGTTTTAAATTTTGTTTACTTCTACTTCTACAGTAGGCTTATAAAATATCAATACGTCCTCGTATAAGTTGTAAAATTTTGGGAGTCTTAAAAAGCTCATTGTTGGCTCCTCTAATGCCTTATTTGTCAAAAAAGGAAGTTGAAATAAAAGAGCTATCATAGAAGTATGTTTAATGATAAAATATTTTCTTCAAGAACATAGTAACAGAAAACTCCATTTTTGAAAGCTAACATAAATTTACAATCAAACATTTAACAAACAAAATATACGAATTTGAAAATTAACAAATATGAAAGTATTTTATACTTTGTTTATTAAAATTAAATGAGATTAAAAGCAGGTCAGTATTGCTTAATTAAAACACATATAATTACAATAGAAAATTAAACATGTATTGATTTATTATAGAATATTTGCTCTTAATGATTAAAAAAAATAAAGGATTTATTACTTCTAATTTCTATACTCTTCAGAGAGCAGCTCTCTTTTTCTATCAGTGGTCCCTGTACGTCCATTTTTCTCTTATTCAGTCTTTTTTCTTAGTTAATTTTTACCCTTTTTATACATTTTATTTTTTCTCTAATTTGAAATTTGCGTGTATGAGCTAAAAAAATTACCAGCTAAAGCTACAATATTAAACATTTTCCGACTAAAACTAAAAGAAGTATGTATTAATTTTCTTTTTTATTCATCTATTCACTTTGAATATATCGATTTCCACAGGAATGAAGGCCGCTTTATTATTAACTACTTTTATTTATTCTTTTAAAATGAATTATTATGATATTCCACACGAGCATGTCCATTTTTGAATCATTATTTTAATCTAGTTAGCTATTTAGGTGACTAAACTTAAATATTATTTATTATTAAATGACTCGTTTCCTTTTTGTCACCGATTTCGAATCAAAGTAATTAGAAAGATTTTTGCAACAAAATTATTTAGAAGACAAACCAAATGTAAGTAAAAAGTTTTAGTAAAACAATATGGAAAACAAATAACTTTGATTCGGATTTTAAAACATATCAACCAAATCATTAAGTGGCTTTTTGTGTGATGTGTTTGGTATCAAAACACTCTTCAAAATTCGTTTCTAACGGTTTTTTATGTTTTTAGTACAAAGATCAACGCCTACGCACTTCCCTCTTAGAAAATCTAATTCGTTGCAACAGAGCCAACAAAGCATAGTAACAGATATGACTGAAGACAGTCTACGAAGAGGTTCGGAAGAATCTTTTGTAGTCCACCGGGGGAAAAATATACCGACGCTTAGGTCTGTTGTTCAGGATGAACCTCTCATGCCAGCTCGTCTCAGGGTAAACTATTTTATTTATTACATATACGGGATGTTTTTTAAATGCATGTACATATTAAAACTGGTTAATATTTTCCTCGATTACACATAAATATTTATACCCGTTAATAAAGGCTTCATTAAGTTTTAAAAATTGGACTTTAAAATAAATGTGTGCTTTTACCATGTTGAGGTAGGTTAGTTAGACATGATTTATTTAATTTAAATAGGTTATTTTCGCTGGTTTAGTTCAATGCCAACAGCTGCCTAGTGGGTCTGTTATTGACAATGTTTTGATAGACAGGTAGCATTATTGTAGTGTCCTCATTTTAATTTTTAAGATTATTTGTTTTTATTTTCTTTAGAAACAGATACTTGATTAAAAGATTTTTTTGTATGACAGTTATTTTGGCAACTTCGAAATAATATTTTTGGGCATTAAATTTTTGATTGATGTCTTTCACATATTGATATAATTTTTGACGGAAATTGGAAAACTTGGTTTGTTTTTGTTAAAAGACTACTGTCATTGGAACACCAATAGTATTAACTAGACGTTAACTTCACGTTATATAGTTCACATATATTTAAATTCGCATGCTATAGAACATTCAATATAAAAACCGATACAAGTCATCAATCAGTTGTGAAGTCATAGCCTTGCAGCGTTGCCCAATCTTCAAAGTAGTCTAAGAATGTAGGAATTTTTAAAACTATGAGGTTATGTTTCTTTGGCTATGTTATTAGAAACAATTAATTTTAAATGTATAATGAATTCTATATGAAAGCCAATGAAGGTCGTTGATAATGTTTTAATTGAAGTTTTAGAAAAACACATAATTTAATAGTAATAAATTTTGCACAAGGGGTTTAAAATGACAAAAAAAGGTTAGGTTAAGGATGCAAAAACAAACAAATTTTATTTAGGCTTGATTTAATTTACAATAAAAAATAATTATGTTCAGTTAGTTTATAAACATCCATATTTAAAAGAAGTAACAATAATTAGAACAGTTAGGTAATAAAATTAACAACATATGACATTTTAAAACTTAAATAATATTTAAGCTAAAATCAGTCAGAATAATCAGAACTAAAATCAGAATCATCTCTATTTGGTGTTATAATAATGGAAGCAATTTCCAATCGGTCCATTATATGCTCTCTTTCACATCATTTAAAAATTTCTTTTTTAGTGTGTCTTACACTGTTTGCCCACATTTGTGGGGTAATGGTTCGGAGTGCTTCAAACCACATGTCTATACAATCTCTTTGTGTCTTTCTATCCCGACCAATGTGCCTGTTATAATATTGTTCTGAAATGCCCCAAATCAGTTCTATTGGATTAAAAATACAATGGTAATGAGGAAGACGTAACACCTTATGTCCATACTGTTCAGCCAGCATATTAGCTACATATATTTTTGGTGGTTTATTACTAAAAAAATAAAATCATTTAAAAAATACAGAAAAAGTAGATTTCCATTACTCACCGTCTAACAAGGTTCAAAAGTTCAGCCTTAAACTTGGTGACTGAATAAGGTATGTTCTGATTCGTCAACCACTCTTGAATTTGAACCTTAATCGAATTACTATTCGGTGTTTTGTTTGCCAATGTGCTATGGTATGAAGCATTGTCCATTACAATTAAAGATGGTTTATGCAGTATTTGAAGCAATTGTTCTTTGAACCATTTTAAAAAAAATTTCATTATTCATCTCACCGTGATAATCATAATCATTGCTTTTTGAAGCAAATATGGCCTCGGCACCATCAATAAATCTATTTTCGTTTCCAGCATGAAGAATTATATATCTATAAAAAAACATCAATATACAGTTAACATGTATATATTCATTAGTTTTTTTTTTTTTATTAACCTTTTACCATCAACTTTTGTAGTTTTTACACTTCTTTTATTGCTCTTGCCAAGAACGGTTTATGGTACCATTTTGGAAAATCCAAGTCTCATCAATAAAAACAAACTGGTACAAATTTGCTTCCTTTTCTTTGGTATATTTTCTTAAAAATTCCTCCCGTTTCACGGCAATATCTGGAAGTTCCCTAAGACCTCGCCTTGGTTCATCTTTCTGCCATTTGAAACCTATTTCTAATAATAAGGTATGCAATGATGTGCAACATCCATTGAACAACTCCTTCTTATTAAGTTTCACCAATATAGAATCTAAACTTACATGCTCCTCTGAAATCATACATTAATTTGTAATTATCTAATAATAATTTATATACATATACACTTATTAGACTCGTACATGCTATAAATAACATCTCGAATAGCACTGGTATTCAGAATTCTTGTGTTGGTAACTTTCTTTTGCTTAGAGCGCTTGTTTGGTGGTGACTTTAGAACTTCACTGTTCTTTACAGCTTGTGAAATAGAACTAACAGTAGAAAAATTGATATTAAGTGCTTCTGCGACACGCTAAAACAAAATAATTATATTAATTTGATGGTGATACATTATTAATCAACTCACTTCTCTTACAGCTGTTAAAGGTAACAAAGGACCATTATTATCACGTTCTTTCTCAAAATAATTTATTAGAGAAGCCGCTAGTTCCTTGCAGCGACCATTTAATTGTTTTGGCATTTTTCAATGAAAAAATATACAATAAACGAACACCACTATCAGTTTTTTAATAATTTAATCTAAAATACAAATAATTTGTTGAAAAGAAATCGATAGATGCAAAATAATACAAAACAAATAACAATTGACAAACAATGTATTAAAATTGAAAGCTGACACATTTGATGCCAACTTTTATTATGAAATTCACTAGAAAGTATTCCAGTACATTTACTACTGTGATATGATAAAAAATATATTTTTAATATGCAATTTTATAAAAATGAACTCCATGCGTCTAAATTTATTCATTTATTTGCAAAATAAAATTTAATTATTTTTATTAATGTGTGTGGTACCAATAACTGTCACTGACGTCATCTCTGACGTGCATCGGTTTTTATATTGAATGCTCAATAGCTGTCAATTTACACTTTTACATTCACAGGATCACTTCAAAATTCTAATATTCGGGTAACAGTTGTTGTTTACGACTTAACGTTTTGTGGTCATGTTTTGTCTAGTTAGGTTTTCATATGAAAGAGAAAATTGTGACTTTGAGACTTCACCCTTTTTAATAAGTACATATATTTCAAAAATACCCTGTATATTAATTATTTGAATAATGGCTTCTTAACGAGTAGATATCACAGTCGTTTAGCATTAGGTATTCAGTTATCTGCCTTTAGCAGCCAAAGACAAAAAAGACACTGATTCATATGCTGTGTCATACTATATGTGTGTTTTTTTAGCTTGCACGGATCTGTAGGATTTAAAGGGTGGCGTTTTAACAGTAATTCATTTATTGCTTCATTTTTTTATATTGCAATGTGGATTATCTTCTAGATAATATTAAAGTCCGAAACCAGTCAGGAATAATAGTAGTCATTCATTGACAAGGCTAAACAACTAATTAAGAAGCTAAACTGTCACATTTCCACGTACTTAAACTAACAAAATGTCCTTAGGTGAACAAAGAAAAACAAAACAACGATACGAAAGCCGACGAACGAGGCGAAATGGCGGCAATAGCGGCGGGAAGGCCGAGTAATTGGGAAGAAAATAGAAAAAGTACGTACGCAGGTCGAAGAAGTAGACGAAATTCTACGACGGAAGATTCTCAGTTAACCATAGAAAACTTTGGGGGTAGTCAAGATAACCTCAATTTTATTGGAAGGAATCCTGATAAAGAGGTAATAATATTTATTAATCGACAACGGAAAGTATTGAACTATCTTGATTATCATCTCAGTTTTAAAGACATCTGTAGATCCAAGGCTTTTACTACATATATTTTTCAATTTTCTCTTATTATTCAAAGTTTTATACTAATTTCTTAATTCGATAGTGTCTAAAGTCCTGTGGCACTGCACAACGCGTTAATAAACACTATAAGATAATTACTAAAAAAACTTGAAGAAATGGCAGTGACTTAAGTCTCATTCGTATACAAAGATGATTCTAATGCCAATATATAGCTTGATTTTTGCTAAAAATGTCAAGTTGATATCCTTTTTCGTTTTTAATATTTCAACTCCTTCATTTTAATTCAGAATTTTTCAGAATCAAAGGGATTCTTCCTCTTATATATAGATCTTGATTTTTGCTAAAAATTTGCTAAATATATCGTTTTTGTCAATTTCAAAAATATTTAAATAATAGGTTGAGAAGGAGATAGACTTACTTATATCCCTTGGATGTCATTTAAAAATGGTTTCTTAAAATAATTTGGTGCAAGTAACCTCGAGCATATCCTTCTGACATTCGTTTTAAAGAGACTAGCATTTTGGATATTCGTCGACTATATAGAGTAAAAGTATACTTTCTTTTAATTATAAAAATAAAAACCTGTATATTTTAAAACTGGATCTTGCTTATATCACTTGAGCTAACACAGAGGGTTGTGCCAAAATTCCTATTGCTCTGAAATCTGTAGTCAAAAATATTTATTTCATGTGTATTATACCTAAATTAAATATCTTGTATAGGGAAACAAAATGTTTTTTTTTTTTATTAATTGGTTTTCAACATTAAATGTATGTTTCTGTATAATATATAGTTTTAGTTATTTTATTCTTTGATCCATATAAATAAAATTAGTATGTTCCATCAAGATGTTAAAAGCAGCTTTAATGCACAGCTGTTTTTGTCCATTATGACAGTAGTTGTTATCACTTTTTTCTTTTCAAGTTTTTGTAAACTGTGTACCTATTTTTGACCATTGATGAATAAAAAGATATTATTATAAATGCAAATTTCGAAAATTTTACCAAAATGATTTAAAACAAAAATATGGCGATAATTGTTGAATAGAGATGCATATACTGACTTAAAAATTAGACATACCCATACGATTTTAAATTCATCTGTAAAATAGCAATTTGGCTAATTAATGCAACACTTTTTATTTTAATACTCTAATTCTAAAGTTTCTGTATAATCACTTTTTTTAGGTGGCGGTTCACGTTGGGCGAAAAATATCAGCGCCATCATTTCCCATTCCCATCGAGAACGCGCCGGTAAGGTCTTCCTATCAGGATGCCCGTAGCACGCTCCAATTGGGTTACGAAAACGGCTGTGACGAAAAACAGGACAACGGGACGGAGAAATACAAATTGAAGAGGCAACTGAGCAGCGATGACATCGCTTTTAGGAACGTCGGCTCGCACTTGAACAAAGAGAACATCATTAAAGATTTGGTAGATGGAGAAGTGACGAAAAGGATGAGCTTCGCGGATTTGGGGAAGCAAAAGGCGCTGGGGGAAAACAGGGGGATTCAGCTAGTCTATATGAACGATAAGGAGGAGTTTCCGCAAAAGAGTAGTTTTTTGACGAAGCTTGGAAGCACAAATGGTAATTGACAATTTTATATAAATACATTTACAAGTAATAAAAATAAAAAACTTAGTAATAAACTTGGTAATAAACTTAGCAATAAACTTAAACTTAATAATAAACTTATTAATAAACTTAGTAATAAACTTAGTAATAAACTTAGTAATAAACTTAGTAATAAACTTAGTAATAAACTTAGTAATAAACTAAGCAATAAACTTAGTAATAAACTGAACTTAGCAATAAAGTTAGTAATAAACTTAAATTTAATAAACTTAGTAAAAAATAAAACAATGTTTGTAATTACCAATAATGTTCAAGACGAACATTGAACAAAATGGTTAGACCAACTAAAGAACCATTTTTGTTTATTATTTAAATTAAATTGAATATTGGAAAATTATAACTAAGAGAAAAACTGAATTAACTACGATACATACCTCTCCGCTTTCTGCTAGACTAATTAAAGAATTGTGTGAATTGCAGCGAGTTTTTTAAAATTATCTTAATTCTTAGGCAATTCACACAAAATTCCTCTGCAGTTACTCGGCAATTTCTGTAATTCCCCGGTAATTTCCTGTCAATTCCCACAATTTTCGGCAATACCCACAATTCCTTAAATTGAAACCGGTTTTTTTTTTAATATAAAATTTTAGGTAGTGAAAAGAAGACAACGTTCGCAACTCTACCTAACACCACTACGTGGCAGCAACAAAGTTCACAAAACCAACAAGGCGAGTCCAATGGAGACGAATCGGCCCCCAACGTAATGAACGTCCAACTCAACGACATCCGATTGAAGCTCGAGGAAAAACGAAGGCACATAGAAAGCGAAAAACGGCGGATGGAGATAGCGATGAACAAACAAAGACAAAAAGTAGGGAAAGCAGCTTTCCTTCAAGCTGTTGTTAAGGTAAGATTAAGTAGGGAATTGCATTGTTCACTGTTTCCAGTATCGGTATCATTTGTTCCTATCATGCATCAGACATTTACCCTTATTCGTGGTGTATATACATATATATGGGATTATTTTTTTTTTAAATATAACAAATCGAGGGCTACAACGCAGAACCTAAAATTTCAAATGAAAATTATATTTTATGATAATCTCGTTTAAAATATTGCGATCCATCTACTGTATAGGTAAAGTATTACAATTATTGAACAAAACATGGCTAAATATTAGTTCTACTATAAAGTAGAATGGATTGTTCTATGCACTTGTGAATCATGTTTTTTACCTCCTGAAAAATCTTGATTTTGCGACTTAAGAGGTCCTGCCTTGTGGCTCTGAAAATGTCTTAATGGTTTACACAAGTTTTTATTTACTGAATGTATTTCAATATTTTTGTTTTAATTGTGTAAACTGTTGGAAAGTGTTTGGGTTGTTTGGGAACACCCTGTAATGTGAATGTGTTTTTTAGCTAACTGAATTGGTAAGGGTGCGCCATTATAATTTGTTTAAAAATGTTTATGCCTGGAATTTAAAGATTTATGCCAAAGCTCTAACGACAAATAATACCCAATTCGCCTTGTATCTATTTTTAAGAACCTTTTTTGATATATTTTAATTCTAATGTAGATAGATATTTATAGGGGTGTTAGGCATTACACCGGCATATTTCAAAGTCTAATATATACCAAAGCTGAAGGTCAAAATTACAAACACTTCTGAATTATCCTATTTTTAGATTAACTTCACAATTTTGAATCTATCTATGCTTATGTATTGAAAAAATAATCAATTTTTTATGCAATTATCATTCCTGAGCAATACATAGACCTGTTACCTATCATGAAAAATGTACAGTGCCTCGTTTTCTGTAACGGTGTGAGACCGAATGGGGGTAGCCATTACCATTAGATCTTCTAACTAGTACTATTATAGATAGTTCTATACTCACAATTTAAAGTGTGAAATCATTAATTATATGGTAATGGTATGTGCTTAGAATTTCAATCTTGTGAGACCATGGCTTCCTCCCTGGAACGCCGATCTTGGTCTTTTCTTTGCTCCATTATTTTCCATTTATTTTTGCTTCTCTGATAACGATCTTTCTTCTTGCAATTGACATTCTTACGTTTCGATGTCCCTGGGAATCACAATGTAATTCCTGAAAGACATTGTATGGTTTGCAGAAAGTCTGACCCATCAATCCTCTGTACCTACTAATAATTTGACAACAAATTGTGTAATTATGCGAATAGTACTCCTAATACACTGTATATTTAATTGCAGCTTGAGTTCATTAATATGATACAAGGCTTACAATAATCTCTTTAAAATATTGACATTTGCTATTGTTGAGAAAATTATGGATAACATTGTGTCCAAGTAAGAAAGGATGCCAGTCATTTCTAGGAACCGTTTATCAGACAGATCTGAGTTTTGAAATTGCAGATTCGCCACTAATGCTTATGGCCAATGATGAAAACTCTTTTTCTGCGTCAAAAATATGAAAATTGTAATCTGTCCGTAATTTTAATCAATTTTGACTCTTTGTCATTGGTCATAATAATTACATGAACATTCTGAGATACAAGTTGTACCCTGCAGTCGCTGATAGCCAGCTTCCTTTTTTATTTGGACACCCGGTACAGGTATTATTTGTCGATTATTTAAAAAGCATTTAGGACTTTTTACATATTTAATGTGTTTTCTTTTGGTAGTTAGGAATTTTTTTGCATGATTTTAAAAATCCTTCTTCTGAATTTTAATTAAATTTTGAAAGAATCTAGTTACAGTTTCCCAAAAAGTTATATCTGCAGTAGAATAGGAAATTATAAATAATAATTATTTAATATTTATCAGTTATATTTTTATTATACGTTTAGCATTGTTTTTATCTATGATCAAATTCTGAATGCCTCAACCATTAGGTTAGTTTTTGTTATAGTTTTTTTGCTTAAAAAGTGCAAGAAAGTTACATTTTTATCCGTTTTTTATCGTGGGAAGCATTCCTTTATACAAAAAACCATTTTATTTTAAAATAAAGAAACTTCTGTTCATCATAAGAGTGCTGGTACCATTTAATGATTCGTTTAAGAATTTTTCACTATACCAAATTATATGATTTTGGGTATATCAGTTGCATAAAAGATGGATATAATAATTCTCCAAGGAAATTATTGTATCCAATCTACGATTATTAGTGTTTTTAATACAACTATTAATGTGCTTTTTCCATAGATTTTTTTATAAAATCTTGTTGATTAATTTTGTAAAAGTATTTGAATAAGGATTATTGTTAGAATATCTTAAAGAAGAACTAAAAAAATCAAAGCAGGTCTAATTTTATTCCCAGGGAGACATCTTTCCACCCTCACTCTAAGCAATATATTATCGATAAGGTAATTTTATGATGAATTCAGCAAAAAATCTGTTATGTATTGCAAAGTGTAACATTTCATTTGAGAGAGGTTTGAACGGGAAGAAATATTCAACTTCCATCAATTAATAGCTGTTTGGCTCCAAATTAAAATTAATATTTTAAAAATCGGTCGCGGAAATATGAATTAAAAAATCTTCCAAAGCTCTAATGTTAAGTAATACAAACTTTAATCATAATTAACCTCAATAAATTAATAATACAATTATCTTTCAATTGAAGTGTCATGCTTTACAATATGAATCAGTTTTTTTCCTGCTTGGGGGTGCTAAAATCAAAACTAAGGCAATACATATTGCTGAATTCCTCATAAAATTACTTTTCGATGATGGGTCATACTTGGTACTTTTCCCATTTAAATTATATTTGTTAGAGTGACGATGTGGAAGGGAATGAAATATGACAGTTGAAGGTGTGATAGAAAGATGTCCCTCTGAAATAAAAATCGACCTGCTTTTGCGGTTTTTCAACAAATTCTTCAAAAAATTCTAATATACAGCCATTAACAGCTTTTACTGATTTATCAGCTACTTATTAAATAAATAGGAAACCAAATTAGTTGGATTTTATGACCTTTATGAGAAAATTAAAAGAAGTATTTCATGTTTGCTTTACAGATAACATACATCGTCTTTCTATAATAATAAAAAAATAAGTAAACAAATATACATAAAACTAGATAAAACAAATAATAAAAAATTCTCATGGTGTGTAGACAATGATAAACAAGATAAAGTACAGATGTTGTTATTATAAATTGTTTAGATGTTAAAAGGTGGTACAAAAATTATTTTCAAATAATTTATCAATCAAATTTTGTTGTACAGCATACAATTTTTCTGTTTTAGTTTTTGTAGCAGGTCTTTAACACACGATGGAACTATTAAAATGAATACAATGGGTCCTATGATTGAACGTTTACGTTATCCGTAACGTACATGTTAGGCTCAGTTTTAACAGTAATTAGGCAAGTTCGTATGATGAAAAACGGTTTCCAATACATTACTGTTATTTTCCGCCTGTTATGTTCTAATTTAACAGTTTTTCATCATACAAACTTGCTTCGTTACTGTTAAAATTCGACCTAACATGTACGTTATGGATAACATAAACGTTCAATCATAGGACCCAATAAGTGTTCGTAAACATAAGACGGTAAACGCATAGTTTTAAAGATACAGGGTGTTCAAAATAAATTTTAAAATAGGACTTTTTTAATAATGATTAATAATTGGATTATTGGTATGAGAAATCCTATTATGAAAACCTTTTTACTATAATAGCCGAGGGGGCGCTAGGTATTGTACTCTTTAAGGATTAAAATGAGTATAACGGTTGTCTTAGTATAATTTTTGTCTTTTTTAATATAACATTTTATTTCCTGTGATTTAATAAACAAAAAAGTACTAGTGATGGGACTTTTCATGAAAATTAATGTGTGGACATGTCCGGAAAAGTAAAAAGTAGTCGCCATTGGGCATAGAAGACATACAGTTAAAGGTTTCTCAATACTGTGACTTTTTTTCTTCAAAATACTTTGGGAACAATATTTGCTGTTTTAACAGACTTCAAAAAAGGAGGAGGTTATCAATTCGTCGCGATATTTTTTTTTGTTTTTTTCAGAACGAGCGTTGTTTATCTACTCATTTTGATTTTATAGTAAATTATAAAGCATATATTTTTGTTTGGGTTTCTGTTTCACCACTCATACTGGTGGTTACACCTATGAAACTTTTTTATAAATTTGTCAACATAAAAACATTATTTTCATCAGTACATTTCATGTTTAATAAATCAATTTACTATATTTACTGTATAATAACATTGCACTTCTTAAGCACTACTAGCACTTTTGTTCAAAAACACTTAGTGTCCTGGACTGCACGGGTGCCGGTAATTTTATTGTGACTAACTTTCAGGGAAGAGGTAATTTACTTAAATCATCTGATGCCGAGTCTAATAACTCGGCAGAGGGCTCAGAATCACACAGCCCCTCATCCGAATCCACAACTCCCTCACCAAAACCCCAGAGGCCGTTATCCCTACAGGTATTTTTTGTTTTTAGGTTTTGCTTTCGCAGCTTTTTTATTGATTTTTTTTGGCTGTTATTTTTCAGATTGTTTTTTTGAGCTTGAGTTTTGTCTTTCTGCATGAAGTAATTGTATTTTTTATTGTTTTAATATATTTATAAGTATTTAATTAAGATAGTAAGCTGTAATGTTTGAAATGCATAACTATGTATACTAATTTGACGGTATGTGAATTTACATCTATTCAAAATAAAGAAATGATGCATGTTTTGTATCCCTGTTAATATGTTACATTATACGATTAAAAATACGAGTTTTGATGACAAAAACTGTAATTTTTTTCGACCCAAGAATTAAATTAATACAGTATTTTAAAAAATATCTACAAACAAATGAATTTCCCCTTTACAAATAATATGTTTTTCTAATGACAGAGATCTACACTACATCCAATATTGAGAAACTTTGGAGGCGATTTTTAGTGTTCTGTACCCAAATTGGCATAAGTAACATTAAAATCACTTCAATATTTGTCTGTCTATTACACGAATTTTATTCTGATACTCAAGTACAGGTGATAACTAAAAGTATTTTTTTATCTTGATGCCATTTTTGAGGGTCTAAATTGAACGTCAGAATCATTTTTTGATCATCATGGAAGGGAGATGACATACGTTTTTTGTCTAAACTGACATGGTAATTTAACAAATAATTGCCTATTCAATTATAGTTGAACTTGTTATAGTTCTTGACGGAGGAATCCTCTAATATTTGTCAAAATGTTAATATGCTTCAATGTTCACACAGTTTAGCTTTTACTGCTTCTAAAACCAAACACTAATATTTTGAAATACAAAACAAATTTTAGTGAAGTACACTATTAGTATTGTTTTTCTTTTTACAGGACATCAATGAAGACGTTACTATACTCGATAGAAAGTGGTCGGATGAGGGACATACTTTGGTAGAAACCAGAACTCCTGATTTGGAGAACATGGATTTAGAAACATACCAACAATCCATTGCTCAGTAAGTTCATCCTGTTTCATGTATTTAACAATTTAACTAAATCATTAAATTTGGTTTAAAAAAATTCGGATTTATGAGGTGTGGCAGAAAAGTAATGAGACTGATTTTTTATTTTACAAAGTTTTTATTTCTTTCAATATTTTTGTTATCCCCTTGGGCAACTACACATCGATGGAGACGTTGTTCCCACTGTTCGTAGCAGCGCTGAAAGTCTTCAACCGTTATGGATTTCAGCATGTCCGTTACAGTCTTTTGAATGATTTCTAAAGTACCGAAATGACGGCCTTTGAGGACATTTTTCAGTTTAGAAAAAGGAAGAAGTCACAGGGACTGAGGTCAGGGGAATAAGGGGGATGGAAAATCATAGGAATGCCTTTTGAGGTCAAAAATTCTGTTATGGAGAGGGCGGTGTGACATGGGGCATTGTCATGATGGAGCAACCATTTCTTTGCAATGTCTGGTCTCACGCGAATGACCCTTTTTCGAGTAAAGCCTTCCTTGAAAGGCTCAGAAAATGGCTGTCATTTCGGGACTTTAGAAATCATCCAAAAGACTGTAACGGACATGCTGAAAACCATAACAGTTGAAGACTTCCAGCGCTGCTACGAACAGTGGGAGCAACGTCTCCATCGGTGTGTAGCTGCCCAAGGGAACTACTTTGAAGGGGATAACATTGATGTTTGAAAGAAATAAAATCTTTGTAAAGTAAAAAATCAGTCTCATTACTTTTCTGCCACACCTCGTATTTATCAGTCAATATATTTGTTGTTAAATATGAAGATATTTGAAATACCAAACTGCATCTTTCAATAGTCATCCTTAAGAAATTTTAAATTATCAACAACCTTTATTGATGCCGAATAATATATCCGTATGAACAACAATGATTTTTATCTTAGAATGAATTCTAGTCTACACGATATACAGTCAGATATGCAAAGATTAACTTCGCAACAAAACCAATTGCAACAACAGAATCTAATTGCTCAACAACAAAGGCAGATCCAAGCTCTTCAACAACAACAGCAACAGTTCCAAAGTATGCAGTCTCAACAACAACAGATACCTCAGTATAGTACGCAACAGCCTTATCAACAGCAAATCTACCAACCACCGCAGGGTAAGTACAATCTAATTTAAATTAAAAATCATTATTTAAAATCAGTGTCTCGTGTCTCCCACAAGAAAATGACATCAGCGAGGCATACGTCTTACGTTACGCGGCCAAATAGAAGAATTACCGGCAATGAGACATAGCAGGTGTGCCGGGAGGACTAAAATGCCAAATGAGGTGCGACACACGTATTATACCTATGGCGCTTAACGTGTTAATGAGGTCTCAGTTTTTAATGTGCTTTGTTTTAGGGCATATAGTACTTTAGTTATGAAACACATTGATTATAGTTTTACAATTGTAGTAAATTAATGCACTGTATTGTAATCTAAATAGGTTTGGTTGTGAAAACATTAATAAAATAATCAAATTGAATTAATTAAATTAATAATAGATTTTTATGTAACGTGTTACATACAAGATTTTTTCTAATTTTAACTTGATTATTTATAAAATTGTGTTTGGTTAAAAAATGATTCACCATCATTCTTTTGTAGGTTTCAATATTTCAGAAAATTGTTCTGTTTGATTGCCCTACAACTTTTTTTTGTCTTAAATGGTAATATTAAAAATAAGGGAGATGTACAGTGTTGCCGATCTGATTTTTGACATTACCCGCGGGAAATTTAAAAAAAATCGTTTTTATCCGTTATCCTTAAAGGAGTACGTCAAAATTTTACCCTCAACATTTCTGGACAGTTTCCAATAATGCTGTTCAATTATTTAAAAAATAAAACGCAATTTACAGCTTTTATTTTTTCTTTTTTGTTGTTAAACGTAATTGTCTTTTTTCATTTTTTGGAACTTTATGCAACTGGTTGCACAAAGTAGGTCGTTTTGACACTTGCGATTACAAAATATGTCACTTTATATGTCAAAAATTAGAAAAACATTTATTTTATTTTTAGTATATGCACCTCCATTACAAACATCTGCGAGCGCGCCGCATATACCTCAGACAATATTCGGCCAGCCTAGAGGAGTACCACAAGGACAATTTTTCTTGCATGATCAGTCGGTGTCGATATCGCCGGGTCCTCAAATGACACCACAGAGGCGGACGTGGGCGCAACAACCACAGCCACCTCCCATACCCATGGAATCGTACCATCAACCGGAATTGAGGACTTGGAGTAAACCAAATAATATACCAGAAACCAGAGGAGGGTTCGTCTTACACGAATCCGATAGGTAATTACATTTTTTAATCAGTATACATTTTTTCTTTTTTTGTGAGAGTAATTTTTCGCTTTAAATAATAGGTTATGGGTACATTTATATTATATTCAAAGTTTATCCATCAATTATTCATTTCATTTACATACTTTAATAAATAATAAACTTAAATATAAAATAACCACTTTTACTAATACATTTTAGAATTCATTGCTATATAAACAGGTGTGGTACCCTACTATATCTAAAGTTTTGTACTGTTTTGAACTATCGTCACGCTCTTGCACAGTAGATTAGAGGCGTTCTAATAAACAAATGTACGTTCAATGGATGATCTTTATAAAGCGTTACAACTAACATCTGACCATTGTGTATGATTAAAAGCAGAATCTTCTTGGACTGACATGCATATTTGGGCATACTTCAGCTGACAGCACGTACTGACACTTGTTTTTTGTTGATTATTATGTCAGGTGACGAACTATAGTAAAAAAAGGATTATCATTGAAAATATTAGATGTAAGGTAGAATTGATAGTTCAATAAACTATACAAAACCAAATCCCGCGTATTAAAGTGATACAAATAGTTTTGTGACTGTTCACTGAATGATATAAAAGTTATTCATTGGAACAAAATTTATATTTATTAATATATCAGATATAATTACTATTAAAAATATGAAAATTCTTGTTTTATACATAATCGAGAAAAGCCAAATAAAAATAATTTACCGAGAAAAAAAATTATTGACGTAGGTATCAAGACCAACCTAGATACCAGGAGGGCACCCGATATTCAGAGAGTCCCCGTTTCTTTGAAAGCAAATATCAGAACGGCGGCGGTGACGATCACACCTTACACCATTCGAATAGTTTCACATTGAGCCAACAGCACCTTCAGCAACATCAACACCATTCGAGCAATTATGGCACGTCACACAGCACACCCTCGGCCTCGCCTCAGCATCGGAATATCCACAGGCAAATATCATTTCTTTTTTTCATTTGGGTTAGATGGTTTTATTTTCGGATCATTTTAGGGTATAATTTCTGAAGCCCTGTATTTGATAATAGCAATACTTTCTATTCAAGGTTGGGCAAAACGGGATACGATTATATAAGTACATTAAAATATGCTCATCTAAAATACAAAATGAACCTGTTTCAGCGTTTTTTTTTTTGTTAATTGTCCAATAAAGCAATAAATCGAGTCTTTCGCTCATTTTGCCCCACCCTATATGAACTATCATTACTAAAATGAATAAATCTAATCCTAAGGTAATGGTGCTTTTATAAAACAATATATTAGTTCTTTAATTGCCTCCTTGTTCATCAAGATCTTAAATTTTTTATTAGTGAACGTTTTATTTAATATACAGGGCGATTCAGAATTCCACGCACATACTAGATATTGCTTCCATTGAATGTGGACAATTACTGAGTGTTTTTGCACATGAATTGTTTTGTAATACCTCATTTTTTAAAAATAATTTCATTTTATGTTCGATCGAATTCCGAATAGGTAATTACATTTTTTAATCAATATACATTTTTTCTTTTTTTGTGAGAGTAATTTTTCGCTTTAAATAATAGGTTATGGGTACATTTATATTATATTCAAAGTTTATCCATCAATTATTCATTTCATTTACATACTTAAATAATCGAATTCGAATTCCGAATCACCCTGTAGAAAATCAAAAGCTTTTATATTTTTACTATTTTAAGAAAAATTATGTGGACTGTCTTTTTGTTCGTGTTCCTTCGACTGTCACATTTATTATAAAAGATATAAATTATTTTATGTTGTTTTTTTATTTTATTTTAAACAGATCGTATATGTAGTTCAGTTTATTTTTAAATCCAAGGTGGCTATGAAAGTCGAACATCATTCATTCAGTATGATAATACTTTCATTTCTTCTGGTTTACAAATATCCCTCCAACAATGTAACATTTTAAACGTTTTCATTAGTGAATATCACAAATATTTCCAGTTTTATCCAATCGAAAGCCAAACATTATTTAATAACTCCTCTTTTGTGTATATATTTAATAAAAATTCAGTATTGACCACTGATCTGTATTATTTTACTGGATAGGATATAGCCCCCTAAAAAACGTTCCGAAAAATTGGCCGATTTGGGCAAAAAATAGGGCGGACCGGATGTTATTTAACGTAACCTCTATTTCCATTTGTCATCACATTTGTCATTTAATTGTGTCAACAAGCTACGATGAGATGTTTTTATTGTGGAAAACAAAGTAAAAAGAGTATGAAATAAACAATAAATGTTCATTCCTGAAGACACAATATGCTTCATGTTTCCATTTTTATATTTTCTTTCATAAAAAATCAAATCATGGGTGAATTTTCCCAAAGGACATCGCCCGCAAAATGAATAGAAGAAGAATAAGAAGAAAAACTAATCAAATTATAGGTTAGGTATGTCAAATTATCCCAAATTTCAGTTCTGTGAACCCACCATAATTTGCCCAAATCGGCCAGCATTGTTGCACTTCCGGTCTCCTTTGTGGAACGGTTTTTTAGTATGTTAAATATAGCCTATATCCTATCCAGTAAAATAATACAGATTTTTTTAAATTCGGATTATTTTATTCAATATTACTTAATGCCACATTAAGGGCCGGCACTTTTAGTCCTAGGTAATCATTATTAAGTCATTTCTGACACTTTCACTGTCGTTTAAGCATGATCATGATCAAATAATGGGCGTGGTGCTGTTAAATTTAACAACTCTGAAAACTAATGATTATAACTGAAGACTAGAGATAAGGAGGCGAATCTGCAAATGGTCAAATTTCCGTCCTTTTTATAAAGTTCGCGAAATAGACTGTATGTAAGTCAATGTAAAATGAAGTGATTTTTTAAAAAAAATGGTGAAATTCAAAATAATGTGAAAAAAGTACCTGAGTACAAGTAACATGAGTGACAAAAAACATCAAAGCAAGATTTACTTCATGCCAGATTGTAAAACAGGATACAAATCAAATGTAAAACTAAAGAAAACACAAGGAGAAATCAATATTTATTGTAAACTAGTCACAATATATATCCTACGGAGTGTAGTTTATTTTATTACAAGTTTCTATAATATAAAATTTTACAGTCATAGATCCTGACTTACAAACAATAATAATTAAACATTAAATTTAACTTACTAGAAAAGAAAATTTATTTTTTATAGAGTTTTAATGTTAGATAAAGAGTTGCTACTTTTTTTTAACTCCAATTGTGTCATTGTAAATGTTTTTTATAGGATACTAAACGTTTAGAACAGTGGCAGCGTATATATCGTTGCTAGTACCGATAAAGCACTTTCTAGAGATGATGCTGTTCTATACTTTTTAGAAGATATTATCAAATATTATGAGACTATTTTTACCGATGGTACTGTTAGCAAAATTAAAAGGGGAAAGCTGAAATTATAGGATGAGGTAATACCATGTACATTCATTCCCAAATATCCCTTTTTACTTTTATTACAACAATAAAAAAAATCTATTAACTGTGTTTTATTTTACTCTTAAAACTATATATAGGTTCAATTCAAAAAATGTTAACCACAAAATTGTACTTATCAAATTTCAGCATTTAACAAACCTTTTCGAATTTGATTATACCTACCTAATTTGTATTTTATATAGATAAAATTAAATAATTTATCAATTAAAACATGCAAGACCTATTTAGAAATAAATACAACAGTATGTTCTGTGTTTTATTTAGCTATAAACAAGTTTATTTTTTTTAATTTGACAAAATGATGTATAATTCCCATAAGAAGCCATGTATGTTGAACACCGTAAGCAGTACCAGCGCCCATGCGGTTAATTATAAAAGCTCAATTAGCGTGCGTTTTTTGGGACCGTATTTTGAGTATGCCGATTCGCCTCCTTCTCTCTAGTCTTCATAATTATAACAATAATCCAGGTTTCCTAACCCTATGTTTCGACTTGTCTGATTATTTTTACAAATTAATGAAAATTAATTTGGAATATAAAAGAAATGCTTAATAAGATCATGACTTAAATAGTTCAAGAAAGGAAATCTTATTTTAAGATTTGGATATTATGATAATCAATTTTTAAAAGATTTTCTTTAAAAAAGGACAACCTAAATAAGAAATATGGTTAATCTTTTGATGATACAATGTTAATTTTCAAAATGGAATGTTTACAATGAGATCTTCCTCCCCGGTTTCGTTTTGATACATTTTTAGAGACGTAATTTTTTTAATTTATTTATTTTTATTTATTGGACTGCTTAAATTTATCTGCCACTAGTTGCCATGATTCTAGTTTTCTCTTAAAGCATTGCTTCAGTTTTTTTTGTTCTCAATCATTTGTATTTCCTGTACAACAGAAGTCATTAACAAATATATTTGTTTTTCTTATATTTATGACACTACTAGACATTTTTTTACAATTTCAATGCCAACTAAGGACAGTTCCAGGGTCATGATTAAAATGACCTCGAAACAATATTAATTAATATTAAAATGATATTAATTAATATTATACACAGTGAAATGTGTCAAAATTTCACAACCATCATGGATTTAAAAACAAACTAAACGACATATATACGAACATTTGTAGAAATATAAAAATAAAAATTTCAGGCAAATTTCGCAACTGTTAGATGAAGGTAAAAGAGCACCTGTCAGTTTGCAACAAATAGATGCCAAGGAACCTGCGCCAAGGAAGACTAGCGTCATACATGCGCCTATTCCAGCTCCGTCTGTCGATGACATGGAGCCGCAGAATATTTCGTTTATCGGAAACTCTACCACTGATAAACTTACTGAAGGTAAACTTTATTATATTTCCAATTACACGTTTTATGACATCAAATTGTACTTGGAAATTATACAAAGTGTCTCCAAAAGACATTAGGCTCAACCACACGATTTTCGATATAGGGAAGTAGGTTAGACTTTAATTTTTATCCCATAGTTAACCTTTTGGAGACACTCTGTATTGTAATTTACTTTATAAGAAACAAATAAGTGATTAAGATTACTGTTCAAGTTTTTGCATCAACAATATTTCCATTATATTGAAGTTGTGTATTTTTATTCTTGGTTAATTCCAGGCCTCAGCCGTTTGAACATAACTTCGGGTACTAGAACGTACAGAATACCGTCCCCTACTCGCCCATCGATTACCCGAAACTCATTCCAACCCACGCCATCTCCACCTTCGATAGAGCCCGTGGCCGATGTCAGTAGTTTAGACAACGATCCCACGAATCAAAAGGGCTTCTATATTAGCTTCGATAACGATCAACCGAAGCGACCGAAACCCCCTTTGAGGGTGAAGAAGATGTCGCCAAAGAAGGAGAGGAGTTACGTGGAGTCAACTGAAGAACTTTATGAGCGAAAGGTAAAATACAAGTACAATACAGGGTAGTTTTGAAATAAATTTACATATTAAAACTACTTGATGTTTGAATTTTCCTCGAATGGACAAAAATATTATTAAAATAGACACATGACATTGTCATGTAGAGGTAGGTTAGTTAGAAATTAATAAATAGGTCATTTTGATGAGTTTAGTTCAATGTCAACAGCTTCATAGTGACTGTTACTGTTTGTTAGTTTTGATTAGTGTTGATATTAAAAATTAATCAAACAAATTCCAATATTTAGTTTTTGAACTGTTATTTCATTTACGAGATTTAATTTTAAAAATATATAGTAAGTAGATGACATTTTAGTTAAATAATCGTTAAGTAATAAATTTTGTAAAAATGAAAATAAGAAAGAACACTTATTTCGCACTAAAACCAATAAATTTCTCAGTTCATCTCTTTATTTTAGTACTTACCGGTAATTCTTATGCAAAGCGACCTTGCGCCAAATGTATAAATCTTCATTGTTTTCCCAGATCTGGGGAAAAAGGGATAATCTGTACTGTATAATTACATTAAAGTTAGGATTTGTTGTATTTATAGAAACTGTACCTATGTTAATATATTATTTAGGAAGAGCATGAAAGGCACAGGCAGCTAAGTAAACCACACGAAGAAGATAGGACGAGAAAGAGTGAAGAAGAACGAAGACAAATGTTAATCGAACAGGAAAGGGAAAAATTGAGGGCGAAACGGGAAGCTAGTCAAGATAGGCAGAAAGTCAATGCTGCCAGCGCTATTATTATAGGAAATGAACTCAATAATCCCGATCCAGTAAGTATAATTGATTTTAGAATTGAAAAAAAAACTGTTCTTTTACTTACATTTTCATTAAATGTTTTACGCCTTACAGGATTTAGATTACGAAAGAGAAAGAAAAAAAGAGAAAATCATGCTGCTGTCCTTGCAAAGGAGACAGCAACAGGAAGAAATGAAGTCGAGGAAGGATGCAGAAGCTCAAGCTAGGAGAGAGATGGAGAAACAGAAGGAAGAGGAGAAGGTGAGGAAAAAAGAGGAAACTGCAGCTAGAAGACAAGCCATTTTGGAACAGTATAAGCTGAAGAAGGCGCTAGAAGAAGCCGAAAGAGAGGTGAGTTTGTTTTTATTTTTAACCGACTTCAAAAAAAGGAGGAGGTTCTTAATTCGTCGTAATTTTTTATTTTTTTATGTATGTTCAGCGATAATTCTTTAACACGGTGTCCGATTTCAATGATTCTTTTTTGTTAGAAAGGGGGTACTTCAGGGGTGGTACCATATAAATTTGGTCAACATCTAATAATTGAGTCCATGAGAAAATCCTCCAACTCTTCATTTTTTATGTATGTTTAGCGATAATGCTTTACCACCTTGTCCGATTTCTATGATTCTTTTTTGTTAGTAAGGGGGTACCTCAGGGGTGGTCCCATATAAATTTGGTTAAGATGTGGTGATGGCAACTGTACGATTTTGAAGTCGGTTTTTTTTAATTTTTAATACTTGTTTTATTATAAACTATTTAAATATTATAATGTTTGTTTAATCTTTTACATTGAAGACTATTTTCTTGGAACACAGAAAAGAAGTTTGTGTGCATGTATACCCGATTCCCATTGTGCTGGACACCACCAAGCGTGATGCGAAAACTCGAAAATAGTTTCGGTTTCGGCTACAGTTTCGGCCAGTTTTCCATTGAAACCACTGGAAGCTCTTATTTTAAGCCGAAACCGTAACCGAATCTTGGGTCAGACACTAAAAATGTTTTTTTTTTTTTAAATTGGACCTGTTTCCCCATGATTACTTTTTAATTGTTGAAATCGCTGCTATATGGGTCCATTACAAGGAAATTAACCAATTCTGTTCCTAGAAATGATCTATTTTTGGTTATTTTAATCCAATGCCTAGTTGATTACTTGTTATATTTCAAAATGCGACCGTTTTGCAACATACATTTTTATAAAATTATATATTTTGCCACTTTTTTGCGATTTATAACATAGGTAATTTTACTTTTCAAAATATTGATTATTGCTGATTTCATCTGTTTGCCGACGTTGTGGGCTGTTGCATAATTAATATCTTACCTGCGTATCTAATTAGAGATTGTGCACAAATTTTAACAAAACCTTTAACTGTGATTTTCAACCTTACTTTAAAAAATAGTTATTTTCCAAATTATTTGTCCAATTTAAAAAAAAAAGTAACAAGAACAACATTTCCAACTATCGGCCAATAACAATCTTAAATAATTTCTCAAAGGTATTTGAAATAGTTATTCATAATTACCTCTCTTTTAAACTCAGGCAAATAATTATTTTAAATCAGCATGATTTTATTTCAGGAAGGTCCATTATAACCAATTTATTCTGCAAGACACAACTAATATCTGAGGCACTTGATAGGAGAAGTCAAATAGATGTAATCTACACTGATTTCTCCAAAGCTTTCGACAGAATTGATCACAAACTACTGCTTATTAAAATTAGAAAGCATGGGAATTAATGTATCATTGCTAGTACTTTTAAAATCTTATTTATCGAAACGTCTTCAATGTGTTCAATGCCTGGGACACATCACATAATTTTTACCAAACTTCTGGAGTACCGGAAGGATCTGTTTTAGGACCACTTCTTTTCATCCTATTTATTAATAATATAGTTAAAAACATCAACGTTACAAGTATTTTATATGCTGATGATCTAAAATTGATTCTTGAGATAAAAACTACTAATGATTGTCCTAAACTTCAGAAAGACATTGATTTATTAGATGAATGGTGCTCAGAAAATGAATTACCACTCAATGTTAGTAAGTGTAATGTTATGTCATTTTATAGAAAAGATCAGGCAATAACATATAATTACAAATTACGCCATGTTGTTCTAACATATCCAGAACTTATACGAGATCTTAGGCCCTAAACTTACTTTTAATGCTCACATTGCCAAAATCACTGCTAGTGCTTACCTTTTATTAGGTTTTGTAATCCGAAACATGAGAATATTTAAAGATATTTCTACAATGAATCTACTTTATTCTGCATTTGTACGGTCTAAGCTGGAATATGGTAACATTATCTGGAATCCCATTTATAATGTTCAGATATCTTCATTTGAACTCATAAAGACGTTTTTACAAAGCTGTCAAGCTATTGATGGTAACTATCCACCCGAGAGACATTCCTCAAGAGTATTTTTATAATCGCTTCAATAATCATAGCTTACTGAGAAGACGAATAATGCAATTTGTTCCGTTTTTACACAAACTTATCAATAATGAAATAGGCTGCATTTTCATTATTAATCTATTAAACTTTCACATTCCAAGAAGTAATTACGTTTTTTAATATTCAAATGTTATTTTCCAAAATTGTATAGTTTTTCACCTTATCCTGTAATTGGGGATTAGCCTTTTGGATACTGTACAATAAATAAATAAACTAACATTATAGATAAATAAAAAAAATCCTTGTATATTATAAAAAATGTATCATGCCATCATCAGAGAGAGTTGTAAATTTTCACAGGCATTTAAGGCGACACTAGCGAGTATACTGTGATTTTGCAAGTATGTTTATATTTTGGTTGTTAAACAAGATCAAAAATAATGTTAATTAATAACAATTACTTTGCCGAAGACATAAGTGGCTGCAAATTCAACTCCAGATCTTAAATATATAAATAAAAATGCTATCTTCCATTTTTTTTGCCGACCCTGTATCGAGTTGCAAAATTGGCTAGTTTTTATTTTATTCATTCGGTACTTTACCCTTGCCAAGAAGTTTAAAAATTTTTAAAATGAATGTTAAATTTTTCGGTTTGTACGCCTCTGCTTAATACTACTTTGAATATCAACTTCCGATTTATTTTTTAACTCTTTGAACGTTTGTTTATTCACATTGGACACAACTATATTTACGTATCTTGAATCACGAGATCAAAGATTCACAACATCTCGGATGTATTTCACGTCGATAAACATACGCAGCATTATTGGCTTGTTTAATATACTTACTATATCGCGTTTGATAATAGTTTATAAAAAAAAAATAATGAGAAAACCTAAAAGTGTGAGTAGATATTATTTATTAATTTTCATTTTAAATAACAATTTGGTATTTTCTGTCTTTATTCAAAAATTAACAGGCATGTGTGATATTGATAACTTAAAACATAATTACTACTATTATAGACATTTTTCAAAGTTTCAAAATCTACTTTATTATGATTTAAGAGTATTAAAACCTGCTATTACAGAAAAAAAGAAATTTCCCGTAATTTTTCGTTGAATTGAGTCTAAAAATAGTTTTTTTTTATTAAATGGTAAACATGTTTCAATTCATTTTAAAGTTTTTTTTTTTATTCAGAGTCGAAATAAAATAGCAAAAATTCGGCCAAAATATATATTAATTCGAAATTAAAAATATTATAACGTTGCGCTACTGGTCGGTATTTTTATTACCTTTTCAAAAAATTATCAAAACATCCGAAGAATTTCCTTCATTTAAAAATGCATGTGCTATTTAAAGACACCTTTCAGATTTGAGACGGCCACTAAAAGTGGCACAAACAGAGGTATCTATTTTTACCCTTATGAATATACTCTTGGATGAAATGGTCCATACTTCAGAACTCCTCTTCACTTTATGAGATATTTCGGGTGATAGTAGTTCCCTCTCCCTTTTTGAGGACGTTCACTCCGAACATTAGTCAAGTGTTGTCGTTTCATACCTACAGTTTCTGTACTGAATTTTTTTATTTGAATTGAAAGTGATAACGTTTTGTTTGAGTTCAAATATTTGGATGTGTTTCGGTTGTTACAATGTCTTTTATTTACTGGTCGCTGGTAATTGTTTTTGTTTTATTACTAGGAAGTTTTGTTACTTGTATTATTATTATTATTATTTGGGAAAAAATAGGATCGTTTTTTTTTTCTTTTCTAAAGTAAATAATATTAGTTAAATATGTGTAGGAATTTGGTTGTGTAAATACAGATAAGGATGTTAACTCTTTACAAATAATTTAATAATAGAATTACAGTAACACACTAGATATTTAAATTTTGTTCAACATTAATTAATTATTAATTTTTTTTTGCCCAAAAGTGATTTGTTACTATTTTTTAAATGCCCAAACAATGTAATATTCAAGTTATTTTATATTGTGCTAAATATTATGGATCTAAAAGGATGCACCTAAGACATAAGTCTATTGTGCATCCTCCCAGGGCATATAGAGACAGTTCATCAAAAAGCCTGCTGTCCCAAAGTTATTGATATATACGAAATAGAGTGTAATTTACAAAAAATTATACGGGACCCTGGGTTATTAAACCTAAAGAAATTTCTTGAGGTTGTTCAAAATAAAATTATTATCATTTACACTCTAAAAAATTCCATCGTTCGCCTGAACATGTCTCTTATGAAATAATAAGAAAGGAATTTAATTTTTAGTTTAATTAGAACATAGAAGAATTAACCATAAATTACTATTGTTTTTTATATATAAACTACAATATTGTTAGTATTTGCTATATTTTATTAGATTTTAACTTTTAGAGTATTGTAAATATTGTATGGTTGCAAGAACGAACATTTTTAATCACAACATGCATTTTTAAATATTCATTTTTTGGAATGGCCTAAGTACAGGGTGTCCCAATAAGAATGACTACCATATCTTAAGAACCGTTTATACAGGGTGTAACAAAAATATTTACCTACAGTAAATTTAACCACAGTTTCTGGAGTCGAAAATAAGTTGATATAAGCTAACTTGCTTATAGAAAGAATGGATAATAAAAAAAGTTACAGGTTGTTAAAGTATAAATATAAATAGACGTTAGTATACAGTGATCAATAAAATGGAGTTAGTGGCGTTTGAAATTGTTTTAATTCAGTAGGTTTTTATAAGGGTTCTGCACCCCTTTGACTCCCTACTTTTTTAGACAATGAAATCCAGTTAATAACAGAATGCCACCAAAATACTACATCTGTTTTGAAATATTTTTTTGTCTCTCAGTATTACTCAGTTATAGCCCCCAGAAGGAAGCTTGCAGTGAAAAATACAATAAATATTTTCTATTCATCTTAAATTAAACAACTGAATATTTTTTTTACCACTTCAACGATGATCGATAATACAAAAGGGAATAATTGCAAATAAAGTTGTAAAATAATAAATAAAAAAAATCGTGAACAAATATTTAGTAGTTTAAGATCAATAAAATTATGTTTCACTATGACCTTCCTTCTGGGGCCTATAACTCAATAATTAAGGCTTTCACAAACACATACTAGAAGACAAAAAAAATCAAAACATGTAGGATTTCAGTGTTTTTAACTAAATATCATTGTTTAAAAAAGTGACGGATGTGATACCCTTCTAAAAACCTATAGAATTAAACGCCACTGACTCCATCCCAGTTTCATCAAAATATGTAAAGCCGTCTTAGACAGTAACAATAATATTATAAAATTTAAATCATTATGAATAGGCGATGAAAAGTAATTTTTAACGAGTTTAAAATAATTTTAATAACATCTATTATACGTTTCTTAATATTTCGCTGGATTTTTCGTTGGTATTTTTGGTAATTTAGTTTACTCTTCTTATCCGTGGTAAAAACTGCATACTTCTATTAAATATTTTCGGACATTTAACTCAATCTGGCAACCGCGCTTGCGGAGTGTTGTGTCGGGGAATACCACGTGACGGGTTTTCGGGAAGCGAGTGGGAGTGGATTTCAGGAACAAGGATGAAAGTTAAAAAAGGAGATGATAATATTACTTTTTCAGAACAGACATGCAGGCATTGTTTTGTAACGCAATGTTCCATTTACATTTATAATAAAATATTTAATAAATTCTATTATAATAATATATAATACAGTTAAAAAAAATAAAGAGCGCCCTCTAGCATGCTAGAGCACGTTACAAATTCGTTCGTTGGTGAAGAAAAGAGCTCTTTTCAACAAAACCAAGTTTACAAATTTTTTTTAAGCAGAACCGGACTTACAAGCGTTTGTTCAAATCACGGTTCCCACTTAATTCCACCTCTTATATGACAAGATAGAAGAAAATTATTCTAGTCAAAAATATGCGGAATTTTCTGAAAATTCTATCATATTTTTTAAGAGGCTTTGATTTGGTATTTTTTTTTTAAATAAGCATTTTACTATTTGGTATTGTTACGTCATCTAGCGATTCTTTAAATAAGTTCACAAATTTTTTTCATTCCACTTTAGTCATTAATTTTTTTCCCAGAAATTGTACTATAAATGGTTCCTGAGATATGACCGAAAAGCATTCTTATTGAGCCACCCCGGTACACACACATAACTTTCATGTTCTAGTAGAGCTAAAACTGAAAAATCTCTGAAATTTAATATTCTACAGAATACAACCAAGAGTATTTTTTGTTACAAATTGCGTTAGGAATAATTATGAATCTTAATTTTTAATGAATAACGTTTGGGATAACATTATTTTTTAATTCGTGATTCTACGCCCCAATCGGTCTCGTAATTTATCGAAATAAAGTATATTAACTAATAATTTTGATTTACTGACATATACATATTGTCTTTACCCTAAGGGAATATATTTAGAAAATTATATCTTTATGAAATTCACTTATCACTCTGTAGTTTGGAAACTGGGACATTTACAGAAAAATTATATTTAGATTATTTTAATAAATAGTGTTAAGATCTACATGTCCCTCAGTTTACGATACTTTATTTTAAAAGACCCTGTATAACAACTACAATACTGGATATATTCAACATAGAGTATTAGGTTGGATGATATTTGATAATTTTCATTGCAAATTAGTGTTTTTGGGCTAAAATACTTGCAAATCACTTAACAAAAGATTAAAATATCACCGTAGAAAAGCACGACATGATATTATAAACGACAGCACAACGATCGAGGTAAATTCCGTGACAATGACGCAGCCGAAAACCTCTCATAGTATGGAAATTTCGAGTTACCTTCACTCGAATGTCCCGTATCCACTTGAAAATTTATGAATTATTCATATGTATAAGAAACCTTTTATATCGATTAAAGTATTCTTTTAAGATTTTTTTTTTATTTTCAACCCTTGAACAAATTTTATTCTTGTTTACATTTTCAGGGCAAAACGTTGGACAGGTCCGAATTAAATTCGCTGAAACCTGCGCCGAAAATGCGTGCCAAGGGTAACACGCGACCTCGACCGAAGACGATACACATAGACAGTGGATCTGTCCAAATGGCCGAAGGAATGTCTAGTAGAGGAAAGAAGGGATCAACAACAAATTTAACAGGTAAAACAATCATTTTTGTTTAACATACACTGATTTTTTTTTGAGCTTAATTATTTATTATTCAAAATAATGAACAGCCAATATAGAAGCAATTTTATTTAATATTATGTTTTTTTTATATATAATTTGCATGTTTTTGTTACTATTTAGCTTATACTCCTTCCACTATGAAAAGAGATTATTACAGAGGTTCCCACGACAGCTTGGCAGATAGAAGCATGAGCAGTGGCATGTTATATAAAGGTGTGTTTTTTTATTTTTGCAGTTTTTGGTCTTTGTTTATGCTTAAAAATTTATTGATAAAATTGTTAGTTGCCCATTTTTTTTAGTAGGAATCAATACTTTAATTGTAAATTTTCTTCTTATTAATGTTTTTTAGTAAATATTACTTATGATTTCTACCAATTTGTTTAACCATGTTTTAACTATAGTAAAATCGAAAATAGTAGGCAATAATGAGGAAAAGGATTTCTGTTATTGCGCTAAAGTTCGTTGATACTTTTCTAGAATGAAATTTTCTAGACGGGTATTTTAAAAATTATTAAATTTAGAGCAGTTAAATAAATGCCGAAAAGTTTAAAAGATTATAAAAAATGAGATCAACTTAATATTTTTAATACAATTTTGAATTAAAAAAAGGGAACCGTTTCTGTTATTTTTATAATAAAGGACCGGATATCCATTGTATTATTTTCCGACGAATCTACGTCAAATTTACATCCGGAAGGTGTGCTGGTATCTTTTGGCTAGAGCTACCCCAGAAAACAGTCACCACCAGTTTCCCGGGTGAAGGAACAATCTGCTTCTATTGGAGCTGATATCCCTTAGTAGTCCACTTTTTTGACTGTTTTTGTTTTTAGGCCATAATGGTGTATCCACGTAATTCTGTGGTTTGGTTCTTAAATGGCCAATCATAACCTGTGCTATCTCTTTAATCTTATTTTGACGGTTGTCTATAGGGTTGCCACCTTTTTGAAAAGTGAATAAAAGACTACGATGTTAACGATGCTAGTTGTCTAGCACCAGTATTTGTAAAAAAACATTTAATCAAAACATTGTATTTAGATAGACAATGTTTAGAAATATCTTATTTGTATTTTATTTATTTACGAAAAACTCCTTATACAAAATAATTCATATCAGTAGATATTTTAAACCTAACCTAAAGTATCACACAAAAAAGAAAAAAAAAACTTAAATATCTTAAATATCACAAAAAAACTTAAAGCTAAAGCTAACTCGATAAGTACTCCCTCAGCTGATTTATAAACCTAAACCGACTCCCAAAAGATCAGTGTGTCTGTAGAATTTCATTTCCTTGCCTTTGAAATCTGGTTAAAGGACTGTTGAGTCCGTAGTTCATATGATGGAAGCTAATTGAAAATAATGGTTTCTATCTAATATTTATGTTGTTTAATCTAAAGTTTATTAGCTCCAACATATCCGGACAAGCTATATTCCCTTCCAGAAATAATAAAGAAATAAAATATCATTAATAATTAACGTTTTCTCAACTGACAATAAGTTTAAATGGTTATTAAGCTCCCTCTTAGAAAGATAGGGCATATGTAACCTCCACTGACAAGTTCTTAGAAACCTATTTTGATCTGCTTCTAAATTTACAATATAAGTCCGGTAATGAGGTGACCAGACTGGTGAAGCATATAAGAGAATGCTGCACACTAGTGTTAAGTAAAGGGTTCGGAATGTAGCCACAGATAATTCCCTAGAGTTCCTGGTCACGACTCCACCAAAACAATAACATCATATTCACATTGGTAATACACCGATAATGAAGAGCATTTTAGTTTTTTGCAATAATTGGCACACCCCACACATATTTAATTGATAAGTCAAGTTCACCATTATCTTTTCTTTCTTTAAGTTCAGACACAACCTCTTTTAACTAAACTTGCTGGAGTTTAGTTTTATCGTAACTAATTTTAATTCCATCAGTAAGTTTGTTTTTAGACCTCATTACATTCTTTACAGTAAATGAATTTGGGGTAATAACTTTAATAGGTCTGGATCTGCCCTGGGCTATCTTGCCAACCCGTATAACTTTGACCACATCACTAGAATTCAAGCCCAATTGATTAAAAACAGGTACCAAACTAGCTATTTTGCAATTTAGTACTAGATGATTCTTTAACATTGTAGACCATCAAGTTGCTTGCTTGAGTAATGGGATCATGAATTTCATAAGATACTGAGTCAGAGTTTAGTGAACTAGAGCCCTCAGTTTTTAAAGTTTCAATTTTCTCCTCAATGCTGGTAACTTTGTCCTCTAGAGCAGCTAATTTATTTATCAATAGAGGAATTTTCTTGAAGGAAGTTTTGCAGTCTTCACAGAAATAGATCATTGAACGTTTTTGAACAACAATTGAACGCTGCTCACTGGCACACAATCCGGAGCACTTTTCACCCAAATGGAAAAAGACCCCCACAGCTATCGCAATGGGGCGCCTTTCCATCATCGACAATATTGAGGGAGCATTTCTCGCATTTTGGAATTTTTGGCATCTTATCCTCAATGTATCCTCTTATGGTTCATAAGAGAGACGGTCATCGCTTATTTCCCGGGAATTCGTCGGCAAAATAATGTTCAAAGACGATCAATAGTTTCACTCAGAGTAAACCAACTACTAGTTTTATGGATGATGAAATCGTAGATAAATATTGACCTTAGGTCATCGTCATACTAGTTATTTTTCTAATTTGTTTGATATCGAGGATAATATACTGTTAAACGACACTTTTGAGATGAAATAAATCATTGATTTTTATTGATATAAATTTATCAATTTTCAATAGTCAGACGATCTAATTTAGACCTTTATCTGTAATTAAGCAGAAAATTAGATTTCTAAATAATATAGATTCGGAAATTAGTCAATTTAACTTTTGTTCTGCACATACGATTTTTATACACATGGATATCTCGTCCTTAAATACGAAAACGTTTTATAAAGAGCTTATATTAAAGTTGAATATAAATATTTTATTAAAATAATACTTGCATTGATAATAGTACTGTAGTTTAAGTTTGTGTAGATTTTTGAGCTTGGTGTTTAGTGTGAGTTTGGTGTATTTCAGATTCGCCCGACGACAGTAGGGGCGTTTCGCCCTGCCCCAGTGCCAACCAGACTTTAGGCAGGCGGAGTTCATACAAAACGAGTCGAGGTAAGCGGAGCATATTGAGCAGCGTTTGCGCAGTCGCAGGCGCTTTTAATGGTGTTGTAAATGTGAACTGAGTAGAATTTGAAAAAGAACGCACGCTACTATTTTTGTACATTCTATTTTATTATTATTATTTTCCATTTCATTGAGATAATCATTTTGGTTTTTGTGCATCTCTTGAATTTTTCGTTGCTGGTCTCACTTTTGGTTTTATTTTTATTTCTTTTTGAAAAAATAGTGTATGAACCGCAGGGTAGACAAGCTAATGAGATACAATACAGATTTTGGTGCAAATAAGGTGAGTTGATAGAATTTTCTGTTGTAGATACCGACACTTCTTACCAGCATTTTGTCTCATTTTATGTAGATAATGTTTTATCTGACACTCTAAATTCACATTCACTTATTTCGCCTGAAAATACGAAAAAAATGTTATTGGTCTTAGGTGTATAATATCGAATTTCATAAAGAAATAAAAAGATTAAGATTTCTTATTTAAAAGATATATTAGTTCTTTTTTTAAAGGGGATACTTTTTTTGGGTTATGTTTGTATTTATTTGTTTTACATTTACACTTAAGGTGTGTCGTCCCCAATACCTCTTCCCTGTTTGTCCTTTTTATTATCCTTTACTTTATTTTCTTAGTTAAGTTTAATTTTCATGGACTTGTTCATCTTGTGCGATCCTAAATTTCTTTATGCCTTTTGTCCAAATTTTTTGCAGCACATGTTAATTCCTTTTAGAACACATTAATTTTTCAATATTTCCAATGTTAGACTTTTGATTTCCTGAAAAGTTATAATATCTATTTTTTGTCATCAGAAGGACTAATTTCAGTCTTTATAGATACTCTAGTTTTCATCAAGATTATTTCTTTGACAAAAGTACAATTGGCATAGTGGATTATAATTTAAAACTGATAGAGATTAACCCCCTTTCGAAAATATCTCTAAATAAAATTTAGCTCAATCTTGATTTTTAAAAATTAATTCCACTGGATGCGATTTTAAAATGTATTATTGGTAAACTATAATATGAAATTTAAAAATAGTTTTTCACTTCGTATACAACCCTCTACAGATCCTCCGTAAAATGAATGAATTTGAATTCTTAATCTTGAGGTACATTTTTTATGAAATATAAAGTTTCATGTTTGTTTAAAGTTTAATAAAAATGTATCATTATCAAAATTATATACGTTTTTAAGAAAGATTTTTCAATACAAAATATAATTTACAAATATTCGATGTGATTTGGTTTTATACTGAACATGTTATAATATGTCGAACGTCAATTATGAGACGCAAATCGTATCTGTTTAAATATTGCTGAGCATATAAGTAACATTGTATGTTTCTGATTTAAAATGATTTTATTAAATTCTAACAATATCATTTTAAAATAAAGGAAAATAATTTAATAAAATTAATGTGAAAATAAGAAAATACGACCATGCCATCTACACAAGATAATTGGTAGATGCAAAGAAGTACAAATTTGGTCTTGGCCGATACAGTTCGTATGTTTGAGGAAAGTACTATTGTTCCCTCTTAAAGAGACTAATTTTAGAAAAATATCTACGGGTATATCTATCTTCGATGTATGTGCTCTCAGGCCCACTTCTTGATAGTAAAATAAAACTGGATATGTCCTTATTGCGATCATTACAGTTGAATGAGCTTTGATAGTCCAAAGTAAGGTCGACCTTCACCTATCTGCTTAACGGATTATTAAATAAAATGTTTATAAATATATTGCAAATGGGTTGTCTAAGAAAATACGGTCAAGTTTATTTATTTTCTTAAAGTAAAAAGGAAAACGACACCCTATAAAGTATTCCCCAGATCTTCGACTATGCCCAAAATTTTATCAGCTCACCACAGGATGGATTAAAGCTTAAGTTTAAAATTTGGTGTGTTTATCTTTACCCGTTTTTGAATTATCTTCAAAATTCGAAATTGCCACTTTTCCTCAAATATCTCGAATACGGTCCATTTTAGGGAAATCATGTATATTGCCAAAATTATAAAGAATACCATTACAAGTAAATTTTATCATGATTCTTATACTATCCTTATCTGTATACAGATAGGAAAGTAAAAAATGGCTGTGACTGTATTATCGTAGGCAGTCTATTTGCGGTATATTTATAACCATATTTTATTGGATAAATTTTTTTTTATCCGTTTAACAATTGGATGAAGGTCGACCTTACTTCGGATCCTGTTCTACATAGGAATTTTTACCATTTATAAAGTACTTTGGCAACATTTTTCTATTCAGATGTTACTAGAGGCTGAAAAAATAATTTTTAAAGCAGAACATAAGATCAGTTTGCAAAATGTTCGGGAGGATTAAGATATAATTGCTATAAAAGTCTACACTGTAGACATGGCGGTGCAACAGTCATAGACCTTCAGTACTATATCGATTACAATGAAATTTCTGTTGCACGTCATCAATGATGAAAATTGTTCATCAAATTGAACAGATAATTCATTGCTGTTGGTCATATTTGTTGCTTTTCAAAATTGGTATACATTAACCGTTTTAAAGCGATCAACCGGTAATTTGCGGTATTTACCGTTTTAATTAAAGCGATGTTGGTTATTCTTGGTTACTTTCTGTGACGTCATATTTAAGCCCTTTCTGTATTTGTAACGTGTTAATGATGGGTTACCCCCACGGCACTTAGGCCTCATTGGGCCCATTGTGCATTCTCCTGAGATGATAGACACCTCCTAACTCGTGAGCTAGGCTACAGATTTAATGTAGTTAACAACGTCGCCAAGAGGTGCTTCTCTTATATCGGCCGGTGTTAGCCGATACTCGCCGAACACAAATATTCTAATAAATGAGAGCGTCGAGCAATCGTAAAGGATATGCTCGATGGTCTCATCTTCTTGTTCGCACCCTCTGCAGAGTGCGGATTCTGAGAGCCCCATGATATGGAGATGCTTTCGTACTTGGCAATGACCAGTCAGAATGCCTGTGACTAGGCGCAGATTCTGTCTAGTCATAGTCAAGTATTTGTTTGCTGCAGTGTTGTCAGGATACCTTAAGAGCCCCCTGGCAACTCTGCAGTTTCTTGTTTCATCCTATCTTTCCTTGAATTTCACAAGGGAATGTTCTTTGATTAGGTCTGTCACTACCGATTTTGGCTGTTTTCTTGGATAGTGAATCAGCAAGATGGTTACCTTCCGATGTGGCGTGACCTTTAATCCATCTTAAGGTAACCACATTGTTGATGGATACTTTGGCCAAAGCTTCGTGACATTCTAGCCTGAATAAATTGTGGTCTGTTCAGGGTGAGTATTGCTTGTCTGCTATCTGTATAGATGAGCATGTTCCTTCCAGTGATATTCTTTCTGGTTATTTCTTTTGCTGCTATGAAAATCTCCGTTAGCTCTGTTTGAACTACACTGGCAATAGGTTTAAGAATCTGGAATATATTCCACATCCTAAGTCTTGTTTTGTTTTAGAACCATCAGTGTAGATATGAATCGTACCTGCCACTTCCGGCTCTTCTATTTGTTCTATTATAACTTTATATGGCTTATGAAAGATATATTTCGGTGAGATGGAGTCCATGTTTGATTGAAGCAGTGGGAGCTTATCGAGCGCCTCGTGCCAAAAGTGATGTCTCGCCTCACTAGATCCTACATCAGGTTCTATTCTGACCGTGCGGAGGCGTGACATTGTCGTCAGAGCAACCTCCTTGATGTAAATATCAAGGGAAGTGAGACTAAGAATGACTTCCATGGCTTTAGTCGATGTTGTTTTCATGACTCCTGTTATGTTGAGACATGCTGTTCTTTGAATTTGTTCTAGTCTACGGATAGCTGTTAATTTTTGGGTTTTGGGTACCCAAACAACTGGTCCATGCAACGACTCTGGGGGAGAAACCTCAAGTGCGCCCCATGGTTCGGCGGCATTGCTCATCAGCAATGTATGCTCTTTTAACTCTGTTTTCTAAATGCGAGTTCCATGTTAACTTGCTGTCATCCTTTTCGTTGTGAAAAGGGCCATTTCTGTCTTCTTAGGATTGATAGACAGTGAATGGTCCTTGCACCACTGTTCTAGTAAAGGTGATTTAAGCCCTGTGAAACGTCATTAATTATAACCGGTAAAACTGGTTCGAGTATCAATTTAACTGAGCCTTCAAAAATTGTTACGTACAATGCTTCCTATCACAGTACCTTACTTTTTCAATAATTCCTGGACAAAACCTGAAATTCAGGATTGGCTGATGACACACAACGTTCAGTTTGATCAGAATATGTACAAACAAGATTTATTGAACACAGTTTTCAAAAATAAACCACCAAAAATGTATAAAATAGATCAACATGCAGAACAATATGGCCACACAGTTATTCGGTTACCTCCCTTATCATTGTACATTTAACCCAATTGAAATAATATAGGATATTGCCAAGTATGTGGAGGGAAGCACTACATACTGTAGTGCTAAATGTGGTCTAATTATTGTATCAGCCATACTGAAAAAATTACCTGTAATTATTAGTTTTAATAATGATAGTGATTCTTATTCTGAATAAAGCTTTACTTGTTTATTTTTATTGGAAGAACTACTTCCGAAAGCTTCTAAAATTGTATATATAGGTTTAACGAATTAATTATTTAAGTGTCAAAAGATGATTTTTTTAAAAAAGTTTCTTAAGATCCTCGAATTTTCTAGCAACGTGGCAACGTCGAATTTCATGAGTTTATGACGTGTAGTATCTTTATTTGACCGAATACCATTGCACCATAATCGTACATTATCTCATAATTGGCGTTTGCTTATATTAATTTCTGACCAGTACATTCTAAATTTGTTGTATGAAACACTTCTCACTGTAATACTAGTTGCTTCAAAATCTGTTTTGTCATGACGGGAATTGGTGACTTACGTCAGAAACGAGTCTTGTCAAATACATCTACAATACAAAAAAAAAAAGATTGGCGAGTAGTGTATGTATGTTAACGATATTTTTACAGACCCCTCTCCTGCTCAGGTACGCGGCAGACCTAAGTATACGGCTTATCAAAACTTTAAAGGGCGCAAGTCTAGCTCTATGATGAATTTGTACGGTAAGATAGACCTTCACGCCTGGTATAGGTATTCTCGTTCATAATGCTAGATGTCTTGAGCTGTGGGGCATGATTTATTTATATTTCACATTTATTACACTTGGTTTCATTTTTTCTTTGTTAGTATCCCCGCTGTGTATCCCTCATAAAGTGACAGTGCTTAATTTTAAATTGTTAATTTGAAAATATTGCATAATTGTAGAGAATAAAATGAAAAGTAGTGGCATAACTTTTTGGTTTAAAAATAAAGTTATAACACTATAATTATTAAACAAAAATAGGTTAGGCATTTATTTAGTAAATGGTACAAAAACTTATAAAAGAAGAAAGTTATAGAAACCGACATGAAAAAGGCAATCAGGACTTGATTTTTCTTAAATTTCCTTACTCCTTCACAGAAGATAGTCCGGACGAAATATGTCAAATTTACTTCATGCCTAGTCAAACTAGCCCGATGGGCCTGACTATGGCGTTGGTGCTACAGATTGCGAGGCTCCATCACTTTGTTCTGTTATTTTTATTCACTCTATTTACTTAATTTATCTCAATTTTGTTTGAATTGTTGCCACATTTCTTGATTCTTTCATTTTTATGTTATATCATTATGTTAAAATAAATTGCCACTCTAATAACTTTATAACAAGGAATCATTAGCTGGAATTCATTTTTGTATAACTAACTTTAAAAACTTTAAGCATAAATATGCAATTTAAAATTCACTGTCACTCGTCTTAGAACTTTTTGTTCATTTTTTAGCTGGTGTTGGTGTTTTTAATTTTATGTAAATATTTTTAGTGCTACAGTTTATTAAATTCCCCGCCTGTTTATTGTCAAGTGATATTTTTTACAGTTTTTATGATCATTTATGTTATTTAAAAGTTAATTGTTTTATGAATAATTTTATGATTGGTTTTTAGATTTTAATGAGTTTAAAGTTCAACCGATTTCCAGGTGCATACAGATATTTTTAACGATATTGTTTCTGTTGACACAAATGCTTTGTGTAAGGGGTTAATCGAAATTCGTTTGAACTTGTTCATTAACTCAAATTTTATTGTTAAATTTCGCAGTTGTTTTTTATAGAAATTATAGTCTTATTTAAATTTTACATGAATTTTAGATGAAGAAGTTATTTAATATTTTTTGCTTGAATTAATTTTGCTTGTTAAAGTTTTTCGATTTCTTGAACTGAACAGTCAAGTTTAGTCAATAACCACTGAAATTTGGTCAGCGCTTAGTATTTGAAAATATAATCATTTGGGAAACTTGCTTAATAATGTAATATCAATAATTATCAAATATAAATACTATTAAACAGTAATTTTCTGTATATTTAACAAATTTTCTGCCAATTTACTTCTGTAATATAACTAATCTCACTGGTGTATGGTATATACGACACAAAATAACAATGTAATATACACGGGGTTCTTATAGAGAGTGACAATTTAAAAACTTACGATGTCTATATCTCATGAACTAAAGATGTTACCAAAAATGTCTGCAGGGTGTCTCACTATAAAGTAACACATTTTAACAGCTTAAAACTCAAGAATTGAAAAATATATCGACGTGCAGTTTTTGCTAAACTTCTTACATTTTTGTTAACATAGTTGCCAAATGTATATTTTTTCCCTAAACTGTCAACAAAAAATTTGAAGCAAATGTATTAAGCTTAGCGAAAATTGCACGTCGATATCTTTTCCATTCTCGAGTTATTAAGCTGTTAAAATGTCTTATTTTATAGTACGATTCTGTATAGAATATAACATATCGTTGACTATCTCCCTAGACAAAATATCAGCGACGATTTCCCTAGAGAAATGGTCTAGTGAAATAGTCGTCCCAAATATAACACGACCTTGAGTAATATTTTTCTATTTTTGTTGTTACTAAATTTGATTTTACATAATTTTGGCATTAATAATCAATTAATTAAAGCCCTCGAGCTAAAGCTCACGGGCTGTAATCAGATTATTAACGCCAAAAATTATGTCTTATCAAATTGGTATTAAAATAATCTCGAGATTTAGATTCAACAAAAATAGCTGACTATTATCAAGGTCTTGGTATATTACCCTTGATAATAATTTTTACTAGCTTTCCAGTGATGTATGATGTTATCTTGGTGGACGGTCAATTATCTTTAAGACGCCCCGGAGCGCCACGACAAATAATAGCCGTGCCTTCCCCACATAAGCTTCAGGGGTTGAAATTCACTCGTAAGGGGGTGAAATACTGAGAGTATTATTATTATAATTAATAATCTTTAGTTCATGAAATAGCCCATTGTAATTTTTTAAATGTTCACCCTGTATATACGTACTAGCACTTCTTATAACACAATAATTAAAACTAAGCGAAATTTACAACAAAAACAATTCTGCCACATACGGCTTAAACGTACATACATATTGTGGCTTATAAACAACAATAAATACAAAACCAACACAAAACTATCAAACTCTTTTCCTACCTTTCACGTTTTTCTCTCATTGTGACAAAGAATAAAACCTTGTTATTTTTTCGTTAAACGTTTATACCTACATTTACAAAAATCAATTAAGATTTAAAAAAAAAAACTTGGGTGAGGATTAAATTACTACCTTGAGACTTGTTGACATGCAATTTAAATATTGCATTTCTGTCTTTTTAATAGAGATGGGACTTTTCATGAAAAGTAATTTTTGGACTAGTCCGACGGACATGTCCGAAAAAAAGGTGAAAAGTAATGGAAAGTCTCAATGAAAAGTAGTCCAGCTTGAGCATAGAAGACACACAGTTAAATCTCCATCCTGGATGTTTTTTCAAAAACACTTTGGGAACAATATTTTCATTTGTATTTTCGTTTTTTTTTAGACAAATCATTTGTAAAATACTTCCAACCCTGATTTTTTGGTAATTTTTTCTTGAGTTTATTTTAATTAAATATGAAACGAAAATTCGAAAAAATCGTTAAAACATTATAAGAGTCAGTAAACGTTTGTCGTTTCTTCTTTTTTTTAAACTATATTTTGCCTTTATTTGTTATAAATTCAAACGAATTAGTTAATTTAATTTCGCGCATGTGCAATACACTTTTCCACTTTTGAAAAGTGAGTTTGGACTAGTTAACTTTTCAGACTAGTGTCTGTGGACTTTTCCAAGCGACTACCTTTTAATAATAAATAAAATAGTTCTATAATGGGAATATTTTATGATTATACCGAAATGTCCAGTGCGATAAAATTGAGATGGCAAGTCAGAATTAGATGTGCACTGGAAAATCTAAAAATTGGAGGAGTTATCTCAGTTAACAGAAGTGACACAAATAGATCACTAAAAGAATATCATCGAAGTTCAGTCATTAAATGGATATATTTCTTGCTTTATTACATCGCACCCCTTTTTCAATAGTGCCATATCCCTAAAAAAATTTAAATTAACTTTTTTTGCCCAATGTATACATTATGAACATGCCTACAATATATAAAAGTGCCATGTCAATAGTTCTAATAAATTCCGCGCGAGGCGCCATCAACAGTACTGCCATATCAAATAACATTTTTTTGTTTTAGGCTATCTGTGTAGATTTCACATTACATTACATGTATCATTAATCAGTAGAGGCATCTTTAATCAATATGTATAACGAATTTGGTAAGCACAAGTAATGGAAATGCTGCTCAAAAAAATATTACATCCACAATCGTTTTTGCACCGCTTAAGCTGTGCTTTTTGTATCGCTTCTCCTGTAAAATTAACATTTATAAGGCTATGGCACTATTGAAACAGGGGTGCGACATATTGAATTAGGATATTATTTCTCTTTCCGACCTGAGTTGCTTAAAAATGTTGATGATTTCATCTCTTATTCGATGTATCGAAAATATAATCAAAAAATCAACCTAGTTTAATAATAATCTAAATTTCTTCGGCAAACGAATTCCCACGCTTTTGTCACAATCTGAGCAAAATGTAAGTGTACTGGTAGGACCAATGCAAAATTAATTCAAAACCGCTAAAATCGATTTCTTCCATAGGTTCCAGTACTGATCAAGATAGTTTAGCATACCGGTACGGCGACACCGATTCCGGTTTGGGTCGCGCCACGCCTCCTAGGAGAGCACCATCTCCCGGAATGAGCATGCGACATCTACCATCTCCTTCAGGACCGGGTAGCCTGCCGGGGCTCATGTCTAAGGGCAGGAGGATGTTTGACGATGGGTCTAGTGATATAAGTTCGACGCCCAGTATGATGGATTATAATGGTTAGTAGTGTTTCGAATAAAATCGTATTAAAACTGTTTAATTTTATCTTTAAATCCTCAAATACCTTTTGGGATGTTAAGCGATTGAGTTCAATTGACTATCCATTGAATAATTTCTTCTCAGCCGTTTTCTATATATTTACTCTTATTTATACGTGTTACATTTCTAGAGATAATTTTAACTTTTCTAGATTGGTATCCCGACAATCACTATAAAATTGCGTCACATTTGCACAGAAACTACATTAAAATAGTGTATTTTTTATTTTATGTCATAATAAAATTTTCATCAAACAAGTCATGCACAATAATTATAATTTTTTGTTGCAAACTTGCGAATCATAAAACTTGCAACAAACTTGCATCGTGAAAAGTTTTTAAAAGTTAATTTGAATCCCAAATAGGCTGTCCGACGACTCTTCCTGTATCATCTAAAGGGTGTCCAAATTTGACCTTCGGATTTAATTTATTAATAAAACACAAAAGTCCTTGAAATAATATAATATTGTATTATTTTAAAGTTTAAATGTTACGGTTAATAATGAAAAATAATATCCGGCATGTAACCCCTCTACTTCTTTAGTATGCTAACATTCTTTTTACATAAATTTCAAGAACATTTTCGCAAATATTCTGTTCAATTTCTTCAATTTTTTGAATAATGTTAACTCGAAGCTGTTTAAGGGTTATTAGCATAAACTTCTCCTTTCAAAAAGCCCCACAAGAAATAATCCAATGGTGTAAGCTCGCACGACCTAGGCGGATAATTAATCTCAGCTCTTCAAGAAATTATTTGAATGCCAAATCTCTTCCCTAAAAGATAGTGTTTTATCCGATGTGTGGCAAGTGGCACTGTCTTGCTGAAACCACATCCATATCTTTTAATTCGTTCCACAAATAATCTCGTAATCATTGTCCTGTATCCGCGCTCCATTCACAGTTATTGAATCGCCAGCTTCATTCTGTAAAAAATAAGGACCAAAAACGCCACTAGACCAAAAACGACAGTCACATTTTCCAATATTTCTCTTGGATTTTCTTCACCCCATATTCTGCTATTGAAATCTCTTTATAAAACTCTTAATAACTGTAACAGATGGTGCTAAATTTCTTCCAAAATGCGTAAGGCAAGTTTCAGCAAAGTTTTTACAATAAAAACGGGGTTTTCGATGGACAGTTGTTCCATGCTAACCAAAAAACAAGTATCTGCAAAGTTTCTACTTAATATATGTCACCATAGAAATACTGTCAATGAAGATTACCAAAAATGCCGGCCAATTTAAATCGGAATGTCAAATTTGGACACCCAATACTTTGTTTACTTTCCATTTCTTTGATTTAATTTTCTTATCGAAATAATTTTACAGTATAAAATGCTCTTCGCAAATTTTCAGTGTACAAGAAGTGATACTTATTATTTTATTTATATTGCAGGTCCTCGATTGTACAAACAGCCAGCTACCAAATCTAATAGAAGTATTATGTTTAATGCCGTAGAGTATTGTGTGTTCCCTGGTGCCGTTAACAGAGAAGCCAAAAAAAGAGTTCTCGAAGAGATCCAAAGGTCGGAGAGCAAGCACTTCCTTATATTGTTCCGAGACGCCGGATGCCAATTTAGAGCTCTCTATTCCTACTGTCCCGAACGGGAGGAAATTACGAAATTGTATGGAACAGGACCTAAACAGGTTAACGATAAGATGTTTGATAAATTTTTCAAGTAAGTCAATCATTATTAATGTAATGTCATTTGAATTTGTTATTGGTTTTATATTAGGCTAGACACTATTCCAGCATTTGAACTTTCTCATTTTTACCTGACTTTGATCTTACAACATTGGTGTTATATATTAAAAGAATGGGATAATACGTTATTTCAAGTTACTCGGTCCTAGTAAAGTATTCAATGCTTTTCTTCAAACAAGATACACAGCCTACCTTCTAGATTTTGTTACAAACATTTGGAATACGGTGACATATCCTTTTTGCTTTTGAGTTTGACATAATTTTGGACCAAGTTCTATATCTGTTGCTGTTGGCTGCATCTATATCAATATAGGAATATACTGAAAGACTTATCCTTGGTCCCGACATTATTCCTATTACATATTAAACGATCTACTCCTTGTTCCTACTCTCTAACCTTATAGCTTTGCGGATGAGGATCTATCAATATGCATTCTGGTATAATCAATGAATGGGTCATCAATTCTGTTGCTGGTAAGAAATAGGGGTTCCACTTTATGAGAAGCAAGTAATTCTTTCCAGTTTCACATTCGGAGGAACCAACATCATTATTGATGTCCTCCAGAGGAAGAGCTATTGATGATTCCATTACTACTAAACGTCTCCCTCCTTTCAACCACCGACGAACAGTTGGTGATTATATTAACATTTATATATTTATCTCATGTCTTTTATATTGCTGTAGTAACCAGTATGGAAAATATAGGAATAATGCCTTTTTCAACTGGTCTTTATGGTTCAATCTCCTAAATTCGGTTTGACTATTTTCGCGATGATGTGTGCATTGTGTGTGTGATCACCTGCGTGTCTGTATGTATGTATCGAAATGGATAAAGAAAAAAAAAAACAATTTTAAACTTAGGCTTTAGTCCATCCTGCAATGAACTGAGTACATTTTTGCATAGTCGGGGCATCTGGGGGTACTTTATACAGTTTATTTTTCTACTTCAAGGTATGTTATTTAAAATTGAGGACGAATTGTGACGGAAATTTATTCGAAATATAATTGATTTGACATTTGTTTTAAAAAATTTATTCGAAATTATTTGTTAGAATTTCTTTTGTTAAAAAAAATATTTGGTTGAAAATACATTTGTTCGAATTGTTAATAATTATTATACAGTATATTTGAAAAATGTTTTTGTGTATTTATTTATGGATGAATCAATTTATTTAAAAAATACCATTTAATTAGTATTTGTAACAATCTAATTTTCTTATAATTAAAATTGTCTGAAATCGGAGAACAATAACTGTCAAATGACTTTATTAACACATGTAATTTTAGATTTTAGAACCTCCTTCTTTTTAAGTATGTTGGAAAGTATATAAATTTGGGATGCAAATTACTGATTCTATAATAGGTTCACAATTAATTATTATGGCGTATGTGATTTTTTATATATGTGAAATAAATTAGCATGAAGGAGGTGCGTCTTATAAATTATGCTATGCCAGCATCTTAGCTCAGGTTAAATCGCGGCACATATGGATATTCGCAGGATATTCGTGAATGGGACATTACACCCTTTCGACTGCATATTGTTTTAACTCGTTATCACATGAAAGAAGTTTGTCGAAAAAAAAAAAGGCCATGCCAAGCATTTGGCTCAGGAATAGAGGTTGCACAGGTACATTTTTAGTTCTATTAATCAATGGCCATCCGAAGGCATAATTTTTTATCTCATTATCAAATGACGACATTGTTTTTTAATCACTTTGCTCAGGATAGGTATTTGTCACAGATGCCGTTTAGTAAAGTACAATTTTTTTACATGCCCTTGAAGCATATTTCATTTCATTATCAGATGACGGCCGAAATCAACTTGTACTATAACACATGAAAGCTTGCAACCATTCAATTTGGAAATTTATTCAGGTATTAAAGAAGGGAAAAAAATTAACTGACTTGAAAATTGTAATGAATATAAACCCTACAAAAATCTAAATGGCAGGTTAAAAAAAAAGTAAAATATTTCTGACTAGATGTTATTCGAACAAAAGTAATTTTGAACAAATTTCCACCACCCGGAGAAGAAAATTCTTTGAGCATAAGTTGTTTGAGGAATCGTTTTCGATAATTTTTGTCATAAACATGATTTCTCTGTTAAAGCTTCGTTCGTTGGTTCGAATCTGGTTAGTCCGTATATTTAAACCAATCAAATGACATTTGATTTGACAGTATAAAAATCCACAAAATAATTATATTTCGCTTTGATTATATTTGTAGTTGGTGTTGGTTATAAAATAATTATAAATGCGTTATAATTTCGGACCCAAAACTAGGATCGCATTGAAATTCAATTTAAAACATTTATTAAACTATTAATATTTTCATATGTACATCTACATTTACAAATCCTGTTGCGATTCCAATAGGGCATTGGCTTATGTTCTCTCTTTTCTGTTCATCAGATGCTTGTCCTTTGAAAATAACGAGTCTACTCCTTACTAGGTGGCATTATTTGACTATTTTGATATTTTATTCATAGAGCGGTGAATGTATTGAGTAAATGTTATGTTTTGAATTTAATTTTGTCTATTTTCCCTGAAAAAGCTAGTGAAAAAACAGGGTTATTCGCATTGAAGCATGTGATCAAATGTTCAGATACGTGTTTTTCATTTGCTCGACGTTCCCGCCCGAATGTCGAAAATAAACGTCATCTCTCAACGTCAATTCGATGGTCTCGATGCAAACTGAGTGCGAAAGTCAACAACTAAAGTTTGTAAATGACTTCGCATTTGCTGCTTGGTTTAAGTTGAACTCAAATGAAGTTTATAAATCCAGCTTTACTGGAAAGTCTTGGCACATCAATTAGAAATTGTATTTGGTACGGTTAGGTTTAAAACAAGTGTTGTTTTTTTTTTCAGCCAAACTTTATTGATAATTAGCGAGCAGTAATATAAATAAAACTTTATATATTTTTTTATTTTGCAGGTATAACTCCGGGGGAAAATGTTTCTCTCAAGTGCACACGAAACACTTGACTGTTACAATAGACGCTTTTACGATCCACAATTCATTGTGGCAAGGCAAAAAAGTCAACCTTCCAAACAAAAAAGATATGGCTTTGGTTATTTAAGTTAATTAAAATGAATAAATCTAAAAAAAGTTGTTAATTAGTCATCTAATATATTACGTATTATTTTTGTTAACGCTTTATTAAACGTTATTACTTTATTTGTTGTAGGCATTTGTCGAACAAATTCAAACGGGCCGATTCGAATTTTGGTTAGCAAACTCGTTTGGACGATACTGTTCGTAAAGTAATGAAAATGTAGTTAAGGAACTATGGCCCGAAAAATATTTAAATTTTGGTATTAGAATTTTATTGAAACTTTTGTTTTTTTTTATACATTACCTTCTGCTTTTTCATCCTATTTCTCTTATTCGTCCTTATTTTCCTGGTTTTATTTATATTCGTCTTCCTTCTCCACATCTTTTTCTTTCCTGGCTGGTTCCTGGCTAATTTAATAACATATCTTGTTGCTGTATTGATGTGGTTGTTTTTTTATCCTTTCATATTCCGTCATTCGCTTTAATGTCGATATTCCACTCATTTAGCTCTTTTGTCTCTAAATGTACTTAATTTAGGTATGTACGTTTGGAGTCAAAAGGTTAGAAGAATGAAATAACCGAACTCTGTAGTTTACAACAATGACAGGCGTTGTCATTTTGTAACTAAACCCATTATATAAAACTATGAATTTTCGGACTCAGTTCTCTAAACATTTTTATTACTTTCTGAGTAATTTGCTTACCGAATTCGGAATCGCCGTGTACATAATATTATTAGTAATTGAATGATATTGTTTTCTTGAGAAAAAAAGTAATCACGATTTTTACGTCAGTGTTGCAACGGCTGAGATATTAAATGTATCACTTTTTGTACCAGGGAAATCGTATTTCATTATATTTCCTGTTTTGTTTTATATTATGTGCCTTTTTGTACGTATTTTTAAGTATTTTGTGGTATTTGTTTTACATTTATTTCATTTATTTGTGCCAATTAAAAATTTACTCAAAAAATCACAAAAATAAGGATATGTACTTGCTTAACTGTACACTATTCTGTCCATGGAGAAAAACAATAAAAAATTTCTTATTAGTGTCATTCCAGTTGTATCTAAAATATGATTAGATTAGACAAATGCAGGGCTGTTTTCGGTAAAAATTCGTTTCGCGGCCGATTTTCGGCCCGCCAACTGTAACAAAAAGTAAAATGTAGTTATTTTTTAAAAAAATATAAAAGTTAAATTAAAACCGGCCGCCGAAATTCGTCCTCGACATTTTACCTGTTTTTGTAAGTCACTTAAAAATTTTTCGCTTAAAATGTTTGTAAATTTATTTATAATGGTGCACTAGCCTTAAGATGCATAAGTTAGGTGTAAATTGGAATTGTGTGTCGCATGTTTATGCGTTAGAATGAAAAATATTAGTTTTTTTTTAGTCAAGACGGGCCTCTCTACTCAAAATCGTATCAGTTATTATCTATATTGTAAGGATCACGAATACTTACGAAAAGTAAAATTTAGCCAAATAGTTTTTAACAGGGATTCGGGTATCTTACACCACATTTTTCGTCAGTGTCAAATTAAATAAATGTTAATGGTAAAAAAGTCGAAAACAATGTATCAATATTGTAGTATACATGCTCTTGCAGCTTCCTGCAGAGCTGCTTTTGCCAATGTGTATTTTTATTTTTATTGCTGCCCTCTCTCCTTACCTGTCAGTTATTAGTAAGAGTTTGCGTTTCTTTTTGTATATCGGAAATGGAAAATAGTTCATAGATGTGTCGTTGTTTTCATTGTGAATACCTGAGAATAAGGTATCGTAAAAGTGTTTGGTCCGAAGACATTGAACAAATATTTGTTCAGACTGACGACTGAAATCGAAAGAGCTTGAAGTGGTAGGGGGTCGTCAAAGTTCCAGAATCCCAATTTTTTCATTATTTTACCTTATTGGTTTCTTAAAATACGGAAAATTTAATTTGAAGTTTGTATACGAATCAATGGGTCGAAGTTTTCTTTTTTTTTTTGTTCTGATTCATTCCCGAAGAATTTCGCTGAATTTAGTGGCTCAAGAGGCAGTTTTAACTGTACATTTAGGCATCTAAAGAAAATATTGATATTAGCGATTAGAAATAATGAATTTTTGTTAACAAATTAATGACTACATACAAAATGTATTAGTATTGAAATTATTGAAAGTATTATTTTTTCCAGGTCTAAAATGCAACTTAATTTTAGTATTTTTATCCATGACGTAATTTTAATGTTCAACCGCTTTATTCCAAAAATAACAATTCGCCCGTCTTGACTGAACATGGCATTGAATTTCAATTATATTGATACTATCGAGTTTGTGATCCTAAACTATTTTTGAGCCTTAATTTTTTTACCTAAATAATACATCATTCTGTAACATTTTTTTAATTTAATACAGCATTACACTAATCGTTTCATGTCTGTAAATATTATGTTTTTATAATATATGAAATATTTATTAATTATACACTTGTATGAGTCAAAAACACTCAAAACATCAAATAAAAGTTCATAACCCATTTGATTAATTTTATTTTATTATCATTTATAATACAACTGCGAGAAGTTTGTTCTTTATAGCTGTACTTCGTCTAGGAGACTAGTGTTGTCTACGTTGAATATTTGAGATGACAAATAGAGGTGAGAAAGGTAAGAATTAATTTTACTGGACTTGATTGGTAAAAAAAAACGTAAAGTTAATTTATAAGTTTATTACGTTGTAGTTATTACAGGGCATCTTGTTTGTGCATAATTTAACGAAAATCCAACGTTGCCCATATCGTTTAGTTCATTCGCATCGGTCACTACGGTGAGTACAAACGGTTTGGAATTACCTAAAATATAGAAGATTATAGATCAGTGGTTTAATTTGGTTTCTCTCTAATAATCTGTAAGGTGTAACGGTATATCTATAATACCGTTAGTTAGTGTCCCATCTCTAATCGGTGTCACGCTTCGGTGTTCTGCTGTCTATGGTGTTCTGTCAACCGCTGACGTTTTGATATACGCTAGTTAGTGATGATGTAATTATGGTTCCATTGACAATTAAAGTGACAGTAGATTTTTGAGTGCGTTTTGTTTACCTAAATTATATTGTTTTTTCACTTTTATAAATATATTCCCAAAGTAAGTAGATAACATGCATCAAATATACAATCTTTTAAACTATTTTTTATGACCTGTAAACAATATTTAGAAATAAACTAAAAACAGTAAAAACGTATATGTCAAATTTATTGATGTTTTTTTTTTAAAGTTTGGTTATAATTAAATGTCAGTGGAACCAAAATGACATTACACCGAACTAGCGTATTGTCACTTGAAATTTTAAGGTTTGTTCCAACAGCTAATCTGATCATCAGAAGGAAGTCAGACGCATGCGCAATGAAAATAGTCTGTTTCTACAAAGCCACGGATAATCTGATGAACTGTCAGTAAAATGTTCCAACGTATTTTTTGATTCGTACATGAATGAGTCGACGGATTGTCAAAACGATCGGAGCTTGTACAAGTAATCAGCACATGCGCATTTAAACGTCTCTACTCGTTCGAGCTATTTGTTCGTTATTGTTGTAATTTTAAGTAAGCTTGGAGTGGCTTGGGTTTCTATTTCTTTCAATTGAAATGAATAATTTTGTTTCTATCTTGTATACGTTTTTTTTTTATGTAAAATATGTACTTATTTTTAATACAAATAAACATCTTAAGGTTTCAAAATTATACATTCACATGATCGTTCGAGAAAGCTAAATAAATAATGTATTATGTTCTATTTTAAATAATGTTTAAAATACATAATCACCAAACATGTGTGGTTTGTCCAATTCCATTGCATTTTGCGTTCCAACAAGAACAATTCGCTGATAAAACAACGGACGAATAAACTAACTGACATGCGCAGTGATTATTTTATGAATGCATCCATGCACGAGTCCGAGACAAATCAGAATGGAACTGTTGGAACAACTTTTAATGTAGATGTTTGAACATTGAATTTCCGAGTCATCTAGTACTAATTAATGTCTTTTAGATTCTCAAAAGCAGTCTGCTATATTATGGTAAGTTTTGATATTCATATTTTTGTGTTTAATGTTTTTCATGCAATAATTGCACCGATATTTATCTGTATACAGTTTTTTATGTCGCACATCCTGAAGAAAACTGTATTAAGTTATAATTTGTTATTTAATTTAGAAACAAAGCTCTCTATAACACAAAAATAGTTCTGTGGCTATTATAACCACTTATTTACATAATTGGGTTCCTGAACACTGCAATGGGTCTCCAATAGTGATACTACATGTCACTTGATTCTAATACAGGGGTCGGCATAAGTCTGGCAACTCTCGAAAAATCGGCGTAGGTCTGGCCAAAGTTATCTGGAAATGCATGCTCGAAGATTTACGTGCGCAAATGCACAACGATCCAACACTCGACTAATTGTTGTTTCAGAATAACGGAAATTAACGTAGCGCACTCATCCTTAGAATTAAAATTCGGCCCTGCATGATTTCGGTTTTGGTTCAGACGTGAAGTAAGACTTTTTGCCATTAGAAGGTCACTGTTAGTTTAGTTGCTTCCCTATTTTGTGAGGTTTTGTTATTTTTAAACATTAATAAATCAACACGTAATGAAGCAAATTTCAAATTTTTTTGCACGGTTGAATAGAGAATAAAACCCCCTTTCAAATGGGCTATCACTCACCACCCCATGCCATTTAAATTTTTCGAAAGGGTTGCTCCCCTCCAGTAAGGGATGAAATTAAGGGTAAACTAATCATACAAAAATGTACATTGTAGAAATCAAAAATCGACCTGTCTCGGCAATTTTCCTAACAAGACTCCAGTAATGAGTTAGATAGGAGGGGTAAGACTTATGGTGCTCACTATATAGATTTAATGAATTAATAATTTAAAGTGCCAAAAGTTGGAGTTCAAAATAAACATTAGTTTTTTTTATAAAATGTTTCTTGAGATACTCGAATTTTGTAGCAACGTGGCAACGTCTACTTTTATGAGTTTATGACGTGCATTGGAAATTTCATTGCATTTACTTTATATTTACATCCGTATCTAATATCATTCAGTATGAAAGATAATATTTTACTTTTATTCTCATTTTTATTAATTTTAATTCAAAAGGTACTGCCTTACTTAAGTTTGAAAAGACCACGGATGTTTGGAAGAACGATTTTCGTTGTTTGTCAACGGTAGACTTTAGGGCTGTTACGGAATTAGGCATTCCAACGACCTGTCAAAAAATAGGTGCCAGTGGGAAATTCTTGTATATTTAAGGGGGTAGCGACATAGTCTTGCAACTTGGACACTATTTTTATTCGAAGTAGTACTCGCCAAGCCTGCCAATTTATGAAAAAATGTATAGGTGGGTTTTTTAAATATTATTTTTATTGTGTTTGACATAAAATATTTAAATGTAATCCATTATTCATGATTTTACGTAAAGTAGATAGAATACACCATATGTCGCCACCCTTAGATATACCAAACCTGCCCACTGGTAATTCATTTGTTTGGAATGCCTAATAGCTTTTTGACGTATCTAGTACGACCTGTACCTGTTCCAAGTAGATACCTATTCCCGTTACAAGCTATTCTAATTCTAAATTTTATGACAGAATATTGTTGTCGCTTGGCAAATATTCAGCAGGGAGTAGGGGAATCCCTGAATCTGGTTAATCCCATAAGCATAATATACTGGATTGTCTCTGATATTTAAGGCATTTCTTTATAAGCTTACTACAACATACTTGGTTACAGTATTGTGGTTACTGTGGTGACATTACGCATACCATGGTTTCCCTATTATTGAATGTCATATGTCAAATTTAATTTAAGTTTGGGGATTTCTAAACGGAATTTGAATTTTATAAATTTTAGGATGTTTTGACTTTGTTATTTTTTATTATAGTATGTTCTAGTAAGCTTATAAATAAATGCCTCGTTAGATATAGCTACATATGCTTTGGTAACATGTAACCAAAGCAGAGTAACCAAACGTTATAAAGAAATGCTCTGGTTACAGAAGTATGTTCTGGTAAGCTTATAAAGAAATGCCTTTAATATCGATCGATATTGTATTGAAATTAAAGCGTGCTATTGTTTACATAATAATATTAATTACATTATTGTTCATTATGAATAGACGTTCGAGTGTAGTGTGGAATTTTTTTTTTCGGTGGTAGATGACAAAAAATAAATTACAAAATGTAATGAGCAATACAGTAATTTCTTAAAAAAACCAGTGTCTAATTTAAAAAAAAAAAACACCTTCTAAGAAAGCACCCTACAGTACAATTACAATTACTTTAAATAATTGTAAAAATGTCACTAGTTCACATATTATAATCCCTAAACAACAACCTACAAGCAAGAGAGTTGAAACATCAAACGAAACCTAATACCAAAATACTGAATAGGTACAAAAACGTATTACAAGTTGCCTGACTAATCCCACATCATTCCGTTTCAATTACGAACATCAGTTACAACGCGCGATAGCATCCAGTGACACAAGTAATAGGTTTGTGTGAAATTTGGTAACAGGTATAGAGAAAGTAAAAGTTGAAAAGTCTTTTGGTAGGTAGAGAGGGGGTAAACGTCAAACCACGTCGGGCGGCTCCGAGAATTTCGCAGTAATGTTTACCTGCCAGTGTCGTTTCATAGAATAAGTAATTTTAAATTGTTATCGGCGGAACCGGACAATCGCATGTATTTATGGATTATAAATAATTATTAAACATGTATTATAATATTCAAATCATAATTTTACAAAATTTCAACAGCTATTCACAATTTATTAAACTATTTACTCGAAATTGTTATTAACATCTATAAAATAATTTTGTACGCCAATGTATCGCGTCCACTTCGATGATATCCGCTGCCAACCTGTCAATTTATGTGTATAAAGTGGGAGAACTGGCAAAAGCATTTCCAACTTTTACTTCTGTTCTACGCGGAATAGGCAGGAGATACCTATTCCAAAGTAACAGGTCCAGTTCCATTGTAACAGCCCTAGTAGACTTGATAGTATCGTTTCTATCACCGGGAAGTATACACATGTTTTTTATTAATACTGTAATTCGGTACCGACTCGGTCACACCTACCAGAACATTCAAATATCATTACCATCCCTTAAATACAGTCTACACCCTTCAGATCCGGTGCATGTACGCCTAAGAAGAGGAGTCTGCATCTGGAAGCCACGATAACAAACATCTAAAGGTAAGACCTGATTAGCGAAGCTATAAAATCCTTCTTTGAATCCGCGACATAATGGCAGTGTTACCAGACGTAGCGAAATTCGTCTTTCCGTATCTGAATTTTATCAAGGTAGCGGCGGTAGCTCAAATTACCTTAAAACGTAGCGGAATTTGAAATGAAATATTTCAGTACAAAAAATAATCTTATAGTAATTGTATGAACATTATTTGCACCGTTTTTTGTAAAGACGTGTTGAGTCATCTAGTAAAAAAATAGCTAGTTTTATGACATCTACGAGCCTTTTTTAAATGCAGATTACTAATTATTTAAATCACATCATGAATGTTATGTGCTTGTTTTTTGTATATTTTTTCCAATAAAAGATTCCTATATTCTTTTAATGTATCCGTATTTATTTTATATTGATGAAATTAGGTTAAAATCATGTCATATTCGAGCGGTTGACTGGTTTAAATATATTTCATGCGGTTTGAAACAATGGTTTGAAAACGTTTTGAACTATTCCCATTTGAGTAACCAAACAATGACGTCACATTGAATTAGGTTTAAACCAGCTGCATCTGTTTTTGAAAGTTTCATTAGAATAAGCATTAGAACGGCTTAAGGAAATATAAATGTCATTAATGTCAAAAATAGTAACGAACATCATAGAGCATAGCATACATAATAAAATTAATGATAAAGAAGAATATTTATGGTTTTAAAAAAATTAGAAAATGCATAATTATGAAGGTTTATAATTTTTGAAAACTTGACCTTGTAATTTTAAATAACTGGTTAAAGTCGGATTCTAAATAACGAACCAGTTTTCATAAAACTCTATTAATATTATATGATCTTATCTTTGACATAGGCAAAAATATCGTTAATTGTCAATGTTCATCACTGTTTTAAATTCATCTATTTGAGCGCTTTCTAAATGTATATGATGTAGAAAAAACTGGTTCTAAAAGTTGTTGAAAATATTTTTAAACCAAAGAGACCCCTCGAATAATCTTCCGTGTTAAAAATAAACTAGCTTTAGTTTTGTGAAACAAAACAAGCGCAATGTGACATAACCTTAGATTAAAATGGTCTCTTTTATCTATCTAAAGACCGAAGCGCGTAGCATTACGTAGCGGAATTTTTTAATTTTTGTAGCGGATTTCTTAAACGACACGTTGGCAACACTGCATACTGGCATCATAACCTTTTTACTAAAAGTTTTCATTAGGTTGGATTTAGGTCCGGTTTTTCAATCTCCGGCTATTTAGGATAGCTGGCAGCTACGGAGATAGCCGTCAGCCACTGACTGTCAAAACGTTTTTCGACCTCCAGTTATACGATAGCCGTCAGCTATTTTGACTGTAACCGTAACCGACACTTGCAAGTGGTAATTTCGTATAGATAGCCGCCAGCTATTTATTGTACATGCGTATTGCGTAGGACGTTGTTTGTCAGATTTAAAGGTTAATATTTTTATTGTTATTATTTCTCAAAAATGGATTTATTTAAATACATTCACAGCAACGATGACAAAGAAATTATTTAATACGATGCCAAGATGACCGTCTAATCCGTGTATTGGAAGGGAACGGCCCAATTATTTTGATATTAATGAAAAGAATTTTATTATAAAATTTTTCTGCAACCTTCTCATTTCGTTTCCGTGATATTGCATTTTCCGGTTTTTTTTACATTCTGTAAGATAAGCAAATTTCAATAGTAGGGCTATCTGATGCCGCGTAATTAGATATTTTCTCTTTTTTCTAAATCACTAATTGCCCAAAAACAGAAAATAACAGGATCTTAAAGAAAAATGGAAGCAAAATAGAACAAGTTTTATGTGAAGGTCGGTGACGATCAACACAAGACACGATATGTAAAACGGAAAATTTAAATTATCCAATAAAAACCATTTAACAAATTAGCAGAAATGCCAACCTGTCTAAGAATAAATAAAAACTATTAGACTACGTAGCTAGCAGTTAAATTCGTGATGAAAAACACTTCCATCCATATTCCATCGGTAACAGGGACTTTGACTGCCAGCTAAATATAGCTGTCGGCTACGTAACAGCCACTTTGACTGGACATTGAAAAACCGACCCTTAACATATCTGCAACATACGTCATTTGCTCTTACTACAAATTTTCTATTCAAGTAAAACAGTATAAAAATAAATATTAAACAAAATAATACTCACTTGTTACAGTTGCAAATCCATTTCCACAAAACCTATCTGTATTAAAAGAAGGATTTGTTAAAACGGGACTAGGTATAACAATAAAGTCGGTTAGGCAGTTGACCCCGAACATTTCTGCAGTGATAGTACCCACACTATTATCTCCAATGGCCGTATAAGTGTCACCTGAAACTCCAAACGATAGGGTATTGGTTTGAGACCAAGTGATTCCACAATATCCTAAAAAAACATTTTTTTCGTTAAATTAAGTATTGAAATTAGGTATTTTGAAAGTATTTTAAATTTCATAGGGTTATTCTTTATTGTGACTAGCTTCGAAGTTTTAATTTAAGAAACACATAGCCCCCGATATTATTCTAGGGAATGTAATTAAATCTATGACAATTGGTCTTTTAATATTTACCCCTTATCATTGCAATGCAAACTCCGTAATTTTGGTTGGCTAATTGTCTAGTTCCGCCTTGAGTTGCTGCAAGTCCATAATTGAAACTGGTTACGGTACCTGTTGTTCTATTGAAGTACTGTAAACATCCTGAAGGAGCTACAACAAAAAATAAATAAATTTTTAAAGTAGTATAGTTACTTCGGGTATAGTACGTATATAGGTACCGAAATTTTATTCAACGCGAAAAATATACTTTACAATAGGTTGAACAAAGTTAAACAGAAAAGAGGGCTAATAGCGTGCAAGGATACGAATTCAAGTTCTGTTTGCTCCACTATATCCAACCATCTTTACCTGATATGTGCATGTTCCTATTATACTTGTGTTTAATTCATTATAAAGTACCTACATATCCCGTATTGAAAATGTCGTAACTGTACAGTATTTGAATATAAACACCCACTTAGATATAGGTACCATAAATCAAAATATGTTTTCCTTTTTAATAGCATCACATTCCTAGCTAAATTTTGCTAGTACGTTGAATTTACCATTTGCAGAAAAAAGGTAAGATTTTAAATAAAATATATGAAATAATTTTTTAAATATTTGCTTACCTTTGGTTGGACAGTTGCAATTTATCTGTGTCACTTTTATATTCCATGCTCTACCGATCGCTCCAGTTGTTCCAATAGATATAACAATATTTGTATTGCCATTAAAATCAACATACATATGCTGTCCGCTATTTTCTCCACATAAAATTGGTACGGTGGAAGCACCACCTGTTATTACCAGTGCATCTGTAATACAACTACCGCTGGTATTTGGCTGGGCCAGCCTAAGCGTTAGGAAGTCTATGCGGACCTATACAAAAATATAAGAACGCAGTTATTTATTAATATCGCATGAATACTTAAAATATTTTGAACCAGGGAAACAGATCTTAAATTTTCGTGCAATATTAATGAATCACACTTGTTGAAAACAAGGCATTTTTTACCGTAAAATAAACATGGACGGACGGAACCAAATGCATAATACTCTTCACAGACTACTGTGTAAAAAGTATTATAATAATAAAATATGAAAGAAAATGTTGAACAATATTTACTGGAAATCTTTACGCCTGGCTTTAATGCAAACGAATTTCATTGGCAGCTGCTGCCCCTATTCGCTCCGTGCGAAGTCATGGAAAGGGAAGCAAAAGCGATACTAGCGCTAGCTGCGGATAATTCGTGCATTTTAGGGCGATATTTTGTAATTTTGGCATATCAAATACACGTATACATTTTACTTTTTTTTCAAAAAAGTAGGTATAAATAATACAATAAGCAACCGGAGTTGCTGTGTTGAAAATTGTACAAATACTAGCAAAAAAAAAACAGTGAAACTTATATAAAAAATTTCAGTAGCAAAGTGGAAATTAAATCAAAGAAATAAATGGATAGATGTACAATAAGAAGAAAAATTACCTTTATTTTTGTAATAATAACAGTAATACTGTAAATAGTAGACATCAGAAACTGGAAAGGTTTTAAATAAACAATAAAGTATCATTTTACGATGTTCTTTAATGTCCCTTTAATCTTAAATGTTCATTTTAAATGTTCATTCAGCAAGGACTAGATTTCAAGAGTTCTGCCTTTGATTATTATATGTGGATGGAATGTAATTTTGTGACTTACTGATGAGAAACCAGTTTTAATCATTCATTCTATGTTTTCTTTCGAACAAAAATGAAAATAAAATAGCGATCCTTTTTTTATACATTTTAACTTCATGCTATTATTAAATGGGATTTTTGTTATTTTGACAGAAGAGGCTAATTCTTCAATGACAACCTTAGATAATTACTTACTCTGAGATGACAACCATAGATGATGACAACTTATTAGACTTAGGCAACTTCTCATACATTTTTCAGTAAATACTGTTGCCTGCCTATATTGTATTATTGATTTTCATTGATTATACATAATTTTCTCTAATTTAAGCGTTAAAAATATATAATAATAATAAATTAAGGTTTTACTTGTTTTACAAATCCATATACTTTTATTAAAACTAACATATATACTTTTTAATTACGAATTCTATTAAAAATTGTATTTGTCAGTATACACAGAAATAGTCCATTAATCACCAAAACGAATTGGCGCTGCGGTCGCGCACGGAGCGAATAGGCAACATTGATATATGTTAGCAGGTAAACAAATTTTTGTTAATTGTAGTACGGTAAAGAACATCGGCAGTCAAGAGCGGGGAACTGATGCGGAAGTAGCGGACCGTCGTAAAGGTAGGTGTCCACAACATGAACTATTTCTGTGAAACACCCGAGTTCAGAAATTTTTTTCTCATGATATAAGGTGTCTCTGAATGTGCTGTTTACACAGTTGTCAATGTGTTGAGTTGTGTTGTGGAGTGATTTTCTAACAAGATGTCAACAAAAAGGGCTAGAAGAAGAAAAGCTGCAGCTTGTTATTATTATTATTATTACCTTGCCGTTGAATCCCTCAAACGAAAAAAATCTCACAAATACTGGGTAAGAGATTGGATTAAAAGAAGGGAAAACAAGAATATATTGGAAACATTATTAGAATAATTAGAAAGAGAAGATAAGGAATATTACAAGAACTTTCTTCGAATGTCCGTAACTGATTTTCGGTATTTGCTGGACAAAATTAAGTTCGTAATAGAAAAACAAAACAGACATATGCGAGATGCAATTCCAGCGGCTGAGCGGCTTGCTGTTCTTGTCCAGTTAACAGTTTTTTTTTCACTTGCACAACTCATTTTTCACGTTGAGACTTGCACAAGAAAAAAAACTCTCATGACACATTGTTTCACGAGATTATCTTTAGTATATCATGTATTTCAGATTTGTTTCTACAATGAAATTATATAAAGCTATTCTGCAATTTTTATTTCATGAGACAAAAATCTCATGAGATATTCTCATTGTGGGTTCGCACCTTCAGCGCTCCTCCAGGCAGAACGATTTGAGTCGTATTGACTGTCTATTTGGATGCCCAAAATATGAACTGTGATTGGTGGATTTCATTTTTTTGCAGTGCTCTCACTACCTAGAATTGATATGAAATATATTTGTTCAGTTGAACGCAATGCCATACTTTTTCGTTTTGTAGTCTGTGCGTAGATAAGCTAGTATCCATGTGAGCGTAGAAAAAAATATATTCTTGCATTATTTTAGAATAATGATGCATGCGGGATATTTCTAAATGACTTAACTTGATTTATTATACAAAACTTTTAAACATTTTATTTTTAAACCTATTAGTAATCTAAATATTAGTAAGTTACGTTATTTTTTGTATACGCCATATGTAAATTTCTTACTTGGCAAACATCAGCATCAATTTTTTGAATGGTGAAAGTACAAACACCTGCTCCAGAGTACGCAGTGGGAAATCCAGGACTAACAAAATACGTGTTATTTATCTGCGATGATTGTCCGCATGTCCTTGTAACTGAAAAATATATGGGCATTAAAATTTTTCTTATGGATTATTTTATATTGACAAAGAAATTAGAAATGGTAATCAATGGTCTATAATAGTATTTTTCTAATTTTGACATACAGAGTGATATTTTTTTGTAATCGCAACAAATTCCAAAATGATCTGTTTTATGTGACATTTTGTCCTGGTTACGAAAAGCTCATTAGTTGCGAAAAAAAAAATCAATATATACAAGGTGATTCATTAAGGGTGACGTCCGGCCGTTTCTCAATATTTTTTTTAGAGAAACGCAAAAACAGGACGATTTTTATTTCAAGGGGGACACCTTTCTATAATATCCACAACTGTCATATGTAATTCCTTTCCACTACGTCAATTTAACCAATTAGGCATTCCAACGACCTGTCCAAATGGCTACCAGTGGGTAATGACAGTTTAGATATGGCAACCCTGTTGTCATGTTGACATTAATAGGGTCAATGATACATATATAGTTATATAGATTGCTCAAAGCTGGTCGTTTGCGAGCGGCCATATTGCCTGGCAAATATTTATTAATTTGAATCGGTTTAGCAAAAATGTTTTTTAAAACCAATTGTCAGTCTTTAGATATTTAAAAAATAATAACTGCTTACATTTTTACATCAAGGCATGGTCTTATGTTTATTTTGAAAAATATGGATGATCAATCTATGTAACTATCTATTTCATTGACCTTGTCAGTTCACTAGGCCTACAGGGTTGCCATAATTTTGCCATATTATAACCTGTCAAAACCCACTGGTAGCCATTCAGTTTGGAATGCCTAATACAATTTAAATAGAGAAAGTATCAAGTATGACACATCGTCGGAAATGTAATTTTATGGCGAATTCAGTAATATAACTGTTCATTGCGTTCCTTTTAATTTAGCGCCCTCTAGCGGGATAAAAACTATTACCTATGGTAAAGTGTAACACTTGATTTGAAAGCTAATTTTATTTGTAATCCAATGCACCACATAACATTGACCTAGATATCTCCATATTGCACTTGCAACAAAATAAATTTAGTACCATTGCATTCTTCTTTCTTTTAAGTTCATTTTTGATTTAGTTAACTAATAAACTTTACCATAGGTAATATTGTTTATCCCACTAGAGGGCGCTAAATTAAAAAGAACGCAATGAACAGTCATATGGCTGAATTCACAATAAAATTACTTTCCGACGATGTATCATACTTGGTACTTTCCCTATTTAAATTGTGTTGCTTACATTGACGTAGAGAAGAATGACATATGACAGTTGAGGATATTATAGAAATAAAAATTGACTTGTTTTTGCGTTTCGTTCAAAAAAAATTCTACTTCAAGATATTCTGAGAAACGGCCGATAACCACCCTTAATGTATCACCCTGTACATTGCTTTTGAAAGTTGGAATTTTGGCTATGTAAAAATAGATTTTATCAGTGAAATAATTACAATTAGTAATAATCATGGTTCGGTCCCTATTTTAAACCACTTTCTTAAAAACCAACAATTTTTAACAATAAATTCAGGATATTAACATGACTTTATTATGGAGAAAAACGAAAAATTTCCTTATCAATGATGAGTAATTTAACGTCCAGCCATCCCGAAAGTGCATGAGAATAATTATATGATTTTCTAAATATACCTATGAAAGTTATGCAACTAAGGGTCGGTTTTTCAATGTAATGTTAACTTGGAGGTTAACTAACTTCTACTAGAAGGTTAACCTCTAGTTAAAATAAGCGTTTTTCAGTGCAAATTGTGCTTCTTGTTAATTGACCTAGATTTTAAATGAATGAATGAATGAAATGGAAAACTTGAAAAAGAAAACGGTAAACGGAATCTGAAATTGTTTGCACATTCATAGAAAAAAACTGTTTTTGTTTCGGAATAATTCAGGATTGTCTCCTTCTGACGAAATTATTTTGACATGCGTGCAATCAAGTGTGAAATCCGCTATGACAATGATTAATTTCTTCCACGGTTTCAGGCATCCTTATGTAAATAGGCCTTAGTCTCAATATAAGCATGTGAAACTCTCCTTCGTTTTACACGCAGTAGACTTTGATACTCTACTACAATCACCCACAGCCTCTCTGTTGCATACTTAGATAAAAGAGACCAGAGATATAACATACACCGGTTTTAAACCTGCGCAAGTGTTGTCAATTTCTAAAGAAGGGTTAACGGAGTGGGGGAACTGGGCGGCGACACGCGGCGACCCGAACTCTGTGACAGGGACCGGACTTTGTTTATTAGCATCTTAATGAACTATTAGGTTTATTTAAAAGGTGTTTAATCGAATTTTGTATTATGAAATCAAATTATCGTGATTTTTTAATATCAAACAGATGCCACGACATTTTATGTAAAGAGAAGACCTTTTATAGAATATTTCGTTAGCGCTTATTTACTACGGACTTTTCTGCAAGAGATTACAGTAAAATGTTGAAATAGAATATATTGTTAATAGAGCAAAAAATGTTACTCATTGTCTACGAGTATTATAAAAATAGCATGTGCGCAGGCTAATACTGCAAATCTACCCTTATGAGTTGAACATTATATTTTTTCTACGGCTATTACATATTATTAAAAATTAGTCAAAATGAGAAAATGCTGTTTTGTATTGTAACCTCAGAAAAAATATATTAAGGCTTCTTTCTTTAAGAATATTAATTATTATAAAGGATGAGTCACATAAAACTCTAGAAATGCATATGTCTGAAACCAGATAACATTTTAAAATTTAAATCTATTAAAAGTCATTTGGTCGCTAGGGATGAGTGATTATCGAAATAAATTATCGATAATTGAAAATAATCGATTATTTTCGATCAATAGATTATTTTCAAAAGATATATTTTTTGTCATTTCCTTTAAAATCGACTACTTGATTATCTTTGAAAAATCAAAAATAATCGATTAATTAAAAAGCCAATTAACCGATAAATCAGTGTTTACAAAATATAATATAAATAGAATTATCGTTTATTTTAAATAATCGATTATTTTCAAATAAACCATTTTTTTTCGTTCATGGAAACAGATTATTCGATAATCTTTGAAAAATCTAAAATAATCGATTAATCAAAAATAATCAATTAACTGATAAATCGATTTAAAAAAAAACAGAATGATCGATTATTTTAAATAATTAATTATTTTCGATCAATCGATTATTATCAATAATCTATTTTTATTGTATTTCCTTTAAAATCGTTAATTCGATTATCTTTGAAATACCGAAAATAATCGATAATTCCAAAATAATCGCCTAATCGAAAATAATCAATTAATTAAGAAGCCGATTCTATGATATATCGATTATTACCAATAATCTATTTTATTGTATTTCAAAAATATTCGATTAATTAAAAAGTCGATTAACTGACAAATCGATTTAAAAAAAAACAGAATGATCGATTATTTTAAATAATCGATTATTTTCGATCAATAGATTATTATCAATAATCTATTTTTATTGTATTTCCTTTAAAATCGATAATTCGATTATCTTTGAAATATCAAAAATAATCAATAATTCCAAAATAATCGCCTAATCGAAAATAACCAATTAATTAAGAAGCCGATTCTATGATAAATCGATTTTCCAAAAAATAAAACGAATTATCTATTATTTTTTAATAATCCTTTTTTCATATTTCCTTTGAAATTGATTATTCGATTATCGAAAATAATTGATTATTAAAAAGCTGATTATCCAATAAATCGATAATTTTAAAAAAATAACCAAAATATCGATTTTGTAAAATAACCGATTATATTCAATCGATTATTTTCATATAATATCTTGGAAAAATCGAAAATAATCAAATAATTAAAAAACCGATTAAAAGATAAATCGATTATTTTGAATAAATCTACTTTTTTTGTATTTCTTTAAAATCGATTAATACATTATCTTAAAAAAAACGAAAATAATTTATTAAAAACAGCGGATAAATCGATTTTCATTAAAAAATATCAGAATTATCGATAAATCGATTATTTTTGTCGCTTGCTTTTATCTGAGCATTTAGCTCCAAAATTTAGAGATTCGGATTTTTTGATCCAGTTATCTTTGAAATCGCATTCGCTTGTATAATAAATAAATATTGCTAAATTTTGGATTTTTTTTAGTAAACGAAAATTATGTTCGAGTTGTTTAGGGGTTTGTAATGTAACATTTTATTAACGTGACTAAGGGTCGATTCCACCGTTGTGTTAAACGAAGTTTAAAATGATATTTTTACATTAACACTGTCATTTTAATCTCCGTTTAACACAACGGTGGAATCGGACCTAACTCCTGTAACTTTAGTATTTTTTTTTGCTTATACTAGATTACTTTGTTTTAAGACTGAAAATTCAATGTCACTTTCGATTTGACCGCAAATAAGATGAACCTTGAAATTTTAAGTAGGTCATCCTGTATTTCATCTAATATTCTTATAAAAATAAAATTTAGCTAGCAACTATGATTCTTTACCTCTTATTTATCTACCAAAAAGGGATAAAAACTACCTTTAGAAAACATTCTTATAAAACTACTTTTTAAATACAAAATTTCGTTAGCAATAATGCCTATTTACTATTTATTTAAATTAAATGTTCAAAATTTTACCCTTTTGAAAATTTATGTAAGTAATATGAAATCTGAGTTTGTGATGCTTAATATTTATTGAAACCCCTTAATGCGGATCTGAAGTATTCAGCCCAGAGAATCATGGCGCTTTATGTCAAAACGTTAATAAATATTTACCGCTGAAAACGAATATATTCATAACAGTAGTACTTGTATTATAAGTACATACAATTTTTCAAGATACATCGTGACATTTTGAACTTGAAATTGAATAACTAGAACACTTTAAATTGCTAAAATACCAACAAATAAATCAAAAAACAGCTGTCAATGGTGATTAAACTCAGGTGGAGGTGTGATCGCTGAATTGAAATCGGAGCAATTCGGGTGGCGTCGTGCAACAATGATTTTCAATTGGTGGGTTACTTTGGCTTAAAATAGACAACATGCGCAGTGTGCAATGTTACATCTTCGGTCTCTTTAATCTAAGGTTGCATAGTATCGTAAGGCTAATAATAACTGGTCTGTTACTGAGAAACAGTCATTCCTGCAATACGAAATAACTGTGCTTAAAATTAATATGTATTGTACTCCATTAAATACTTCATTAATAAATTAGTTGGATATTCCGAAACGTCCCGAACTTCATCAACGATCATTTCAACAGTCCGCTTCGACACTCTTAAGTCTTTTGAAAAACCTAAACTGTTCGATAAAATAAGGCCTCTGTCGAATTATTTATGGCCTTTTCACTATTTCTTCCCTTCTCACTATTTCTTCCTCGTCGCTACTGTAGGCATTAACAATATTTAAAGCATCCGTAATGTCAAAGAACATGTAGGTTATAAAGTGATGATTATCTCTTAAAAATGGGTTAAAACTACCCTGAAGGTAAGGTTAAAGTTAGCTTTCAGTTAGTCTTTAACTATCAATTGAAAAACAGAAATGTTCTAGTTAACATTCAGTTAACTACACATTGAAAAACCGGGTCTAACAAAGCGAACAAAAGTAATATGGGTTGCATAAAGAGACAATTCAAATTCTTCAAGTGACCGAAAGCATACATTAATTATTTTCTTAAAACAAGTAATAAAAGTAATTTTAAAAAAACAACTCCAAAATTTGCTGATTTTCTCATAGATCCCAACACCACAACTTGACCTAATTTATATGGGACCTTTCCTGAGGTACTCCCCTTTCTAAGAAAAAAATAATCATAGAAATCGAAATCGGACAAAGAGGTAAAGAATTTCGATGAATAGATAATCTTCTCCTTCTTTTGAAGGCGGTAACAAAAAAGGATAAAACTACTTGTGTTCATTTTGCGATACCTCGCTCCGCTTATCCCGCAAATATTTATTTGTTAAACAAAATAAGGTACTTCGTAACTGGTTACATAAATAATTATTGTATGTGTTACATGAAATAATATCAACTCGATAATTCAAATTAATTGGATTAAACCTGTCTGAATACAAATTAATATTATTTATTTTTTGTAAACAAATACGTCTTTGGTATGATCGGTCGTTTTATTTGTTCACAAAAAATTACTATGGTTAGAAAATTATCTTTTTTCTAAAAATATTATTTACTTAATTTTAATTTTGTAACTTACTAACACAACAAACTCCAATGGACCTGGCACAGCCTGTAGAAGCAACACCATTTGCATTCCTACATTGCCTCCTTGTATAACAAGTACCTGCAAGATTTCCGTATCCAGTACACAAACCATTTACGAATCGTACGAGCCCGACTCCAAAAACAGGTATCACAGCTGGCAAAAATTCTGAAATAAACATTTTTATAACGAACAACAAACATAATGTATGAATAATACAAAAACATATGAAGTGGAAAAAATAACGCATGTCGGAATGTGCAATTCTTTTTTATATATCAGTTTGGATTCAATTCAATTCGAACACATCTAATTTCGATCAGTTGCTCTAATTTCGATTTTTTTTTATTTAGATTTTTTCTCACTCTAGACCTTTTGACTTTCGATAATTTTTCCTTTCACCGTCTAACACAGTTTAAATTCCAATATTGTACAAATATATATTTACAAGAAAACCTTTTTTTACTTACGTCTTCCACGTCTTTCTGATGCAGTTACATTCTTAATTTCTTCTTCATCTGCTCTTAAACACTTTAACGCAAAAAATGCAGTTATCAATAAAAAACTCTTAACACAAAGATTAATGTTCATTTTGAAAGAATGATACTACTTCTGTTTATAAATAATACACACACGTTTGGATCCTCAAGAAAGTTTAATTATCAGATTTTTTGTTTGTATTTGTAATTCATATTCTTCATTTTTACTAGATCATGTAGCGGTAAATGAATTTGGTTTATGTAAATAAAAGAAAATAAAATTCGTGTTAAATATTTGTAATTTTAATGCATTATCAAAGCAAAAATGTCTTCTGATCGAGATATTAAATTGCAACTAGTACGCGTAGATTCCTACCAAACTTTTTTATAGCCTCGTCTACATCATTTTGAAAGAATCTTTAAGCCATTACTTGGGGTAAATTCCATAGTTTTATCTTTTTCTCATATTTTGACAGGTTTATGTGCCTCATTCTCGCATACAAGCCTCGAAGGGGGTTGAAAAGTACATCCATTTTGAGTAGAATGAAAGGACATTTACGAATGACTCCTGAGGGTAACATATGGAAAATTCGATTTTCCTTAACAAAAATTAATGGTATTTGTTGCCCATATTTTCACGCAAGCCGTGTTCACTAAATGATTAACTAATAGAACTAGGATTCGGAATACCAAGGAATTTAATGCTGCAAGTGACTAAAGGGTTAAAATAAGGGCGCAGTCTTGTGAGGAAAAATGGATATTTTAACCAATTTTTTCAGACAATCCCATCGAATGTATGAAAATGTACATCGACACTACTCCGAAAAACATATTGACTTGAATATTTCTGTTAAGGAAAATCGAAGTTTCCATGTGTTATCCCCAAGACCCACTCGTTAATTTCCTTTAATTTTACTCAACATCGATTTACTTTCCAACCCTCTTCGAGGCTTGCATACGAAAATAGCATCTAAATCTGTCACTAACTGACGGTCTTTCAGTTTTGGATTTCCACTATCAATAAACACATTTTTCCCTTAATATTTGTCTCGTGGACAAGAATTTGTTTTTCCACAGATACTTTTGTTAATGAGTTCCTTAAGGGTCCAATAAGGGTCTTTTACTTTTCTTTTATTCCGCACCTGAATATTATGTGTCACTGTTAATATTTTATGTTTTAATTGTGATATATTTTTTGAAAAACTTGTTTTGCACAAAGACATTCTTAATTTATTATTTTTAATTATATGTATATATTTTGTTACACTTTTTATTACTATATTGGTACTTATTATACTCTTCACACAGTAGTCGGCGAAGAGTATTATACTTTGTCCGTCCGTCCGATATCACGTTTTTTTGTAAAAAACGAAAAATGATACCAACTTGAAAATGTCAGAAGACAAAGCCTATCGATTTTGAAAAAAATCTGATTAAAACTGGGGTTAACATATTAAAGAAAAACCTAACTCAAAAACGAAAACTGATATCAACTAGTTCGTGATTTTTTTTTTTTTTTTCAGATTATTGTGAGATTATTTTGATAGTTGGGAGAATTTTTAAGCTTTCAGCATTTATACATTTGAATCATTTACTTATATTAATTTTTATCACATTTACTTTATCGATGTTCTCATACTGCTATGACTCGACTTCGACTGACTGCCTGTAACTGCAAACGCGTATTTATATAATTGGCGAAGGCGTTCCCGAAAGATCCACCAAATTCTTCGACTGTCCATTTGCTATTGCATCGTTCTCACCATTTTACTGGAATATTCTCCTATAACGGGTTCTAGTACATTCTCAAATGAATGCTTCCGGCTATCTGTAAGCATATGCGTCCCTATAGTTGGGTAAAGGGGGTTTATCCCAAGTGGAGTAGTAAAAAGGTCTAAACGAGTCAGAGGGACCTATAAGATCAGAGTATAAGCAGACTTCAAAGAGCTTTCATTTGATACACTACACGATGGATTCCAAGGCAATCAATAAGTCCTTTTTGTCAAATTGACGGGCTCATGTTGCTCTATTGTATTTAGAGGTTATTATTTAATAAAATTACGCATGACATCATATCCTGAAAAAAATATGACTTGTTTGAGGATTTTTTTAAATCAAAATATTATCAAAATGATTGAATTTACACCATATTTTATTATAAATTATTTAAATTAAATTCAACAAATGAATTTTCAATACCCCTGGTATATACACTTATCGTTTCTTCATATTTTCACATAACTGTATCGTTCTATTAGGAAATTAGCACCCAATTTAAAATAGATGCCAGAACTAATTAAAATTATCAACAAAACCTTTCTTTTTGTGGTTTCTACACCTTTAGTGAAATAGTAACGAAAAAATGGATCCGAAAATTATTGGGTTAATATTCCTTATAACTATATATTTTTATATTAATTCTGCGTTTGCGTGTAAGTAGATCTTTATTTTTATTATTATGCAGGGAAGTTTTTCAAGTGCTAGTTTCATGTATGTCACATTTTTAAATAATATTCATTATATTACAAAGCATGTAAAAAAATGTAAGATTTAAATCAGTAAAAGTAAAAATGCGCAAATTACACAGGAATACCCATTTTAAATAAATATTTATTCCAATTTAGATTGGTATCCTGGTTTCGTAAGGTTTCCAAATAGCCAATGCACAACATTGGAAGGGTTTACAGGTGTATGTATTAGAAGCAGACAATGTGCTGATTCAGGTGGCGTATCTTCAGGAACTTGTGCAAATGGAATTGGAAGATGTTGCTTATGTAAGTGAAAATCAATCAATTAAACGGAAAATATTTATGGTTTATTTTAATATTATTATAAGCCTAAGAAATGATTTTTTTTCACATAATTATAGATCAAGGAACTTGCGGTGGATCATCATCATACAATAATACGTATTTTTTGAATCCTGGTTATCCAAATACAGTTACAACATCAAGTTTGTGTAGTTTTACCATAGTGCCTTCTTCTTCAGCTATTTGTCAAGTAAGTCGAATAAGCTCTGTTTCAATATCTATTTTTTTATATAAAAGTTTTGAAACTACTACCAGGGACGGATGGGGGAGAGTAATCTGGCCGGGAAAACTGTAAGTACCGGTTCTGTCTAAAATTCCAACTCGAGCGAAGATGACAGAATTGGACTGGCCCTCCGGGAAATCTCCCGAATTCCAGATAATGCCCATCCACAACAGTTTTTAATCTTCCTAGCCAAGAAGACAAAAAATGGCAACTTTGCGATGAGGACTATTATTTCTTTGACTCACAACACCCCCGTGCGAGTAAAATACTTGTATATTAAATTAGTGCATTTAATAATTTGAAAAATTTTATGGTTGATGAAGTGTATGCTAATTGTTTGGTAGTGATACAATAAACAAAATTGTAGTTTAACTGAAGAAAATTAAGGGTTTTATCACCAGTTTTATGCATTCAAAATGGCTGATAACTGAATAGTAAGTTTGAATAACAGGTAGCTCCATCAATATTTTTGATAAAAAAATACAATTAACTTGAAATTAAGGATTTTTGGGTAAGTAACTGTTTATTTTATTTTTAAAATGTCTAGGATGTGTTGCGTTCCTGGTTTCCAATCCAACTATAGAAGTACTTTACTTAATGGTAATAAAGGGGTATCAGTTCTTAAGTTTCCTTAAGATGAGAATTTAAAGAAAAAATTGTTAAACTCAATGCCAAGGGATGACTAGGTCGCATCAAAAACAGCAGCGCTTTGTTTTTTACATTTTCCAGAAAGTGAGATTATAGAAAGGAAAAATCCAGACGAGAGAAAAGAAAAACATATTGAACATGTTAACCAGTTAAGTGAGTCATTTGAAAAAGCCGATATTATAGAAAATTTTGCGGATTTAATTTGATATGTCTTAAAAATTTTAATGTGCCTATTTAACTACTATTCGCCCGATGCATCTGCATTTGCCTCGGGCAATCGCACTCCTGATTCAGTTCAACGCGACGTTGCCACGTTGTTGTTCGGGGCTAGGAAGATTAAAGACGGTTGTGGCCCATCTGTCCTTGCCTACTATGTACTATTATTTAAAACTTGTGTCTGATTTAAACATTTTTCCAGATTAGACTAGATTTCCTTTCTTTCTCGCTATCTCAACCTAACGGAGAAGGAATCTGTGCATTTGATTCTTTCGTAGTTACCGGAGCAGCTTCTGCTATTCCTGTAATATGTGGAGAAAATTCTGGTCAACACATGTATTTGATGGTTGCCGGGACTGACCCCATTCAACTAACCATTACAATGTCTGCATTAGTCTCTCTAACACGAAATTTCGCAATTAAAGTGACTCAGATTGCATGTGATTGTCCGACACAAGGTAATGTACTTTACTACCTTGAATTTTTCCGGAAAAAAGTTTTGAGCAAAAATAGTTACAAAAGTGATTTTTTTTTGGCGTTTTGTCATACATTTTTTCACACATTTTTTATTTACAAATATCTGATGTGTTCACCACGTGAAAATTAAATAGTTATTGACACCAATTTACTATTTTTTAGCCCCAGTCGGTTGTTTACAGTACTACACTGCTGCATCTGCAACGGTTTCCAGTTTCAATTTCGGTACTGGTCTAAATGGCAACCGCAACAATATGGAAATGGCAGGAACTAGACAAATCGCCAATACAAATTATGGAATATGTGTTGGTATGTTACCTGGTAAGAAACTATAAAAGTGGACATATTCCGAAAACATAAAAAATAAAGTATTGCTTTTAAATTGTACCTACCTCGTTTTTCTTGGCTCAACAAAAAAATCTACTGAATTATTAAAAAAAATTAAACGGTTTTAAAATGTTTAGGTTTTTGTTCGATTCAATGGGCCCAAACAGCTGTAAACGAATCCTTCACACTCACACAAGACTCTGCTGCAGCTGCTCTAACTCCTGGACTTCCTAGCGGACCATTAACTGACGTATCCTGCACTACCGATTATGTTGTCATCGCGAATCCATTTTTTACTGACGGCACTGCCGTACCAGGTTCAGACAGGTTTTGTGGAAACCAATTTCGTACAATTATAAGTAAGTATCTTTATATAGATCAACTCGTCGGTTCTGCTTCGCATGTGTTGAGTCACAAGTAACATTGATATTGTGTGTATAAAATTCATATTAAAAACAAAATAAATAGATGAACAAATCTGAAACCCTAGATAAATCATCAACTGCTGTCTAGAAACATTTATGGAAAAAGCTTAAGCTGAACAATCTTTCTGCTCATCGAATATTCTTAAATCAACTAAAGGCCGCATTTAACAAGAGTTTATTGCCAACTGTACTGACGGTAAACAATATTTCAAGTATGTAAGAACAAATCTGACATCCAAAATGCCCATACATCTCCTACAATAATAAAATGTAGATAGATGTGCCAACAACAATGAATCTGCTTAACTTGTTTCTAACACCTTCTGTAATGTCTTCACGCTTAAAGATCTAACATCACCACTTCCCGATATTTTTTTAAACACGATACAAGCTTTTATTTACAAGTTTTACAACGTACCATTTGGCAGGCTTAATAAAAGAAAAACTTAATTGCTTAAGTCCATCTCCTCACCAGGTTTGGATGGTATCTCCTTTCTATTCTTTTAAAATATTCTGCTGATATTCTTTGTCATCTAATTTCCCGTATAATGAGGCCTTTCTATAATTCTCACATTCTACCGCTTATATGGAAGACTGCCATTAGTTTGTAAAGTTATGAAGCCCATAATATGTTATTTTCCTTTATTACAGCATCATCGAAACCGTTCGTTTTGACTACAGTCACAGATGGAAACGACAATCCACCAGATGCAGCAAACAGAGGATTTGCTTTGACTTACACTCAAATTGCTTGTGCCAATACAGATATTTTAATGGTTGGTTAATAAAAATCAAGAAGAAAAAAGTTTTAATAGGTGTTTTTGTTTACCCTTTTAACTAATTTTGCAAGGCTCATATAAAAAGTTCAAGATACTATAATATCCTACGATTATATTATACAATTAAAGTTTAGTTCGGTGTCCGGAACAAACTTACTTTGATCTGAGTTCCGGGACACAGAGGTGTGGTGGGCAAGAAAAAATTTAAAGCTAAAAAGGAAACCGAAGGAAAAAAGAGAAAGAGAAAATAGCATATGAATATTTTTCTTTTAATAGATGATATATTAGATGAAGATGGCACGACGAAACGGGACGGGCTGACGGACAACACGACGCCTAAAACTACATCGTTTTCAATTGGTAGAAAAAAGTATTTAGATACTTAAAAAATATCAGATGTAAACCTCGCAGAGGAGGGTTATGACCCCCCGGATCTGCCCTTGAAAAAATCACGTGTAAATAGTAACTAAAAAATAATATACAGGGTACTAGCAGTCTCAAGTCCTATTATACATATAATATAGTACTAGTATAAAATTTAATGTATCTTCTGATTGCTGGTAGTAAAATGAATATAAAAAAATGTACAAATGCAACTTAAAAGGTTTTATTGAATCGAGAGCGGCACCATAGTGTGGATCAACCCTTATCCGTCTGCACATGCATAATGTAAAATTTTTGTAACAAACGCTGAGGATTGAGGATTACGATAGAACAAACTTATTTAGGTGAAAGGAAAGGATATTAAAATAAACACTTAACAAAAATAATTTATTTATAATTCTACCTAAAGCTCAACCTATTGCGGATTTTAATATCTGCACAAGATCTGAAGTGTTCTTGAGGACCGCAACCCATTCGTTGTTCGCCATTTGAACACACACCCCAGCTGTTTCCTAAAAATAAAACAGGTGCGTTAATGATCTATTTAGCGTTAATTATTTAAATGTTACAATACTAATCCCCATTGATGTTGGTGTTTCGGTCTTTAGTTGGAACATCAAATGGTTCGACAAAATTTCTCGTTAGAGTATAGGTATAGCGTCTTCACAAATAACAGCCGTAAGTAAGTAAATAATTGGCATTTTTTGAGGTTTCTCCTAATTACATACGTACGTGCGATAGTCGTACGTGGAAATTTTTGCGATTTTATGTATCAGAGGAAAAATGTATGCAGCAGAATTGCAACAGATAGCTGGGATGACATGGAGATGATATCACGTGATATAAGTGACACCATTTTCGTTATATTGATATGAAATTTGTATGTGTACGTATCATTACATTGTGATTTTGATTATAGAGTTTTATATAAAAACTTAACAATTCTTAAAAAACCCCCAGATAATTATAAGAAAACTGTTTAACATCATTTGAGGTTACAGATGTCACATATCGTAGGTCACGTGGTAAAACTAGTTACAAATGACGTTGGTTCTCTATTTTCTTTTATTCCAAGCGCAGCAAATCTCCGCAAAGGATTTATTTGGTGCATTATGTAGATATGTGTGGCGACCGTTATACGGTAGAGTAATCAGGAAATAAAATTTAATTAGAATATTAAATTAAAAGAATCAAAAATATCAGTTTCAAATCGCTATAATAGAAGCTACGCCCGAGTTATTAAAATATAGTTTACCTCCTCTGTATGTCCACCTGAGTACACATCTATCACAAGTCTTGTTGGGAAGAACGACTCTGTTTTCTATCCTATAATCATGCGGTCCTACAGGATGAATATCAGAACCATCTTCAAGTAGCAGATTTTCGAAACACTCCTCGCCAGATTCTGGTGCATTTGGGTCTTGGAGCTCGCATAAACTATAAAAAAGAATAATTTAGATTTCCCAATTTTTATACATTAGTACAGTGTTGCCAATACGCAAACTTGAAATTATACGGTGGCTAGGTACAAAAAATACGCTTTTTATATGCTTTTGTAAATTTAGCTTTGTAGTAACATCTTCAAATTTGAAGATATCAAATTTGTGTTGCTGCCAGGCTCGGCTTTAGGTTTGTGAGATGGGGCACTACCGACAGAATAAATGTAGCAATGCAGATTCGTTCAGACAGACTGCCAAAAACCAAAAGTTCCAAAGCAAAGTGCATTTCAACATTACGAACAATATCAGTTCGATGAATCCCCTGTTCCGGACCTGTTTTTAATGATTAATGACATGGAGTGCGGCCTTCTCTAAAATAAGCAGCCAGCTACCAGTCCGCCACTGTTTAATAAAAGTAGACCAGAAGATACATAAAACAACCTACTTGTCCAAATAAACTCAATGTCTAAGCTTATTTCTAAAATAAGTGGAAATCTAAAAAGATCCATAGTTTTTCCCAGAATGTACGGCAATTATACGGAAATTCAAAGAATTAGAAAAATATACGCTGACAAGTCAGAATATACGAAAATCGTATAAGTAATTATACGCAAATCGGCAACACTGCATTCCAAACAAAATAGCTGTCTTGAGAAGGGTTGGTATATCTAAAGGATGGCGACATACGATGTATTTTATCTACAACCCGTGAAATCATGAATAATGGATTAAATTTAAAATATTGTATGACGAACACAATGAAAATATTATTTAAAAAAAGTGCTTATCAATTTTTCACAAATTGGCAGACTTGGCGACTACTATTTCAAATAAAAACAGCGTTCAAGATGGAAGGTTATGTTACAACCCCCTTTCCATCGAGCGTCATTGTTTGGTAGGTCGTTGGAATGCCCAATAGGTGAGTTCGGTCAGTCAGGGGCTGGAGCGGGACAAATTTTAGGGTGCTTTTAAATGACATTTAAGCGTGTTAAACTGTCACTAATCGGACTAAACCTAACGGTAAAAGGGTCGTTTGGAGTTAAAAGTGTTAAAGGAGTTAAAGGAACTTGGCAGACCGAACGCAATGAATATTCAACAAGATGTGACTGACAAGTATGTCAAACGTCAACAAATCAACGGAATGTTTCCCATGTTAGGAATAGAAAAAGAATAGGCAAAATTTATCGGTTACAAATAGCCAAATACTCAGTAAATGGTGGTTATTTAGAATCATCTCGGTGGCCTCCATTTATTACGATTAATATATTTCTGTTTCCCTGTATAGAGTGGATAAAATCAGAATAACATTACTAATTTTTTCTCTGACCCTTAATTACCGAAATATGAGAATCAAAAATAGTTTTAAAACAACTTTTTTATCAAGAAAGTCTGAAATAAATTCGCCCTATTACATTTTAAAAGTCTGAGAAAATAGAATTTTCAATTTTTTGACTGGGTATCCATTTTGTTGCTTACCTGTAAGTGAAGTATCCCAAATGGTTAGCGGTAAGCAATACGCTTACGTTAATAACTTCACCGGGCTCGTAATAACCAACAATGATTCCTCTACCATAAAAACCACCATTTTCATTGGGTTGCGGGTGGGGAACGTCGTATGGATCTCCGCAAACTCCGCATTTACCATTGTTCAATTCATTTTGTACCTAAAATAAAGAGACTTTAATAAGAAAAAATATAAAATGAAAATATATGAAAAATAAATATACGCAAATTAGTTGAAGAAAAGTTCAAAATAATTAAGAAATAATTAATTAAATAATTAAAATAAACATTTTTTCGTCGGTAAAACTCATTAAGTACCATTTATGGCTAAAAGACTTTATAACAAAGTTCATCATTTAATGCCAATATTTTGTAGGAAAAACTCACTAGGTCCATTAAATGGCCTACAACACGATAATCGATAATCAATAATCGATAAACGATAATCTATAAACGATAATCTTTATACGATAATCTTTATACGATAATCTTTATACGATAATCTTTATACGATAATCTTTATACGATAATCTTTATACGATAATCTTTATACGATAATCTTTATACGATAATCTTTATACGATAATCTTTATACGATAATCTTTATACGATAATCTTTATACGATAATCTTTATACGATAATCTTTATACGATAATCTTTATACGATAATCTTTATACGATAATCTTTATACGATAATCGATAAACTATAATCGATAAACTATAATCGATAAACTATAAACGACAATCGATAAACAATAAATGATAATCGATAATTGGTTATTGATATAAACGATAATAATAGATATACAGTTTCCTACACTAATTTGTTTATTAATTCACTAATTTAATGTCTAGAGATTTGTATCACCATGAAAGCTTTTTTTTTTAAACTTCAATATGATAGTGACACTCCATCTGAGATTAAAGAAATGATAAACACTGCTATTCAAATATGTTACCGGCGTCGTCTAAATTATTGTACGAGAAAACAATATCGTTGATATGAAGTCACCGGTAAATAGTGTTCTTCAATAATGTTCATCATTTCTCAACTATTGTTAATTAAGAAATGAATTACATTTTCTTATTTGATTACTTTGATAGCACAGAGTAATAATTCCCTTATCATACATCCTTATCTGATAACAAAAAGTAGTAATTCCCTAATTATTTTATTAAAATCATGTGTGGCATGAAATGTCAAACACTTACGTATACCTACATGTAAAATATTAGAGCCAATATAATCATTTTTAAGTCTGTCCACGTAAAAATATTTGAACCCTTTACTCCTTAAGTCTGCCCATCTAAAAATATTTCAACCCTTTGCCCATTACTGTTCATATTAAAACATTTGGCACTTTTACCCTTTAAATTCGTCCATATAAAAATATTTGGAATATTTACCCCTTGAGCTTGTCCATGTAAAAATAATATTTGGCACTTTACCCTTTTAATTCTAATATCCGATTCAAAAATCATCGCTACTTCAACATTATTTATGTTATATTCGCATAAGATCCACATTTATTTCCTCTTGAAACTATTATTTTCACTCACTTTAACTTACAATTAAATAACTATTCTAATAGTAGCTATTTATGAAACCAACCTTACTTTATGTAACGAGTAAATATTTGTGTATTACATACACAATAGGTGCGTTTTAATCATCCGCTTCTGCTTCAGAATTGTCGGTTTTCTTGTTTTAATCGGACAGGTTAAAACGACTAAACCGACAATTCTGGAAGAAGAAACGGATGATTAAAACGCACCTAATATTTTTTCTAATTTTGACTAAAATATTAAAAAAAAAAAATTTTTGGTAAGAAGCAGGGCTGGTATACCAGCCCTGCTAAGAAGTTACAGACATCTTGGCAACCAATATTACTTTTTTCGTGTATTATTAGTTGCATACGCATCATTTTATTGACAAATAGAACATAATTATTTATTCTCAACGACTTGTAGTGTTTATATGGCTTATTAAAGTTATTTAGTTTTCAAAAAAGTGGGTTATTTTGTTGTGTATTATGTTTTAATTATTTTGTACTGATTTTAAATGGAGAATAAGGATCAAAACAACATTATTACTAGGTTATTAGTTTAACCAAATTATACTTTTATAAGTCTATCTGCATTTCTTTGATATACCCTTTCAATAGTAATGTACATTATTGATTTTAAAACCAAAAAAAGTTTATTTTTATTTGTTTTTTTTTTCTCAATTGGTGACAATGAATTTTTCGAAACCAGTTTTATAATATTCAACATTATGCAACTGGTTGCGTAGATTATTTTTACACTTGCTGCGATTACAAAAAATTAGAAAAAACCTTTTAAAAGATGTTCACGAAAGCTTAAATGAATTATTTGACATTTAATCATGACAGCAATATATAAAAAAATATTTGTTTTTACTGTTGACACGAATACCACCTATATTATGAAATAAGTATATTACACTCTTGTTAAAATGCATAAAATAAGCTCCCTAAGAAATGCATCGAATTTAAAAAAAATTTAAAGCACTTAAACCGAAAATTATGAAAATCAATAAGGTTTTAAGTTATCAAAAAAAGTCAAAACTAAGTCGATCGCAACTTTCGTTTTAGAGTTATCGTGCCAGCGTACAGATGAACATATATTTTTTATTTTCGGATTTAGTAAGGTCGGAAACGTTGAAAAAAGTGTTCAATAGTGAGAGCAAGAAAAATGTTTTGGTGGTACGAATGCACTTTTAAGGTCCTATAAATAGAAGGCCTCAGTAATTTAGCAATATTAAGCAGTCCAACTACCCGTCAAACAGTAGCTGCCGGAGGGTAGGGTTGGTATATATAAGGGGGTTTCGACATAGTCTTTCATCTGGACGCTAATTTTATTAGAAATATTCATGATTTCACGTATTGTAGATAGACTACATCGTATGTCGCAACCCCATAGATAGATATAACAGCCATTTTAAGCAACTCATTTATGTATGTAGTATAATTGAGTTGAATATTATACTTATATACGAATATTTTTTATTGCCATTAATTTTTCGTATATTTATTAGAATTTGAATAATGTTTTTTTACAAATAAATACAATAATATTCAAATTAATGTGTTTTAAAGTCCCCTCAGTGTAAAAATGTATAGTCACTGTTTTCAGGCAAAATCCAGAATTTAGATTACTTTAAATATGGATATATTTTTAGACATTACGCATTTTCCTACAATTCTATTTTTTGAAAGATTTAGATAAGATTTAACATAATATTAATATAACATCATTAGAATAATTATTTGAAGTACTTTATTGAAATTATTTTTTTCCGTTTAATGAACCTTAGATAAATCTCATTTTGTAAGTGGTTATTATTTTCATCTTCAGATAAATATGATCTGATTCTTTATAGATAATAGTATAATAGGTTGAATACAAATAAATAGTTTTTTTACTTAAAATAACATAGATACTTAATTGATAATTTCATTCATCTATGATTTAAAAATATAAGAAAAATAGACAAACCACAGATAACATATCAATTTACTGATGAAGAGATATTTTTATAATTTCATACAATTTATTTAATTTAATGTCGAAAACATTGTTATAAGATGACTCAAGTAATTCTTATAAATTGGTGAAAACATTCCTTTTAAATTTAGACGTCTAATTAAGCATAAATAGGATAATTAGTGTAAATTACCATAAATAGAGGTGCAAGAATTGTTTAATACATAGATTGCCATAATATTATGTTTTAATATACAACTATACATATTAGATATTGGGTCTATTACTCTTATCTTCAAAAGAAAAAAACAAGTTTCTTGCTAATTATATAGGTACTTGAAATTTTGGTTTAGTTTTACTAACAGTATATTACTAGTTCTTAACCAATTACGGTATACGAGTATATTATGTTCGAGAGAGCAATGAAAGGCGAAAATAGTGCGACACATAAAAGGGGAAAAGTTCTCATTTTTGAAGACTTCAAATTTAGAAAAGTATGAACATAGAAGTTAGGTGAAATTCGTTTTGCGCTGTTTACTTAAGGCATGTACGACAACAGATTTAGAATGTGAATTTAAGAACAACATTGGTGGAGATTTTCGGCAACAGTGAAAATAGGAAACGTTTCGAGAAATCCGCAAATTTTTTATATAATCATTCCAATATTAGATAATTCGTATTTTTTTAATAAAGTCGTAAATGTTAAATCTTAGAATTGCATAGTATATTTTATATTTTTATTAAATTTTACAAATAAGTTTTTTTTTAGAAACAACCCTAAATTTCATCAAATATCGGAAACTAATTTTTATTAATACATTTAATTTTTCAATTTCCTTGAATATTTTGCAAATTTTGTAATTTTTTTTACAATGTAATATTTATATAAATAACTTCATTCTTTTATTGACAAATAGTAAATCATTTTCATTTATTCTCAACGACTTATTGTAGTGTGTTTATATTTCTTGTAGAGGTTATTTAAATTTCAAGAAAGTGGGTTATTTTGACATGTATTGCGTTTTAATTATTTTGTGCTGATTTAGAATTGAAAATAAGGACAAAACCAACATTATTACTAGGTTGTAAGTTTAACCAAATTTTATTTTTATAAGAAGTCAACCTGCACTTCTTTTTTCAATAATATGTATGTTATTGATTTTAAAATCAAAAAAGGGCTATTTTTATTTCTTTTCTTTTCGCAACTGGTGACATATTGATTTTTTCGAAACCCAGTTTCATAACAACATTATGCGACTACAAAAAATGTTACTTTATATGTCAAAATTAAAAAAATATATTTTTATGTTTAAACATGAGCGCCGTTAAAAAATTCCAGAGGAGGGGGGAGGCAAGTCAAAAAGCCGCAGTCTATAATCAAAAATCACAACTCCCACGCGCCCTCTTTCCCTCATGTGGCGGCGCCCATGCTTCTGAATAAATCTGACATATCAGCCTTAGCGACTGAACAATATTTTAAAAAAATCATGACTGTAAGTTAAGTTTTAAAACGATTTCGGTCTTCCTAGGTAAATTGTAAGCATATAACAAATAAAAATCTCGTAATACAAATTTGGTGATAACTTTTTAAAGCCTATGCTGAAAACTTTAAATTTTTTTTCTAAAAAGATATTTTATTTGGATATAATTTTTATATCTTTGTAGTTATTGATCTCTGAAGGTTTATCCACAAAAAAGTAAAATCTGATCTAATGCATTTTGGATAGGAATAATCTAGTTTTTGGAAAAAATAATTGAAAGCAGGGGCGGTTTCTCCATTGGTTCATTTGTGCAGGGATTATTTTAAAATAAATAACATAAAAATATTAATTCAATTTTAATAATTATATTGTTTTCATGCGTGTTAATATCTAATTTTGGGTACGCCACTGCGCTCTGGCTAATCGCGTTTTCGTAGCACGCTTTTATAAGTGAGCCAGAAGGAGTGAGATGCGTTCTTGAAAATCTTTAGCTAAAAAGAGATGTCACACGCTAACATATCCCTGAAACGTAGTGAAACAGTTATAAAATAACTTAAATCAGCCAAATTTGCGCAACGCACACCATGACGTCACAAAGTAGGGCGGGTTATACCAATCTTTCAAATCATAGATATAGAGAAGCAATGACGGCACTAAACCTGTCTGTACTTTTGCATTACTCTTTTACGCCATATGTCAAATTCGAGCTAGTTAGTTTTGGTGATAATAAATGCCATTTTTTTAAAATAGCGTGATTTGAATGATATAAAAACATTTTCATTCCGTCAATCTACAAATATAAAATTGTTAACTTAAAATTAATCAAAATATGACGCAAAGTGCCTTCATTTGTCATATCACAAAATATTCCTTACTCCGTAAAACTACCTACTTCATATTCTAACTTCTCGACGTTTCCAATAAAGCTGTCAAATTCTAAAAATCAACATGAGACAATATTAATTGTGAATTGTATTAAAAATTAGGTTTGAATAAAACTGCGACTTTAATAAATCGGAAGTATGTGTGTCAATTCAACGATTGTTACCGTCACAGGTAAAAAATTACTATTATTTGTTGAGGTTATCTTTATTTCCAAATTTCTTGACTCAAGTACAATTTTATATGAATAATTATTTATATTTAAGGTTGTCCCTTGAAGTTATAGTTATTTTGTAAGTTGTCCCTTGAAGTTATAAAAAAATGCCCTATCCATAAATGCTAGAGGTACTGATAAACAGTGTCAAACTGATATAGCACTGAGGATTTTATAAACATTACAGTTTTTTAATTCAATAAATTTGATAGTTGTATCTACGTTAGGTTAGGTTATCTGGGCGGTAAACTATGTAGACAGTGCAGTTTTATAAAGGTTATATTTTTAAAATAGGCTTATCGAGACCTTTTCAGGGGTATTCTATACCATGTATAGTGATGTCACAATATAAGTTGACTTTAAAAAAAGAACACTATATTCAATGTTTAATAAACTTACAAGTTAAACGTTAAACACTATTTAACTCTTACGTTAGTCGTACTATTTATAGAGGCATGTTGGAGGTATAAGACACTAGGTATGTCATAAAAAATTTGTTATTAGAACATAGAAATATGTCACAAAAACCAACAATTCATGTACTTATATTAAAAAAAGTTTTAATAGTTAGATTATTAGTAAACAATATATATTGTGACAATAATTGGGGCCAACTGAATTTCTTGTCGAAATATAATTATTATATGTAAATATAGAACACGAAAAGTGTTCAACCAACATTCAGTCTGCTCTACTAAAAAGCTGACTAGAATGACAGCACAGTTTATCTCCAAAGTTGAAAGTTTTCAGCGTAGGCTCTAAAAAGTTATCACCAAGTTTTTATTGCCAACTTTTTGTTTAAGGCACTTACTGATCACACAACTTACTGATGAAGACCTAAACCATCTCTTAAAGCCACTCATAGTCGCATAACATGCCATACTCTTTTTATAAGCATTTTTTTAACTTTCACCTCACCTACATATCTAGGTTACTTTGGATATAGGTAAGTTATTTGTATCCCAGGAGTCTATAGTTAAGTTATATCCCAACCCTTTGTAAAGACTTTCTATAGATAAACGAAAACTTAAGAGAAAGAAGAAAAATTACTTACGAAAGCGCCTCCACAGAAAAGCTCGTTGTCATTGTAATTTGGCTCTCCTAAACTGGGAAACTTTCTCCATATAGAACTCCTACCGGGCGGTTCGAGCATCATACCATGACCAAAAATTCCATTAACTAGGTAAACAACCAAAATATAACACGATTTGGAATTCATGATGGTGAAGTAAAAACAAAATTTTGGATTCAAACTTCTGTGTTCTATTATTTATAGGTATAATGGTTGTAGAGGAAGGGATATTTAAATAATTTTTATTTAAAAATATTGTTATATACCTATAGATATGCTCTAATCAAGTTTTAGAAAAACTTTATCAATTGATAACAGTACACAAGATCTGATGTATTCATTTTTAAGGAAACGCATTAATAATATCAACAGTAGTAACTAATGATATAATGATAAATAAAATATTTTGGAATTAGTTCTGTCATTAATTACTAATTACTTAAATATTTTGTAAATATATAACTACGTCTTAACCTGAGGAAAAAATTATATTAGGTCTCTAATATCGAAATTAACTAAAGTAAGCCATGACCGACAAAGCAGAGATACGAGTCATGTCCATGATATATACGTATGGATGTGAATTATATCCAAACGTCCAAAAAGCGTAATAATTGTCAATTAGGTTTAAATAATCCGAATCGCCATGGTTTCATAGATTTTGTAATTTTGTCAGTTTTGTTATCGGCCCACCTCCGGTACCCTATTTTGTTTGTTATTTTACTCTCTATAATGTTATTATTTACCTCACAAGTTTATTTTACTTTAAATTCTATACTTACTGTATTTGGCCTTTTTCCTCCACTAGTAGAAGTGATCGTCTAGTTAATTAATTGATAATTTTTAGACATACCCATGCATACAAATTCATATTTAAACTCTTTTTTTTATACTTTAAATGTGATGTAATAATTAGCAAAGTATATTACAATTGGTAATATTTACTGATATCTCACTTGAGTCCCGTTCAAACGCAGACCACGTTCATTTGCTATCAGTATATATCGCACCCTTGCTTCAAAAGTGACACAACTCAAAATTATCAAATTTAACATCTTTTGAGTTAAAACCTTAAATGTGGTTTTAGTGAACAACCCTTGTTTTAATTTGACTTAGAATATTACTCGCCCAGATGGAGCATGTATCATTTTTCAGGATTTGATGCAGGGTTGTTTTTAATAATCCTATTCATGGTATTAACTCAAAATATGTGAATTTTGACTTGTGTCAATTTTGAAGAAAGACTGCGATATATTTTATTTAGGTTGATGACCAACGGAGTTAACGAACGACGTCAATTCGTTAGTTAGTTACCATTTGTGTTGATGTATATATTCCTATTTAGGTTGATAACCAATGGAGTTAACGAACAGCGCCAATTCGTCAGTTGGTTAACTACTGTGTTGATATTGATTTGATTCTATTCTAGATACACACAGGTTGCACCTTCTTAGGTAACGGAGGTAACGAACAGTGCCAAATCGTCAGTTTACTATGTTGATTTCACATATACTTTGTTTCAAAACCAGTAGAATGGGTGGCTAAGCATATAGGTGTCCCCCCTTGAGCTAACGAACAGTGTATTCACCAGTTGGTTAACTAACTGTTACATTTTACCATCTCTATTTGTACAATTTGTCCAAGATAGCACATCCCTGTATATTTCTAAAATATTTATTTTTATAATTTCTATTGAAATGACTTAATACAACCCTGTATATTTCTTAATATTGATTTTTATAATTTCTATTGAATTAACCTAAATTCACCTATCGAAAACAGATGACTAACCTAACTGTCTTTCGGGGTGAACGTCTGAAGGCCATATGGTTTATTGGTTACACTGATAATATTTGAAGCCGTCGTCTAAACGACCCCGGTGGTATCTCAAAGAAAGTTACATAAATATTTTGATTCACCATTGAAAATACAGACATAAGATTATGTACTAATTTCATTTAGTGTTGTGATGGCGTCGATTTAGGTACGTATCAGCGTTGAGAGCCGCCTTGCGTCGAGGCGCCTAGCGTCATTGTGGAGAGGAAGGTATTTAATACGGTACTGCATTGAAGGAAATATTTAGGGACGGCAAGGGAAATAAGGCGTGCGATGTTGAGCGCGTTTTGGGTATAGGAGATATTGTAGGATAGACGTTGTTTAGGAAGAGCGTTTAAGGAAAGGTACTGACTATTGAACTTGAAATATTACTGGATACAAATAATAAAATTAACACTTGCACATCAAATAATAAAAATGAATGCTTATCAAACAATAAAAATTGAATGAATCTGAGCTCATTTTGTCCGGGTTCTTATAAGCGTTTTAATGGCTTTTTGTGACGTCAGTGTCTTAGTTCCCAGCTAAAAACGAATCTGGGTGGAAAGGGGGTGGCTAATTTATTACTTGCCTTCAAAATTTTGTGTATCGAAAACAACGTTAATATTCAAACGCACTTAAGTGTGTCAAGTGTTCCTTGGGCTGGGTTCCCAGACACGTGCACGAGAATTAGATTTCTTACAGACAAGTTTTATAGATATTATTTATTAGGTGTCGTAAATAAGATTTAATTATCTGAGAGATTTTTCGTTAAATGAAGGATTTTGAATTTAATAAGAATGCAATATTATATTTAATAAATGGAATTAATAAATTATTAAGGTACCTGGGTGCGGTAGGTTACAGTTTGGAAAATTTATTAAATAAATAAAATGAAATATTTTTTACGTTCTTCATCTTCATTTATTATCAACAGCTATCTTTTAGTATTGTTCAACGCTGCTTCATTAGTGAATGTTTCGACCTGCTACTTTTACCAACCACTATCAATCGATTTCGGTTCACAAAATTTGTGTGATAATATGGAGAACCCAACTAGAAAGGAAAAAGTCACTTTCAAAGTGGCTCTGCGGTAACGCATCTGCCTTACATTCAGGAGGTCGTGGGTTCGAGCCCCACTGCCGACTGACCTGCTGTGAATGTTCTTATAACAATAGGCAAATGCTGGGCTAGTAACAATCTCTCAAACCATCCCTTCAACCCCATCCCTTCAGACCCAATCCATGAACCCTCCAGTGAGGAGGAAGAGGCTAGGAATCCCTACAGGTCCTGCTCCCAACTGGGAGTATGAAATACGCATTCTTGGTTCTACGTGCACTCCTGGTAACTTTCACTTACCATTATTTTACCTTGTGGGCTGAAACCTCCTTCAGATATGATGTTTTTCAAGGTTCCATATTTTCTTATGCTGTAATTGCGGTCTACACTGAACAATGTTTTCTATTCTAACATCCCAAGACTCCTACCAGATAAGGGTGAATTTCTTTATTTATTCGTTATATCTTAGATAATGTTCCTCCTTGCGCAATTCCTATGATGAACTGCATCCTAACTTCAATCAGTTAATATTGTCTTCATAAGGTACTTATTAATTTTGTGTTTTTTTAATAATAGTATACATTTTTTCTGCCACCAATATCTTTATGTCCATTATTTTGAAGAAACTTCTCCCATAGATGGTTCATGGAATGACGTTAGTTTTAAGGATGTTCACATCAACAATTTTATCAACCGCTTGCCATGTAGTTTTAATTATTAAACAATTTGTGTGGAATTGATTATTATTTCTTAAATCAGTACCTCAGGAAGTATCTACATGCTTTTAGAATGTTTTTATAGACGATGCTAATTAGTAGTTTGTTGAAGAATGGGAAATTTTCTGCCGGCTAGTTTGAATTCAAATCTTTTATTCAAATTAAAGGTGCCATTTCGGAACGTGCGACAGACGACATACGACAGCAGACGCGACGGCAAAGGATACCGAGCTTTTGTAGCGTACTTGTAGGCTACAAAGGCGAACAGGTTTCAGCACTCCGGTGCCGTCATATAGGAGGATGTGTAAATATGCAACCCGGCACAACATTTTTTCAATTTTTCAATAACTTTGTTTTCTCTTTGGGGGGTTCAATTACGTAGGGATAATTTTGAAAAATAATTAACTTATTTTGGAAATTCCAAAGGAATGTAGTACATGAGCTATAATATTGTTTACTATTAAGTTAGTACTTTCCCAATATTTTTAATCTACTTTGATAAATCGAAAACACTTTGAATTACCAATATCCGCAAAAACTGACATCACGGATATATTTGATTTCTGTTGTATTGACTTAAGTTTTAAAAATGTCGAGTAAATAATCTTTCATTCAATGATAATGATAACAGTAAATTATTTTTTTCCAATTTCTTTATTATTTGAATATTTGGAACATAATAAATGTTTGTTCGCAAATCTAGAGATACTGAATATGCTATTTTAGATATTATATATGAATACAATTATTAGAAATTGATAGTGACTAAAAAAATGTCTCACTTTGTACAGATACATATAGCAAGACAGTGATACAAAAAATAATTAAAGCACTTGTAGATGGAATTGGTATTTAAAAAAAAAAAATACAATCAATATCAATTAAAATTTCAGTATTTTTAAATATGTGAATAATATATTTTAAGTGCAGATATATAAGTACTGTGCTTGAGACTGTAGTTATCAATAAGCTACTGAATACTCTTAAACATTGTGAAATATGAGAATGATCCTCGACACACCTAAAATAAAAAAAAGCTGTATTAATAATAATACTCACTGGAAATTTACTACTTTTATATTCTGTACAAAACGATTTGAAAATTTGATATTTTTCTATTTAACCGTTTTTGAAGTATACAATACAGACACGCACACCCACACATTCACCTATAGACAGATATCATCGCGAAAATGGTTAAAACGGATTCAGGGAACCACAAAATTTAAAGATCCGTCAAAAACTCGAGGTCCAAAAACAAATCATGGTTCCTATAAAACTGAAGATAATTATGTTTTGAATAATCGGTAAAATAAAACCAGATTATTTTGCAAACAATTTGTTATTTATTGTTTAAAATCTTCAAAGTTAAAATCGTCGTCGTCTGTGTTGGATGAAGATACAAATCTCTCCCCGTCATTTTTGTCTTTTAACATTGACTGTCGAGATTCCTAGACAGCAAATTCAGGTACTAGTTCGGGCCAGACTCTATTTGAGAACAACCAAACAATTCGATTATTGTCAGTTCCCGAAACATCTTAAGGAAGCACCTTAAGGTGTAAAGTTTTTGTGCAGATTTGTGTGATAGAAAAAATATCTTTAAATTATTATAATATGTTTGGGTTTTGTTTTGAGACAATTAATTTATTGATTTTCATATAATTGTCAATTTTTCCATTTTCATCCTAAGTTTAATTCATCTTATATTTATCAATATTTACTTATTTCAATATTTGTTACGGTATATTAACTTTTATTATTATTCTCTCCACCTCTTTCGAAAACCAGTTATGAAATATTTTGGGTATTTGTGACGGATCGACGTTTCTACCCCTAAGGACTGGAAGAGTTTATAACTAGTTGCCAAAGCCGCTTGACTATGTTATTAAGGATTAATTTTATTTAAACAAGTGGTATGTGTGTATACACTGGATGATTAAAGGTTAAAGAGGAATGAAAGACGCATGTAAACTGTACAAAGTTGTGTGAATATCTAAGATATTTAAATACGTCTTTCATTCCTCCTCAACCTTTGATAATTTTATTGATTTTTTAATTTCATTTTATTATTTTTTTGCCAGCAGTAAACGGACGTTCGGGTGCTATTTTCAAAGTCGAGAGAATTCATTTCTCTCGAGAGAAATGTCATACGTCAACGTAAAACAGTATTTTTAGGGTCCTAAGGGCCAGTGTAAACTCACTGATTGTTTCTCACGGTTTATTTAGAGATAGTTAATATCCTCCTAAGAATTTTAATCCTCGAGGCCTTTAAAAACAGCGTTTCCACATTGACGTATGACATTTCTGATGAGAATCTTGAGAGAAATGAGTACTCACACGGTTTGAAAATAGGTCCCCTGGACCCTTTGGCTGGTGACAGTGCTGGCTTAATCCCTTAATAGAATATTAACAACAGTAGTTAAAGATCTATTAGTCATTATAAATGGGTCTTTTAGTGAGTTTAGACTAGTTGGTTGTACCATCGCGGCCGCTAGCTCTCCGTCTAAAATTATAGTTATCAAGCCTTGGTTTCTTTGAACATTCCGTCGCGGTGAGCGGACAGTCCGTCGACCGCTGAGGACAGCAATTTTCGCCCGAGGTGGTTTGTTAAAAAATATAGAAAATGATACTTTCTCTAGGTCTGTACGTGCTGTTTATGTATTATGAATGTAAACGAAAGGTACTAAAATGGATGCAAATAAATTGTTTGCGTTGTTATTATTGTTGGAAGAGGAAGAACAAGAGGAACTGGCAATTGCAACCGTCAAAGTTTCCAATAAGCCAGTGGATGAGTTGTTTTTGTGTCGCGATATAGAAGGTGCCTTTAATATCATTGTGCAGCTGAGGTTTTTTGGAAATGAAACCAAATTTAGGGAGTATTTTAGACTTTCTACAGATCTTTTTGAATTCGTGTTGAGTTTTATAAAGGACATAATTTCCAGGAAATCTAAAAATAAAGTCATGATGTCATTTGTATGTGTAAATTTGTCACCCATTGTTTTAAAATTAATAACAATATAGTCTCCGCACACGCCGACGATTCCGCTGATATCAAACTCAACAGATATCAACCGACTCTTCGCGACAAATCAGCGGCATGACGCCGTCCTGCTCAGCTAAGCGGATTCAAGAAAACCATTCCCATTTAAATACTCTGGTTGGATAAAATCGTCAAAACGCGACGGTTGACGGACTGTCCGCTCACCGCGACGAAGTGTTCAAAGAAACCAAGGCTTAATAATACGTACTTAAATTATATTATAGTATATCAATAGTATATAACTTACCACCATTACAGTAGATAGAGTAAGGGGTGAAAATTTTCCAATTGATAGATAGAGAGGTCGTTTCATACGAATCATAGTCAGTAACATGGATTTTTTAAATCTTTCACTGCAGCTGAACCAATTTGACTCATACAAACATGAAGTAATGTGATCAGCCTAATTAAAGAAAAGTGTTATGTCGGTAAATAACAATACTGTGTATAATAAAATAAAATAAAATCATTTTCATTCCGTCAGTCTCCAAATATAAAATTATTGATTTCAAATAAATCAAAGTAAGCCTTGGTTTCTTTGAACACTCCGTCGCGGTGAGCGGACAGTCCGTCGACCGCTGAGGACAGCAATTTTCGCCCGAGGTGGTTTGTTAAAAAATATAGAAAATGATACTTTCTCTGTCTGTACGTGCTGTTTATGTATTATGAATGTAAACGAAAGGTACTAAAATGGATGCAAATAAATTGTTTGCGTTGTTATTATTGTTGGAAGAGAAAGAACAAGAGGAACTGGCAATTGCAACCGTCAAAGTTTCCAATAAGCCAGTGGATGAGTTGTTTTTGTGTCGCGATACAGAAGGTGCCTTTAATATAACTGTGCAGCGGAGGCTTTTTGGAAATGAAATCAAATTTAGGGAGTATTTTAGACTTTCTACAGATCTTTTTGAATTCGTGTTGAGTTTTATAAAGGACATAATTTCCAAGAAACCTAAAAATAAAGTCCTGATGTCATCTGTATGTGTGAATTTGTCACTCATTGTTTTAAAATTAATAACAATATAGTCTCCGCACACGCCGACGATTCCGCTGATATCAAACTCAACAGATATCAACCGACTCTTCGCGACAAATCAGCGGCATGACGCCGTCCTGCTCAGCTAAGCGGATTCAAGAAAACCATTCCCATTTAAATACTCTGGTTGGATAAAATCGTCAAAACGCGACGGTTGACGGACTGTCCGCTCACCGCGACGAAGTGTTCAAAGAAACCAAGGCTTAAGACTCAAGTTGTCATTTTTATTACACTTTTCCGTCACTGCGTTCATCTGTCATATCGCAAAATGTATTTATGTCGTCTGTACTCTATTCTATCTCGATGGAATGACTAACATGTGAAGTGATAAGAAGCGATAACAACTCTCTTTTTATATAACTTCACTCTGTTTAGAATTTGCGACAGTACTGTACTCACTATTTTTTGCAAATTTTTTTGTTGTTTTGTGCTACTGCTATGCTTTCCGAAAAAATGAATTAATGAAACTTACAGCAACAGTTATTCTGTTTCCTGACCAACATATTAAGAATAGTTGAATTAATATACAGGAAAAATATTGCATTTTAGCAAAAAATTCGGGCGATGTTACAGGTATCTAAAAAATAAAAATATTATGAAAGTTTGATTGACATAAATATTAAGATTATCGACGTGCAGCAAGCTGCAATGGTTGACAGCACGTTGGCACGTGTTCATTTTAGGGTCGATTTATAAACTTGCACTCTCTGCCGCCGTAACTTTGCCGTAACCATTTTTTTGACGTTGTAGTCGCCAACTTTGATATATTTGAATCTGCAACTTCTATGTCTGCAACAGCGAACGGTAACGGTAACCAGTGGCGTAGCCACGTGGGGAGGGGGGAGGATGGGGTCAGTACGTTAACGTACTGGAAACGCTTCAACTCTCTAATGTATTGCAAATGATATTTGCAGAGTTAAATTGGAAAGTGAATTGTATTTAAATGCTCAATGTATTTTTAACAAAAATTGTATCGTCAGTTATATGATAAAATATAAAATACCTACTTACGTTTGATGCGATAAACAAACAAGAAGCAATAATCAGAAGAGAAGCTAGTGTTTGAAACAGAGTTATAAATGAAAAAACGTATTCGACTTCATCTCTAACTCTAAAAAAAAAAACATATAAATAGGTTAAACAAATACTTCATACATTATTCATTTCATTTATTTTATTTTAAAAACCAATATGTCCCAAGAAAGCACAACAGGACTGCACATATGCGATCGGCTAGTGTGTACTGAGAAACGCACGTACACCAATGCATACGTTTGCTTTCGACAGTGTTCCACCGGCTTTCGGTACTTCAAAGGATTTTCATCCGCATGCCGCGGTGGGCAGTACGTAAACCGAATGCATTAAACAATATCTAAACAAACAGTATCAAGTGGCTTTTATTATTATTATTATTATATATAGTCTAGAAAAGAAAGGAGTGCAGTAATTTAATTTGCAGGACGTAGTACAGGTTCAAGAGATAGACTTTTTATTTAAACCTTATCCTTCAATGCTTATTTGTAGTTAAAATGACAATTTTAATACATCTGATCGGCCTAATAAAAGTTTTCGTTTAGATTTAATCATGTTTCCATATTTTTACACTAATAAACCTTTTCATTTGACATATAAGTCAGACTTTATTCATAGTCATATCATCTTTAGAATAAAAAAACATCGTACCTACTTAATCTTCTTAATAATCTTCTAAAAGATTTTGTTCACTTTTTGTGGATTAAATAGCCACTAAATGTAAGACCTATAGTGGAGTATCTAAGCGGACAGTGTATAACATTATTAAAGAAGAGACAGTTATTGGAGAAATATCACTTTCGGAAAAGCCCCCAGGAAGAAACAAGACTTTTATTAAAACTTGAGTAAATAATGTAATAAGGCAAATGATACATTCTTTTTTCTTTCGAAATGAAACATGGGTTAATGCTGGACATACAGTAACAAAAATTTGGCGAGATACCTCCATCAAAAATAAAAAAACAAGTTTTTATGGAATGGGTCTATTATGGATTAAAAAATCCAACAGGAAAAGGATATAATAACCCATTTTGGAAGCACCGATGTATTTTTGCCAGATGGTTTATTAATGTTCGAGTCAAAGAAAACAAAAGACCACCATGAAGAAATAGATGGACCTATGTTTGAAAATTGGTTTTTATAACATTACAAAAAAAATTCCAGCCAACTCCGTTATTATTTTGGATAATGCATCCTATCAATCACAATCGATTAAAGGAGTCACTACTGTTAAGGACCATTCAAATATGTCTCCAAGAGGCGAACGTTGGCAGTCCTGCACTGACTGACGTAAGATAGAGGGACGCCGAGTCTTCTTGAAGTTGTCGTTGAAGCAACACCGGTTAAAAAACCTTTGTACATAACACGTTGTTTATTATATGTTAACAGTGAACAAATCATTTAAATACGGTCCTTCGAGCTTTAATATGGTTGTCCGTAACAAAGTGGTCCTTCGAGCCGTATGAACAACGCCAGTTCGCGTTTTTGTGTCGTTTTCTAAATTAAAAAACACGTGCATCAAACTTGTGGCAGTTGCTGCATTTTATTTCATTTTGCATAGCAAGACCAAAAGTGCCAATACTAAACTGCTGGACAATATATAATCCTCCTTGTTATTTATTAATTAAATTTAATTCGTTCAGTGTTAAAGTGCAACAATTTTGTCAGAACTATAAGGTTTATTTTTATTTTTTGTAAATTATGTAACTTTTTTCATTCACAATTTAATCTACGAAGTGCGTATATATAATTTTATATGCCATGACCTTATTTATATTATATAAACTTATTTTGCAACGTTCGCCTATGGAATGTGACGTTATATCCCTACTATTATTGCACTCCTCTTTTATTTAGACTATATATAGTAATACACGTTCTGCTACCAATGTTTAATAGATGAATAGAATGCATTATTTAAATATATATCACTACTAAAATTACTTACGAAATGAGTAATCTTAAATGATTAATTAAATGTCCAAAAGACCTAGATAAATCTTCTTCCAGTTTTGGATTTTCTTTGTCATGTAATAATTGATAATTTTTAGGTAAACCGAGATTTTTGAAACTCCGTTCTCGAATTGTTCTAAAAGCTCCTCCAAGAATTGTTAGTCGGGCTTGTAAACAGTTATTTAGTGCTACAAATGTCCCATCGGCGGCTACAAATTATTATATTCTAATCATTCTACATATTTTATTCAAATAGCAATATAATGTGAATGCATATTGAGAATAATTATAATAAATTTAACTAAGGGTATTTACTGGCCACATGTAATGGTAATGAATAATGAGTCTAGAGAATATCACTCTATCTTCATTTTTAGCTAAATTAATAAACAAATATGGAGGATAACTTACTAGCTACTATCCATGCAAAATTAAGTACTGATATTCCTTGATAGAACGAATACTTCAAACATGCAGACTTGGTATCAACTGGTAAAAATATATAATGCAAATATGGTAAATAATCGTAACAGGTCACATTTGTACCCTCAAAAATATCCACGTGTACTTCATTTAAAACTCTCAGATACATGGACATGATGGCCGAAATTGCAGCAAAAGTGTACATACCAAATATCTAAAAATTTTATTTTATAATATATTTAAGTTTTACAGATTTACCTATTTTTTTATTTGTTTGGTTGTAAGATTTGATGAGTGTCGTATTAATAGTAATTTAATGTCTATTGATATGACATCCATATTAAAAATCACAGTGAGTTAACATTTCGATGATAAATATAATGATATAACAATAAAATAGATTTCTCAGAAAACTAAAGACTTTTATTGATTGCTTTTAACTTAAATATAATTAAAAATTATGATGCATGTTGTAGATAGATTAACATATTTGAGTATTACCAAAAATTCAATAGAAATGATTTACCGTTATACAAATAACTGAATTAATCTTCTTTTCTTTTAAAAACACACGATCTGGTTTAAAATTGTCAATAGGTTCATATTGATATTTTGGATCTTGAAGTACATCCATCAATTTCTTAATTTTTTTACGTCCAAAAGTTAAAATTCCCAGTTTGAATAGTCCAACAATATGAGTCAGTAGTATGCCAATAAGGCTTAATAACTCGCTGATTTTTGAAATAGTTCTTCTTAGGACCAATACTTCCAAAAATATAAAAGAAACGCCCATAGCGTATAATATTATAAAGAAAGAAAAGTAAAAGAATTTAAAGATAAAACTGGTATCTTTGCCTGGTATCCACAACCCACAAATTTTTCTGATTAGTTCATTGTAGTGAAAAAAGTTTGTAGGATATCCGAAATCCATATTATTTGAAAACATTCTGCGAAGGTTTAATTAGATATTCATTCGTTTACAGATTTTATATAGGAGGTCACTGCGAATAGCTTGCAAATAATTCAACTGTTAATAAGTGGTTGATTGATGAAATACTGTTTTGTTAATTGTATGGTAATGGAATCTAAAATAAACCAATTTCATTTAACCAAAGCAGTAATTAAATTCAGTTAATCGTGTTATGTAGAGAAAAATAAAAATAAATAAAGTGGTATGCAAGAAAAAATTGAAAATCGCCAGATTCTTGCAAGATAAAGTAGTTTTCTCAGAAAATTGACGAGTAACAAAGATACTGATACTTTGAGAAAAATGATTAGGAAGCTTAAACGTCCAATAGTCCACAGGCCACCAATAAAAGAAGATAACGGAAACAGAGCAAGATCAGATTAACAAAAAGTTGATATCTTTCCAGATCATCTCGAAAAAAATGTACCACTAAATCATGAACAAAGACATAGCCACTTGTTCTCCAATAAACCAGGACAGACACGAAATATTATTTATATCCCGCTACCGACGAGAAGGTAGAGGAAAATTCCATGAGGTGATAAAAAAACAATTCCACATAATTAATTCTTATGAGTATTGTAAAGAAAAAAACTTTGGCAATTTTACACACGAGAGAAGAGTTCCGAATTCTTAGCACAGATCACACAACATGGAATAATAGTGGGTGAGGTTTTCCGAGTTTCTCTCACCCATCAAAAATCAGTAGCTATTTATTTTACAAGGGAAAAAAGAATTAAATTTTAGCTCGAGGTTGTGTTGTCTCCTCCCTACGCGAAGCGGAGGACTTCTAGGCTCCCGATTCGGAGACCGCCATTTCAATGTTGCCACGACGGTGTCCGAATCGGAAGTCCGGCTTGAATGTAATGTTAAGCCAAACGTCAAACTTCACTTCATTTGATTCTTCTTGTTAAATTTGAATTATTTAAACCGTGCAAGTTTCCGTCCGACTGAAAGACGTTTGTAAGACGTCTTTGAGCTTTCACATTAATATATGGATTTGGCAAGACGTCTTTAAGACGTCTTAAGAACGTCTTTGAGCTCTCACATTAATACGTCTGAATTATGGCTTTTGCAAGACGTCTTATAAGACGTCTTAATAACGTCCTAGGACATTGAGACCAAACCAAGACACAAAAAAGACGTCTTTCAGACGTCGTGTGCTATCTGGGTCATGTGTGAAAATAAAACATTAAAAAACCATCACGGTTCCTTTAAAATCGCATACAAAAGATCGGACATAGAATGCAATAAACATCTGAGTCCATATATTATTTTTATTCTCCTGAAAAATTTGGTTTCATAGAACTCTTTATGGTTTTTGCTGTGGACTTTTCACGTTTATTTTTATACTAATACTGTGTGTGTTTTTTGTTTTAGATATCACATTCTTTATAACGTCTGGGGTGTAATGCTATCTTGGATTATGTTGTAGCAGCCCGATAGTCTTGGCCCGATAGTCTTAGCCCGATAGTACCAGCCCAATAGTCCCAACTACTTCATATATTTTTTAAATATTGGATTTGTATATTTTTTTTTAAATAAATTTATTATTTTTGATTATGATTTGATTGTTCAAATAATAATTAAACCTGCAAGACAAGTTAAGATTGGTTTACGTAACTAATTTTTTACTTTATTATAGCGAATATCGATATAATAACGTAAAAACACGAGTGTGTGTGAATAAATCTTAGTTTACTGTAGATGAAAAATACAAAATATCTTAAGAGTACTTTTCGAGTACTAAATTGTAAATATTCTTGTGTGCTTTTCCAGCATTTGCAAGTGAAGGGGAATTGTAAGCCTAAAAATCGTCGGCCGACTGAACGCGGGGATGCCGGCAGTGTGGTCTGACACAAATGCTGTGTCGACACTTAAAGTACTGTTCACATCTATTGTGCCAGTGTTGGGCCATTAATGTGTGTTTGCTGGGATGTTATTCCAATAAGCCCTTTAATTTCAAAAGAATTGTGTCAATTTTTAATAAATACACTCTCGCCCTATATGAGACCTTAGATTGAATATAAATTAACATATTTCATTTATTAGGTTAATAGTATAAGTATCTGAGATTTTGTAGGTTTTAGTAGCTTCAGGTTTTTTGCGCCAGGAAGCTGTAACATGGACATTGGTAGAAATTTGGGGGGACATGGCCCTCATGCCCACCCTTCTTGAGCCGCCCTTGATGTCAAGAACAGCGCTGCAGATCTTTAAACAATAAAGTTAGCTAGATTGCAGATAGATTTAAGACCAAAAAAGAGGAATAGTCAAATTGACTCATCGATACAGACCATTATATTAAAAGAAGAAGTAATTGACACATGAAGTAAACATAACCTAATTTATTTTAACAGTTCAACTTACAACACGTGAGTTGATGTTATTTGCGTGTTTAATTTTATAAATAATATACACAATGGTGTCCAAACGAAAGAAGAAGGTAATAAATATATTTTTTCTAAATTTAAGTCAATTACTTTAATTAAACGTTAACAATTTCAGTATACGTCAGGCGAGGGGGCTCAATATATGACTAGAAAAGCGGCTCTAAAAAAGCTACAATTATCTCTTAACGACTTCCGCAAGCTATGTATATTAAAAGGCATTTATCCAAGGGAACCAAGAAATCGCAAAAGAGCCCAAAAGGGAAAGGCAGGAATAAGAACCATGTATCAAGTCAAAGATATACAATTCTTACTACACGAACCAATAATATGGCGTCTCAGAGATTACAAAATCTTCAATAAAAAAGTAGGACGAGCTAGGGCTGTGAAAGACTTCGAGAAACTAAATAAGTATCTCAATAGTCATCCAACTCTAAAATTGGACCATATTGTTAAAGAACGTTATCCTACATTTATTGATGCCCTTAAAGATTTAGACGATTGTTTAACATTGTGTTTCTTATTTAGTACATTCCCTTCTTTAGCACATGTACCTAGAGACCAGTCGGCTTTATGCAGGAGATTAACATTAGAATTTCTTCATGCAGTTATTGAAGGTGGATGCTTGAGAAAAGTTTTTATTTCTATTAAAGGATTTTATTTCCAAGCAGAAATTAAAGGGCAGACAGTTACATGGATTACACCTCATCATTTTTCATTTACACCTCATTCTAAAGCTGAAGTTGATTTTAAAGTTATGTCTACATTTGTTGAATTTTACACAGTCATGTTAGGGTTTGTAAATTTTAGATTATATCATAGTCTGAATCTATATTATCCCCCTAAATTTACTGCTTTACAACAAAGTGGTGATGAGAAATCACTTGTAGATGAAGATATATTTGTAGCTGAAAGGGTAGCTGCATTAAATTTACCCCTTTCAAAAACTTCAAATGAATTGGTAGAAGAAGATTTTGAGTTAGATAAGTTCAATGCAGATGGTAGTGAAGCAAATGAGGAAAGGCAAGAAGAGATCCGTAAAGAAATGGAAAAGATTAAAACATTAAAAAATTTGTTCAAAGGTTTTAAATTCTATTTGAACAGGGAAGTGCCTAGAGAACCACTTGTCTTCGTTATACGGTGTTTTGGAGGTGAAGTATCTTGGGATAAAACACTTTTTGTTGGATCAACTTTTGATGAAGATGATGAATCTATTACTCATCAGATTGTTGATAGGCCTTCAATGGACAAACAATTTATTTCTAGGTAAAAGTTTTTACATTAGTATCTTAGGGTAAAAGTCAACAAATTAATATTATAGCAGAAATTTTAAAACTTGCTTTATTTTATAGAAAAATAATAATAATAGTTTATTTGTCCTTTAGGATCATGTTACATGATATAGGATAAGTCAATATATATGAAAAAAAAATATTAAAATACAAACAAATGTAGGTACATATACAAAAAAAAAATATATATATATCTAAGACATGCACATTAAAAATATACAATTAGAAGAACATTTACCTTAAAATATGGTAGTATTCAGATAAATTATAAAAACATGAATCTACTAGTTTTTAAGTTTTCTTTTGAAAGGTTCATATTTCTTTTTAGATTTAATGAAATCAGGGAGTTGATTAAAAAATTTAATTGGTGTTCTGAATAAATTTGCATTCCTAGTTGAGTATTCATGGTAATTTGAATTTTGTAAAAATTGGTGTATGTTGCCTTTAGTATATAGCAACGTTTTATAAATGAAATTACAGGGAAATGTTAATATTTTAAATTTCTTGAAGTTATATTTACAAGTTTGCATTAATTCTAGATTAAAAATAAGCCGGATTATTGTTTTCTGTAAGATAAATACTTTAGATGCATTGACTGCATCACCCCAAAGAATAATGTTGTATGATATATGAGAATATGCTAAAGCATAGTAGACATTAAGCAGTTGCTCTTGGGTAAATATTGATTTTAATTTTAGTATTGCATAGTATGCTCTGTTTAATTTTTTACAAACATCAGATATTTGGCTATCCCAACCCATACTGCTATCAATATGTATGCCCAAAAATGTTGTAACATCTGAGAGCATAATTTCTGCATTATTGACATTTATTTTACATTTCTGGAGTAGAACTGAAGGCAAATGGTTTTGTTTGAATTAACAATTAAAGAATTTCTATAACACCATGATGTAAACTCATTAGATAAAACATTTAATTTACTAATTAATTCATCTACTGATTGTGTGTTGGTGGCAATTGTTGTGTCATCTGCATATAAAATTATGTTTTCTGAGTTAATATGATTAGCCATATCATTTATGTAGATAGCATAGAAAAATTAGAGGTCCTAAAATTGATCCCTGAGGCACACCCATATCAACACTTTCTAGTTCAGATTTACAATTTCCGACTTTGACATAGATCTGTCTGTTATTTATTTAAGATGACAACCAAGACAAAAAGTTACCTCTAAAACCAAGCCCTTCCAATTTTTGAATAGCGACATCTAAGTTGATTGAATCAAACGCCTTTGATAAATCAAAGAAAAGTGCACCCACAAACAACTTTTGATCAATAGAAGTATGTATGAAATTAAAAAGATCTATTGCTGCACTTTCAGTAGATTTTTCTGGAAGGAATCCAATTTGATTTTTGCATATTATTTCATATTTTTTAAGAAATATTAGCATTTTTTGTGGACACACTTTTCAAAGATTTTGCTTAAGATTGTAGGCACTGTAATAGGTCTATAATTATCAATTAAATTATTATCACCGTTTTTAAAGATAGGAGTTACATATCCTACTTTCAGATAATCTGGGAAAATACCTAGCTGAATAGACTGATTAATTAAGTCTGCTAGAATTTGAGAGATGTGATGACTAATACGTTTTATTATCTTTGTGGAAATGCAGTCAATGCCCATAGAGTTAACATTTTTTAATAAGTGAATAACTTCAATTACATCACGATGATCAACAGGAGAGAAGTAAAAGTGTTGAGAGACACATGACACAGTAAAATTTTTAAAATTTAAATCATTGAAATGAGACTGTAGTGCTTTTTTTGTGGAGGTGGCAAAAATGCTCTGCAAAAACTTTAGCTATTTGTTTTGGTTCAATAATTGACAGTCTTCCTACTTTAATTTGTTTAATTTGAGAACCTTTTGATGTTTTACCATCTTGGTGATTTACCTGTTTCCATATATATTTTTGTTTTTGCTGAAAAGTTTTATTGTGCAATCCCTTTTGAAAATGAAATCTTTTTGCTCCATTTATATTATTTAATACATTACTATGTAATATTAATACTGATAATTTTGATAAATGACAATTTATTTTTAAAGGTTTTACATTCAACCGCAATGGGTGTTTGATTCTGTAAATGCTCGGGATCTACTTCCAGTTCAGAAATACTTCATGGGTGAAGTTCTTCCTCCACATCTGTCTCCATTTATTGATGAGGAAAAAGACCAACAGTATATTCCTCCAGAAGCTAGAGCTCTGTATAATGAAAATGAACTGGAGGAACAGCACAAGAATGATGAAAACCAAGATGAGGAAAAAGATGAAGAGAGTGCAGAAGGGGCTGAAGATGATGATGATGAAGAAGATGTTGAAGAAAAGGAAGACGATGAGGCTACTGCTTCTAAAGTAAGTAGTTTTAATTGTACAAATCAAATACTTACTTAGTTTATTATTTCTGTAATTTACCTTATGATTAACTATAATGAACCTCAATCTGCCAAATATATCATTTAAAATTTATTAAAACTCTTTTGGCTTAACCACAGTCTTCTTGAAATGGTGTTAGGAATTTATAATAGCTTTACATTCAAATAGTAAACTTATGTCTAGTAGATAACTCCACAAATAGACATTTATTAAACTTAAAATGTTTTGACTAGCATTATATGGTTATTATAAATTGGAGGTAATTTTTTTGTGGGATGAAACTTGAATTTGTGGTAGATTTAAATTATATAATTTTGTTTACAGAAACCAAAGCTGTCTGTCAGCACTGGAGAAGTGTTCAAAGAAGTTCCATGGGAAAAAGACAGACAGGAGAGGCAAGAGTTCCGTTTGAGAGAAAAAATGGTCAAGAAGAAACACCGAAACTTATACAAAAGTATGATGGATGGAAAGCAAAAGAGGGCTAAAGAAATATGGTTACTGAGAAAGAAACGAAGGTTGCATGACGAAAAAGAAAAGGGAGATAAAAAAACCATCAAAAAAGATAAAGGAAAAGAGGGTTCTAAGAAGAAAGTTAAGAATTAGTATTTTTTTATATTCAATATATAAATAAAATATAATACTTGTTATGTGTTGATTTTATTTATACTAACCTGATCTTCAATTTTCTATAACTTTGTTATTTGTATTCTGGTCTACTTTAAATATTCATTATTTGTGTAGGGGAAGGGACGGCTATTATTATTATTATTTGGAGTGGCGCTCTGGGGCGACTTGAAGATGATTGATGGTGCCATTTGACTTACAGGAGAGGAAACCCCACTATCATTAAAAGGAATATAAAATAAGATTCTTTTTTTTTTTTTTAAATTTCCATAATAAATAAATTTTGTTTGTTTTCCTTTCCTATTTCGAACTTTTGTAGATTCCAAAGAGGGGATGTTTAGAAAATTCTCTATCAAACCATACTCACAAAGGACACCCAATTTATAGGCTATGTATCTAAAAAATTTATGTTGCACATTTTCTATTTCTGCTGTGCGTTATGTAATGTGGAGACCAGACAGAAGAGCAATAATCAATGAGGTCGGTCTAGTGAACAATAAAGGACTTTAATTGCAGTTGTGTCGGTAAAATCATGTGTTAGTCTTTTGATAAAACCTAACATTTTCATGGATAGCCTTAGGTATGTGTTGATTGAAGCTTAAAGTGGGATCTAGAATAACTCCAAGGTCTTTAATAATTTGATTAACAGGCTCCAAGATATGACCATTTAAGTTATAATCAAAAATAATAGTTGGTACATGGGATCAATAAAAGTGCATGACATGGCACTTTATGGCATTCAAGTCCATGCCATATAAGGAACACCAGTTTGATAGATTATCAAGGTCAGACTGAAGCCAGAGGTTTTAATAATTGGAAAACCTTGTATCTCAAAAAGTTTAAAAAAAAGTATTACCATATACATGTTTTAGTAAGAAAAAACCGTATTTGCTCTTTTTACCTAAATTTATCATAGAAAATTATTTCCTCTTATATAGCTTTGCGGTCAAAAAAAAAAAATGTTAAACCGCGTTTTTCTCGAAATCATGATTTCTGGTGATACGGGGGTCTTTCTTAGGACGGCAGAATAGTGCTTTGCCATACTGAAAACAATGAATGATGTCATTTATAAATAAGTTGAATAATAAGGGACCAAGGTGTGATCCTTTAGGAATACCTGAGATAACTTGAAATGAGTTAGAATAGCAATGTTTTACACTAACCATTTGAGTTCTGTTCGTAAGATAGCTATTAATCCATTGCAGTACGACCCCAAATTTATCGAGCTTTTGAAGTAAGAGAGAATGGTTGATCATGTCCAAAGCCTTAGAAAAGTCAGTGTACACAGAATCAATCTGGCAACCCTTCTCCAAAGCTTCCGATAGGAAGTCGACGTAGGTAACTAGATTTATTTCAGTCGATTTCCCAGCACAAAAACCATATTGATGATCTGTTATGAGGCCAGAACAGTCATAGGTAAGGTATTGTTATAATGTTCTCAAAAACCTTAGGTATAGTACTGGAAATCAGGGTTACCAACCATCCGTCATTACGACGGCGACGGACAGTCCAGCATAGTTAATGACCGTCCAGGTCGCCAGAACATATTCGTAAATTTGTTAGGATTGTAATTTACGAATTATCATACGAATTGATTATATTTATTAAACTTATTATTACTGGGACATTGCCAGAAGCTCAAACTTGAAACACACTCTTTGGCAATATATCCAATCGGAATCATTACGCACTCTTTGGCCTTCATATCTGGTGGGTGCTCTTCAATGCTCTTGCTTGGTGCCCGTGTATGTGTGTGAACTTAGTATAGATGTTTTGTCCTGTCGTAATGTAGTCGTGCTGTGAATGCAGTGTCTTTGTGTTTATTATTTTTAGTTCAGTTGTTTTTTGTTTTCGTTTAGTTCGTCTTTTTTATTTTTTTGTTTTTGACATAGGCATTCTTTTTTAGTACCTTAAATAAAAACTTTGCGATTACCGAATTATTTGTAAAACACCTCAGACTATCTTCACCAAAATTAGGTACGGATTTCTTAAAAAATAAGTAATTTTCATTAAAAGAGTGAAAATGGACTGAATTGTTTTTACTTCTCTTTATTTCCCCTGAAATCCCTTGTCTGTCCGTCATGTATGTTTCAATAACCTGGTAACCCTGCTGAGAATAGATATAAGTCAGTACTTTTTGACGTCTGACTTTCTGCCCGATTTGTATATTGGGGTGTTATAAGATAGTTTCCAGTAATCTTTAAACTCACCCGTGGCGATAGATTTATTGAAAATATAGAAAGAGAAGGCGAGACAATACGAAGCTGCAATTTCTGAGTAGGATGCGAGGAATAATGTCAGGACCTGGACCTTTCTTTATGTCAAGATTAGATAATTTCTCGTAAATGGTCGAAATAGGAATGTGGTAAGAGGAAACATTAAGTTTTTATCGTTAAAATGTTGAATTAGATTAGCGTAAACTGATGAAAAATGCTTGGCAGATTTGATACTTTACTGCCACAAGAAGCAAGAGTCTCCTAGGTTCATATTATCAGGTATATTAGATCTTTATTGGTACTTACAAAATTCCAAAAGGCTTTAACATTACTTTTAACAGAAGTTTCAACAGAATGTATGTAATTTGAATAGCATTCTCTAGATATAATCCTACATTGAGTTCTTAACTGACTGAATATTTCATAATGTTGGCGAGTCCTGCGTTTTGCTTGTAAATCTTATGTGCAACCTTTTTATCATTGACAAAGCTTCCGAATTGAAACGAATACCACTGTGGGAATCTATTTATTACATATTTCTTTAAGGGAACAATTAACTCAATTACAAAGCATCATAAAGAGTAAAAATCAATGGAGCTTCGGCTGTGATCTCCAGGACATTCACTAAAGATCAATTAGGGATCGTACTGATTCAGGAACCGTGGGTCTATGGACACCAGGTAAGAGGACTTGCATGTAAGGATGCAAGGTAATTTATCACACTAGTGATGAAGTACCCAGAACATGCATAATGGTAAGAATAAGTAATATTTTAAATATTCTTGTCTTTCAAAATTCATGAAGCGTGATCTCGTTCCAATTCGAGCATACCTGGAATTAGGAATGAGGCGGCAAGACATAGTAATAGCTTCTAGTTACTTCGCCGGAGATGGACATGTACCACCGACGGAAGTATCGAGGCTAGTGGAGTACTGCAAGATAAGACATCTGTCATTACTTCTTGATGGATGCGACGCCAACGTGCACAGCACCCTATCAAAGAGGTGAGCAACTTTTAGAATATATTTTTAATAAGAACCTTATTGTGCAAAATACTGGGAATACTCCAACATTTGTAACAAGGGCAAGAAGTGAGGTATTAGACATCACATTAAGCACACAGAACATTAAATATCTAGTTAAAAACTGGAGGGTATCGAGTGAACCATCTTTATCATATGATCACAAGATAATTGTGTTTACGTTAGAGAGCGACATTCCTGAGACGATCCTCAGAAGGAATCCTAGAAAAACAGACTGGGACAAATACAATACCATTCTAAAACAAAATTTAGCACGTATCCAGAAAAAGGGTCCCGGGCGCGAATTGGCATTGTTTACTATGCTACAACGCATACATGTTGTTGCAAAGAATGACTGAACAATCGCTCTCTATATCCAGACAAATCTTATTGCGACTCAGCACTAGCAGGTGTTCAGACGTAGTAACTATTGTATTATAGATAAGCCTGCGATACTCGAGGCATTGTTTATCGCGTTGCAGTCGAAACTATGCAAATTTGCGTTCTTTTGTGATTTTGTAGAGCCCTGGCAAAAGGGAGAGTTGGTACAGTTATGGCATTAAAGAAACCAAATGGAAACACACAAATAAGGGACACAACTAAGGTAAGCAGGCCCCCAAGAGAGGCCGCTGTAGTGGCTAAACACATATGCAGCAGAACTCGGTTAAAGTGGGCCGTAAACACTTTTGAACCGTTTAAGGCTCCAGGTGTAGATGGAATATTTTTCCTGCCCTGCTTCAGCAGGCACAGGAGGAATTACTACCACACATAATCCGGCTATCCCGGAGCAGTCTCCTTCCTTGAAGAAGCCCATCCCAATCCATTGCCTTCAAACATTGGCGCGGCGAAATCATAATAAATACTCTTCTTCAGGAGCATCACTTCAGTTCGTCTTATATTGAATTGAAGTTTCAAGAGAAGAATGATGAACATCAGGTGGGATCAATACATCAACGGATACCATCACTGTAAGTTCCACCAAGGACAAAACAAGGTTGAGGATAACTCCTCTTTGGTTGAGTACTTTGTTGGACTGGAAAAGATTGTAAAAGGCTCATATGTTCGAGACGATTTCGATAGCACCTTCTAAAGATAATGCTTTATGTCAACTAGGTCGTTTACGCGTACTTGTGCTTGCAATATTTTCTAATGCACTCGCCAATCTTATATAACTGTAAAATTATAATATATATACTAATACAAAATTCCGAATCAATTAAAATAAATACGATACGGCTATGAATAAATAAAGTCTGACTTATCTGTCAAAATAAAAGGTTTATTACATTAAAAACCATAGAAACAAGATCAAATCTAAACGGAAACTATTATTAGGTATATCAGATGTATTAAAATTTTGATTTTAACTATAAATAAGCATTGAAGGATGACGTATAAATAAAATGTCGTATCACTTGAATCTGTATTACGTTCTCCAAATTGAATTACTGCACTCCTTTCTTCTCTAGACTTTAATAATTGATTATTTGGCACCAGCTATAGGTGTAAGACAAAAAAACTTGTCAATAATAGTAATGAAAGACGGTCTTAGTGCTGAATTTTTAATTAAAAATAAACTTTGCTATAAATAAATTACCTAGAATGTACATTATATCCATTAATGTACACAAAAAAACATTCGGTTACCAATTACAAAAAAAAAACATACATAACAATTTATTTAAAATGCTACTTAATCATTTACAAGAGAACTTAAAAACAACAACTAAAAAATTCTTAAAAAAACTACCATCAAAATGTATACCAAAATTTTGAGTTTTAGAATACACTAGGATGATTTAGTAGTGCATATGGATTTTATTAACATTTTTCAAAAAAAAAAAAAATGAACACTGTCATATGTAAAAGAATATAATAGGACTAGTACTCAAAGTCCAAATATAGTCTTTAATAAGTTTAAAACATTGATACAATTTTAATACTCATATATCCTATTTGGCACTCTTGCACATGACAGTTGCCTTTGTATCAATAATATCCATACGAAACGACTCAACAAAATTCAATTAATTATTATCAAATGGCAATCAAAAATAATCATCCATTAACTTTCTTCATTTTCTTCATCACTATCTTCTAATTCAGGCATGGGGAATCTTAAAATGGCTGCGACTCCGGTCAGTTGTTCCAATTCTAAAAAATTAATTTGGTCAAATCATGTCATGGTTATTTACGAGAAACGATCATATTCAATGTTATGACAAGTCATTCCAGGTACGGACAAAAGTATAGAAATATGCCTAAATAATGAAAATAGACACAAGCAATTCATTCTTACACCAACGATGAAATAAAATATCATAAATAGGCTATGTGACACCACTGGTGATCGATAGCAGGCTGCCCCACACATATGAGTGGTCATTCGCGTGCATAATATAAGGATGAGTCAGCGGGATGGGCAGAGTTAATGATATGGAAAAGAGACCCATGACAGAAAAACGTTGAACAGGGTATGTTACAGTCATATTTTTCTTCACTTTCAGATCTGATGATGGCAATACGACCAAATTTGGTTGCCATGAACATTTTTTTATATGTCGAATTCATTTCGAGTATAATTTTTTACTAATTATGGCTTATTATACCTCTTAAGACTACAAAGGAGTGCAAATTCATTAAATTTGGATATTCTGGATATGTCTTTCAATAACTTTAGAAAAGCTACACGAAATGGACTGTCTTTATATTGTCACGTTAAGCGTGTCTTTAATAAAGAAACGCTTAACGTGACATGGTGGAGGTGCCGGGCATTCAATTACATGCATTCAGGTATCTGGAAATAAATCACTTCAATTGTACATTGCACTCATATCTCTCTTTGTGTAGTTTACAATATATTTGGGGAAAAGTGAATATTCAACTGTAATACCGTCATCTTCCGAATTCTATCCCATAGGGAAGGATCCTCCCCATAGGAGCTCCGGCTCTGGATCTCTATAGTTTAAATTAAAAGTATTTTTTGTATTTTGAATAACTGCGTTTTGGATAGTTAGCTAAGGGTTGTGACATGTGCCCAAGATGGAGTGGTAAGTTAATCTTTTATTGTCTATTTGTTAATATATTGAGCCCTATATGTCGAGTTAGGACATATTTTGTATAATCGGTTTAAATTATATTAGAACACTGTGTTTTCTTCAACCCCTTTTTGAGGGACGAGTAAGGTTCTAACATCAAGAGTAGAATCCTTATACAGTTAAGGGCAACGAAGCCAAATTTAAGGTTAAATAGTGTTTACATGATTGAGGTCTGAACTTATATATTTTGCTTGATAAACCCCGGGACACAGATAGTCCCATAATTATTAAAGAGCAGGTAAAACGTGACATAATTCTTTAAAACACGCATAACGTGACAATATTTTGAATACTTTCACCATTATTAATGATTTTTATTGATATTTTTATGATTTTAAAAATGATCTATTACTTATACTTCTTAATACTTGTCATTTGACCGACTTAAGTGTTGGTGTTTGTTTTTTTAATGTATGGTAATCTTTTAAATGATTTTTGTATATTTTTTATTGTAATGGGAATTTTCCGCAAGTTGTTTAGTTCAATAAATAAAAAAAATCTCCGAAATTGGTACTCTGGGTCTAAATGCTTCGAGATAGATCAACTTTCTTAATTCCAGATGAAGAAATATATATATATTTTGAACAAATCCAAGACACAAGAAAAATAAATACTTACGCTCTCCCGACACATGCAGACTGGAAAATATTTTAACATCACCTCCAGATTCTCTTACAGAATCAACTAAATTCACATATTCTTTGCGTAATTTGACATCTTGTGACCTAAAAATGATATTAATTAAAATATTACTATTAGATATTTCAAAAATGATTAATTTTACCTAAATAAACTGTCTGAAATCAACAAGGTTTCAATAGCTTGTTCTGCATTGGCTGTTTCGCAATGTTTTTTACCATAAAAAGCCTTTGAAGGTTCGCACTGAAGAGTAGTGTAAAAGTTCTCCAATGCCTTTACTTCAGCAGCAGCTTTTGTGTCTGATATTTTGTTAATAACATGTGGATCTTGAAGAACCTCTGAAAAATAGTTCAAATAATAAAAACATTGATAATATATAGGGTGATATGTAAGTAATTTTGGTGGAATTTATAAGAGACTTCAGATGTAACAAAGAGTATAACAAATTTCTTGATTTCTAGTTAATTTAAGTTTTCATCATATAAGTTATGAATTTACTATAGCACTTTCTACAAATTCTAAGTCTTATGATCTAGTATATAAGGAATTTTATTATGATTTTAGAAACGGTAACTACATGGAACTAAATAATTATTTGGCATCAATATGCCTAAAAAATATGAATGTTGACGATGCTACTAATTTGTTTTATGAATTCTTGTTAACTGGAATTGCTTACTTTACTGAGTATAAAAGAGAGCAGTCACATGAAAGTTATGTTAGATTTTCTCAGTTGCGTTCAGAATGTAAGAGGAGGCTCTCTGACATTTGTTTTAATAATTATATTAAGAGTCTAGATGCGAAATTGATAGAAGATCCTAAATCTTTCTGGAAGTTTATAAATGACAAACGCTCTAACCACAATTTGCCCAGTTCCATGTTCTATGGCAGTCAAGAGGCTGTATGTGGCCAAGATATTGCAAATCTATTTAGGGACTTCTTTCAAACTGTATACACTATTAGTGATAATACTGATGATGTAACTAGAGACAAGAGCCTAAGCAACAATATAAGGAGTAATGAAATATCAAAATCTGACATCTTCAATGAAATTTTAAATATTCCAAATAAGTTAACATCAGGTCCAGATGGTGTTCCTAACTTTTTATTAAAGAAATGTGTTTACACAATTGTTTTACCCTTATTTTTGCTATTTAACAAATCGTTGGAATGTTCTATTTTCCTGAGATCTGGAAAGTAAGCAATATTGTTCATATTTTCAAAAGTAGGGAAAAGAACAACATCGAGAATTACCGTAGTATCTGTATACATTCTGCTATACCGAAATTATTTGATTGCCTAGTTAGCAAACAATTGATTTGGCAATGTAAAGGCTTAATCTGTCAGGAACAACACGGTTTTCCCAGAACAGATCAACTGTTTCAAACTTAACAACTTAGGTGTACCTCAAGGGGGCCATAGCTCACCTCTTCTTTTTAACATTTTTGTAAATGATATTGTTGGTTGTTTTGTGTACAGCCAATGTGCTAAGTTTGCTGACGATCTCAAGTTTTGAAGAACAGTAGAGAACATTTGTGATCAAGAACTCCTTTAGGAGGATTTTAATCCCTTAGTAGAGTAGTGTAATAAAAACAAATTGTACTTAAACGAAAATAAATTTTGCTATATAAGTCTTTCCCGTAAAGCTGTTAGGATAGCAACAAACTATTTTATTAATGATCACCAACTTTAATACAAATCAACAGAAAAAGATATGGGTGTCATTTTTGATGAAAAACTAGCATTTGTTGAACATATAAACTCAATCTCTATTAAAGGATTATTAAAGGATCAAAAATGTTAGGATTTGTAATAAGAAATTGTAAGTACTTCTCCACTGATGCCACCATTATGGTTTACTGCTCGTTAGTTAGATCCGTGCTTGAGTATGGCTCAATTGTGTGGTTACCATTTTATCAAATTCATTCTGATATTTTGGAAAGGGTACAACATAAATGTTTGAGAGTATGTGCAGTTAAAAGTACTGTCAGGATTTCAGATCATGATTATAGAGCTATAGAAAGTCAATTAAATTTGTCGCCTTTAAGGGAAAGAAGAGACATTATTTGGTTTAGTATTTTTATTCAAAATTTTAAATGGAATTATGGACTGTCCTTCTCTTTTGAGCGGGATTAGCCTAAATGTTCCTTATTACCTTGGACTGATATATCCATTAACATTTAATATACCGTTTCATAGAACGAGCTATGGCGTTAACAGTCCTATTGACAGATATTTGTCTCTGTTGAATAATTTTAATTTATATATTTTTAATATGGGATTAGTCAAATTTAAAACCAATTGTAAAAATGTGATACATGTTCCTTAACTTATATTTAACGTATATTTAAATTCACCAAGTAATTACTGTAAAAACTCACTTTTGTACTTTGTTTTAGTAATGTTATAGTAATAGTATTTTTCTACCTGCCTTTTTATATTTTTATATTGTAAATTGTATAAATTTCTTTAATGGGGTTATCCCGTATAATAAATAAATAAATAAATTTAATTTCGGTTCACAAACCTGCTATAATGACAGTTTCGTTTATATTGCTGTGACGCAGCTGCAGTTTTTACTATTAAAACGGAATCTAACTAAGTTTCTTACAGTTAGGTAGCCATCAATTTAATAAAAACTCCCTGCCACATTTAGTAGAATAATATTATTAAAAAGTTATAGCAAATAATTATTTTGTATACCTTTCAATGAATGCTTGAATCCTGAAGACGAATGGATGAGTTTGAATTTCGATTTATTTTCAAGCAGGAGTTTATTATCCGTTTTCACAGCTGTTTGGAACATGTGCTCATAGAACTGATCCTTAACAAATCCTGGAGATGCTAATAGTACACACTTAACTATGCTGAAATCGATGTGCCGTAGGATAGCCTGCATTACTTGATCATAAAATTTTACCAATCCCTAAAATGTTATTCATTATATTTAATTGCTCAAAGTGTTATTATTAGAGAGAAGAAAAAATCTTTATTGGGAATAATTCCAAAGAGCTATCGACCAGAGTCTTTCTGTCCTGTTATTATTATTAAATAGTTTAGAGAAATTCATCAGGTTGATTGATTTTTATTAGTGACGAAATATATTTCTGTTAGGAAAATTTCTCCTTTTATTTCAACCCTTTAATTGCTAGAGAGGTTAAGTGATAGTATATTATCATTGTTTAAAATTTGCCTCATTGATATCTTGACAGAAGCACAAGCTTCTGTTATCTATTGATATCACTCTTCTAGGGTTTCGTAAACTTTAGATTTAAGATAGCCCCACAAAAAAATCTTAAAGAGTGAGATCTGGTGATCTTGGAGGTAATTCCACAGCTTCAGAAGAATTTAAAACCCTTCTCAAATAAGCTATCATTCGATTAGAGTAAGGGTATATATTTTCATAACAATTTAGTACTTTTTGTGAGAGGAATTTCACAAAAAAATACTTTCATAAAGAATTAATAGTGATGACTGTTTATTCTATTTTACCTTTTCGTGTTGCTGTACAAAACCCTTTCGTTTTCTGGGTATGGTTACATCGATTTTAGCTCTTACAATTGTCATGCTAGATAATATGAGACAAACGTGCGCCAAACCTTCTTGCATTACGACAGCGGCGACGTCTGCGAGCTTTGTGGGATCACAAGCCATGTCAATGCGTTCTAGAGATACAGAATCCCATTCGTGTTTTTTTAGTGTGAATTTTCTGTTGAGCTCGAGATGTAAAGTATGATAGGCACCCATCTGAAACATATATAAGATGCTATTTACTGTTTGTTATGCAATTGCAGAAGTTTATTAATAATACCCCCACTATTGTTAATAAAGATGTAACACCAAGACAAAAAACTAACTAATATTGATATACTCTACTTAAATGCCCAAAGTTTACTTAACAAAATTGATGAAATTCAAATAAGTTTATTATGTTACTGTCCTAAGATAATTTTTATAAATTGAAGAAATCTGAAATTAAAATCGTTAGGTATAATCTGATCAGATGTAACTCCTCAAACCGAAGCACAGGGGGTCATAATTTACATGAAGGATAATTTAAAGTTTTCTGTTGCTAAGACCTTTGTGCTTGAGCCAAATTATTGGTGCAAAGTAATAAAACTTGATCTTAGTGGTTATCAGTGGTTAATGGGTTGTCTCTACCATTCACTATCAAATTCTGATGTTGTATTTTTGGACAGTTTGGAAAATATATGTGATTCTATTTTTGCTAATAATCAATGCTGTTTTTAATTGGCGATTTTAACTTTGATTATACAAATGACTGTTTTTATAGTAATAAAATTAAAGCAATGTTTTTATCTGAGGAGTTAGAAATAAAACGAGGTGTACCACAAGGAAGTGTCCTAGGTCCCTTGTTTTTTTTTATTTATATCAATGACATTGCAGACATTCAGACTAAATGTTTATTTCACTTATTTGCAGATGACGCGTTCATTTATTATTCTTCTCTAAATATAATAGATATTGTTACAATGATTAATAAGTGCTTAGAAGTTGTTTATAGATGATGTTGTGCTAATCTATTAAATATTAATTGTAAAAAAACCAAATTCATCATAATTGGCAATGAGCAGTAATATAAACTCTTTGTAGAACAAGATCATAAAATAATGATTGGGCCTTCCGAAATTGATATGGTAAATGAATACAAATATCTCGGAGTTATTATAGATTGACAACTTAAATGTAAACAGCACGCAAACCATTTAATAAAAACAATTTCATTTAAAATAAATTATCTTTACAGATGTTCACAGTATTTATCCAAGTAGTCAAGGCTTGTTCTATTTAACTCTCTTATACTACCTCACTTCACTTACTGCTCAACCGTATTATATCTCTTAAATCAAAATGAGAGAAATCGGTTCCAAAAATTGCAGAATAGAGCTATGCGAATATTATTGTCATGTTCTAGATTGACCCCTATTGTAGAAATGCGGATATCTTTAAACTGGCTCTCAATTAAAGACATGTTCCTTTACCAGACATTAATTTTTATATATAAAATAAAAATAGGTTACAGGCCTGACTATCTCCAGCATAAAATTACGTATAACCATCATGTTCACACCCATAATACAAGACTTAGAAATGATTTTTATATTAGGACCGTCAACACCAGTCATGCTCAAAATTCAATCTTTTTTAAAGGCTTACAGCAATTTAATGACTTGCCAGAAGATTTAAAGAAAATAGAATCAATTAATGAATTCAAATGTAAAATAAAACAATATTTGTTAGATGTAAGTAGCTAATTTAGTTATTGAAGTATTCATTATTAATATTAATATTTTATGTGTTGTTTAATTGTATTTTATTTTATACGACTACAGTTATATTAATAACCTATTGTATTTATACATTTATTTTTAGTGAGAAAGTGTATTATTGTGACTATGTATTAGTTGTTTTTTTGACTAAATAAAAGCATATACAATATGGAATTGACCGATTAATCACTGAGCCTACACGAATTACAAATAATAGTTTTTTTTCTTTTTGTGTGTCATTGGCTTCAACTGCTAAGGTTATTTCGCCTCGTGTTCTGTGTAGGCCTTGTTACTGTTTCCCAGCGCCACTTTAGGAACAGCACTGTTAATTAGAACCCAACAGTGAATGGTCGAGTGGGTTGTAATAATTTTGTTAATGATACACTCCGAAAATTAGTGACCATTCTATAATATCTGTTATTCTTAGTAATAACAACAAAGACATAAATATAACCACTAAAATGTATAGAAACTTTAGTAAAACTAACTTAATATCATGTAATTAGAACTTAAATTCTACTGATGTAAATACTATATACAATGAACTTTATAAGAACTTTCAAATGGTAATAAATAATGAAAAATGAAAAATGGGGAGCATTTAAAAAATTGAGGAATAAAGTTGTAAATTTACTAAAAATAAAAAGAGAACAATATTATTTTAATAAAATTGATAAGAAATAAAAATAATTCTTGACTAATGTGGAAGACTCTTAAAAAGTTAATTAATACTAACAGTCAAGAGTTTCCAAATTTTATTGAATTTAATTTAAACAATGAACTCCAAATCGAACATAATGTTACTGAAATTGCAAGTAAATTTAATATATTTTTTATAGATAGATTACTCAAATAGTTGATAGCATCTCTACTGAAATAACAGGAAATTTCTGTAACTATAATATATATCCTCAATTTTTAAATTTTCAGTTATTGTCATTGAGTGAATTGAGAGTAATTGTAAAGTCGTTGGACAATAAATGTACTATTTATGAAATCCTTAATTCCAAAATGTTGAAAGAAGTATTTGAAACGTGTGGTCATGTTATCTTAAATCTAATTAATACTTCTCTTCAGACTGCAACAGTACCAGATTCACTAAAAATAAGCAGTTCCAATTCCTAAAGTAATACAATAAATGCTTCAGAATTCCGACCAATAAATACTTTGCCACCTATAGAAAAAGTGCTTGAATCAGTTGTATATGTATGAACAAACTCTTCAACATATTAAACACAATTATATTTTATTTATTAACCAATCTGGATTCTGCAAAAAACACTCTTGTCAAGCAGCTCTGCAACTCTCCTTATGTAAATTTAAAACGGAGGTAGACAATAATAACTATGTAGTAGTAGTTTTTCTAGACTTAAAGAGAGCATTTGAAACAATAGGTCGCAATATTTTCTTAAAGAAACTTACTGGATATGGCATTATTGGCTGTGTTTTGAATTGGTTTACTAATTACTTATTTGGAAGAAAACAAAGAGTAAAAGTTAATAATAATATATCTGCTGAAAAGGATATTAACATTGGTGTACCGCAAGGTAGAGTTCTAGGGCCACTTTTATTTATCTTGTATATAAATGATTTAAACCTCTTTGTAGATTGTGTTTTTATAAATATATTTGCAGATGATTCTTTAATGGCTTGTTATGATAATAATTTGGAAAATGCGGTACAAAAAATGAATTGAGCTCTAAACTCTGCCAATAATTATTTAATGTATAATAAACTTAAACTTAACGTATTAAAAACTAAAGCTATGAAAATAACTACTAAATATAAATATACCAATATAGACAAATGCAATTAATCTTACAATTAAAGATGAGAAAATTGATATTGTAACATCTACTAAATACCTTGGCTTTCAACTTGATAATTTTTTATTGTTTAGTGAACATTTTACTTAATTATATCTAAAAAAAAATATCCAAGAAACTTACTTCTTTGCAAGAATATCAAAAAACCTGAAATTACAGTTTATCACTCAATTATTCAATCACATTTTGATTATTTTTCATCGGTTATCTTCCTTTTCAACTTAAACCAAACAACACAGTTAAAAACTGCAAAATCATGGTATGAGGATTATATTGAGGTGTAGCAAATATACTCCTATATCTACCATGCATAGATCACTGCAATGGATTTTGGTTTATCAGAGATCATACTATTTGACTATGGTGTTTGTATATAAAATATTAAATGGTTTGGCCCCACCTTATTTTCAAGAATATACCTATTAATTTTAACAATCATATTCATAACTACTCTACCAGATATAACAGTAACTTGCACATAGAACAAATAAATAAACATCAATGAATTCCTTATTTTTTAAATGCTTTGACCATTACAATAAATTGCTGTTTGGTATTAAAGCTAGTTTGTCAGTAACAGGTTTTAAAAAGAAAATGATAAAACATGTTCACTTATTCACGATTGATGAAATTAGTCTAAAGTAGATTAAATGTGCAAATCTTTTTTAAATAAATTTAATTTAATTATATTAATATGTATATTTTGTATTTTAGACTTTTGTATTTGGAACTTTTATATTTTGGACTTTGTTTTTATGTTTTGTTCAGTCATAAATTGTAATTTTTTTTCCTAATTTTTGTATTTTGAATTTGAGTTGTTGTTTTGTAACAAAAAAAAACATTGTTTGTATAATATATTTCAATAAATATATTTTCATTTTCATTCATTTCTGAATTTTGTTAAATTCAAAATTTTCATAAAAAATTAAGCAAAGAAAGTATGAAGTAGGTACTCTCATTTAAAAACTTCATAATTGTAAAAATAATCAGACTTGATACCTAATGTCTTTTCACAGAGTTATCGAGATGAAAAAAATATTAAAAATTTCTTACTTTTACATACTGATTTTCTTCGACATTTCTTCCTTTCAGTCTCAACATACATGCTTGAGTATCGAAATCTATTGATTCTACAGTAATAGTCAAAGTTGTTCGCACCCTATTAGAGGTAGAAGAACCAGTAGAAGATTCAGTTTGAACTTTTCTGATAGTGGTACTTCTAACCGAGTCTCCTTCCGAAATGAGATTATATGCATGCCACATATCTTCAGCTTCTTCGGGGATGAGGGTAACCATACTGAAAAAATCAAAGGCCATGTCTTAGATTATTAATTAGAAAAAAAAACCTAATTGTTGCTTTAATATAAACAAAATGATTTTCATATTATCGTTTTTATGTAAAGAAACACAAAATCTAAGTTTAAAAATTATATTAAACAAGTTTCTTTTCATAAAAGTGAAAACATATTGTGAAATAAAACTTTAGACTTTTGGCAGGTGTTTTATTACATGTGACATAACCTCTTCAAACATGTAGAAGAATTTAGTACTTACCCCTCACCGTTTTTATCAATATCTTGAGATACCAGTTTCATTTTGAACGATTTTCTAACAAACTGGTTAATACAATAAAATTATTTAACTGTAACATAATTTGTTGATAAATTTCTCGATAGATCTTCATGACACACTCTGCATTTATCTGTCACTGTCAGAATATTTGACAGGTCTATGTTGGTTATTCCATTCTTCTATACTTTCTAAGTTTTTACGGTCTCTTTCGTGAAGAAAATCTGGTAAACTTCTTTTGTCTAATGCCTTTTATGTGATAATAATAAGGTTAAAAAAAATTACACCAAATTTTCAGTTATTTTCAGATTGTATAGAAGAAGACAATTGAAATTTGACATTTCTAGGTTTTATTTCTTCATTTGAATTGAATTTATAATTTTCCTTTTTCCATTTGTAAATGCATTTCTTGAATAAATGTTTTGGTATGTATTTTATGTAAAAATTATTACAAAAAAAAATATCACTTTTCTGCGGTTTACAAAAGATGTGTAGGTAAGGAAAAATATTTGGTATATGGTTCTGGGTAACCTTTTCTTGAAGTAGAAATTTTGAGAGAAGAATGAGACAAAAACACAAGTTTTGTGCGTTGCAGATAAAAAAGAAAAACCGGTTTTCTACTCTCTTGAATTCAAGAATAGCTACCCATGTCGCGCTCGGGCTTACAAAATTAGTCACCACATTTACTGGATAGGTATTTTTTTAACAAAGATTGACAAGTTTACCGCACAGAACACTTTTACCTAAGCGACTTCCTTCCTCCATGCTTAAACATTTGACAATCTGGCCGCGTGTAGACCATCGTTTTATAAAACACCTGGGCATTTTATAATCTGGCTAGCCAGATAGCAAAATAATGAAATGTAAACAAAAATTTGACAATTTGGCCGCTATTTATAAAACGCCTAGGCAATTTATAAAACGACGAGTTTTGTAATCTGGCTACGACATATTTAATGTATAACAGGGCTGGTATACCAGCCCTGATGTATAAGTAAAATTTGGGAAACCTTACAATGGTCTGCAAAAAGCTTAATTAAATCATAAATAAATAATGTATCACATTTAAACATACGTAAATTCATAAAAAGTATATTTTTATTTATCTTTATTTTATATAAGGCATCATTCTTGTTAATTATACATTATATTTCAAGGACACTACCCTATACATAACTATTTAAATTATTACAAACCATTTTTTAGAGGGAGCATGATTTCTTTTTGATGTGTGAAAGTGCTATATTGTTTTTTTCTATCCATATCTCTATTAAAACTAATACACATTTTTGTATTTTTAGAAGTAGAAGTTCCATCAACCAGCAATAAAATTCTTGTGCCACTACTTATGTAAGAATGATTTATTCAGCTTTGAGAAAAAAATATCATTAATCCCAATTTTTCCAATTTGTTTTGCTTTTTACTTTTTGGCAGCTACCTATCTCTTTATGTAAACGACATTGCCTTAATTTAGTTGGAAATCACGCATTGAAGTTGTAGTGATAGAAACGAAACACTGCAGATTTTATATTGTGAATTTGTTAAGGCTTTAAATGAAATGAGAGCATTTTACAGATAATCTTGAATATTCAAAAAATTTATATGGTCAATTTTATTTCGTTATGTAATATCTAAACGTTTTATATGATTTAAAGGCCTTTATCAATTCTGTAACTGAAAATGTCGAGCACTGTTACATTTGCTAAGAAATTCATAGACTTTTTTTTAATTATCTAAAATTGTTTTTTTGCTACGACTTCTTAATTTTAATGAAATTATTGTTTTCTGCAGTGCTGACAAGATAAAACTTTCGGTCCTATTTTGTCAATGTTGGCGTTTGTGTGCAGAGCCGCTGAGAGCCATGGCGGGATCCGGAGCAAAATGCTTCCAAGGGCCTGTCCCCCACATATTATAACCTATTTTTTAAAGCTGCCTGGGTTCTGAGGATTTTGCTTCCCTTGCCAACCCCTCTCGACGGGCCTGTTCGCATGTGCAAAAGAGGAAAGAATGCATGGTATCGACGTTGCCAGTGACAAGATGGTAGCTCTCACTATCAATTAACGACTCTACTTGTGATTAACAACATTGATACTGCTTCGTTTCTTTTCCTTACATATCTGAACGTCATTATTTACTAATCAAACCAGCAAAGCAGGGTCTCTTTATTGTGTTTGTCAATATTTAAGTGTACAATTTCTGTTTATTATGTATTTTTTTACAAATAAAACATCTTTAATCGACTTCTTTGTTTTTGTTTCTTAAATTAAATCGATTTCAAAGGACAAATCAGTTAAAAGGTGAGTAAGAAATGACCACAGAACAATTACTTTGAAATGACTAGCAAAAAAGTACAAGCGCCATCTATTAGCTAATAGACGAAGCTACACAATTTTAGATGTTCACTAATCAGCAACCAAGATTACACACTGGTGTATTCTGTGTTGCCTGTCAACTAGGAGATAATATGTATAGGAAAAAATACATCGACTTTTGAATTCTTGTGCTTTCATTTATATCCATATCCTCCAATTAAATATTTACAATTTTCCCATCGTTTAAAAAATACTTCTTACATCATTTGATTGTTGGTAACTGAAAAAATTGCAAAAATATTTAAAATCTTCTAGATAAATAAAAGAGTTCGCCTCGTCATTTCCTGTGCTTTGATTTAAATATATACACATTTCCATCGAGGTAGGAACGTAAATAAAACTTTCGCGACGATTTAAAATTATTTTCGCGCGTTTTAAAACCTCTTATAATACCTATTCGTTTTTCTGCTATCCTGATACAAAGATAAAATAGTAAAAAGTTCCAATTTTGCGAATAAAATTTTGGTATCAAGATAATAGAAAAGCGAGGAGGTATGAACAATTTTTATTTTTACTCAGATCTTTATGAAATTCGGCACAACGTTACAGTATTTAATTTAAAATGTCTGGCAGGTGTCTGCTTCTCTCCATCTTCGATACTTTTTCTAAATGAGTCACAACTTTTTTTATTATTACTGTTAGAAAAAACTGAGTATATTTTTGAGCTCCAGGGGTTGCATTCTATGCGTATGCAGATTATAAATTGTTTTTATTTTCTCAAAAAAATCGAAAGGGTATAGCCTTCCAAATTTTTTGACAAAAAGTTTTTTTGTCTCTGATCTTGATGAAAATTGGGGTACAAATAAAAGAAAGCAAAAGGAATTAAGGGGTGAACTCAGTTGCTCCCTAGCTATAAGGGTTAACTTTTTTTTATTAATTCCTCCAGTTAATAACGTTCGAATTATTCCATAAATTCACATAGAGGTAGAGCCAGACGGATAGTTTAAAATGCCCCTTACCGCTTGTCTCTATCTCGCGCCGTTTAGTAGTTATTCACATTTAAAATAAAGTCAAATACCTTGTCGCGTTTCTGCTATCCTGGTACGAAAATTTTAAGACAAAATTGGATCTTTTCGAATTCGGAACTTTGTATCAGGATAATAGAAACGCGAGGAGTTTCTAAAATTTTTATTTTTGCAACAACTTTTTTAATATTGCTGTTAAAAAAAAACTGAGTGTATTTCTGAGATCTACATGTGACCCTCTATCCGTATGCAAATTTAAACAGTTTTTTATTTTTTCAAAAAAATCGAAAGGGTATAGCCTTCCAAATTTTTTGTCAAAAATTTTTTTTATCTCCGATCTTGATGAAAATTGGGGTACATATAAAAGAAAACAAGAGGAATTAAGGGGTGAACTCAGTTGCTCCCTAGTTATAAGGGTTAACTTTTCTTTCTTAATTCCTCAGTTAATAATGATCGAATTATTCCATAAATTCACATAGAGGTGGAGCCGGACGGATAGTTTAAAATGCCCCTTACCGCTTGCCTCTATCTTGCGCCATTTAGTAGTTATTCACATTTAAAATAAAGTCAAATACCTTGTCGTGTTTCTGCTATCCTGGTACGAAAATTTTAAGACAAAATTGGATCTTTTCGAATTCAAAACTTTGTATCAGGATAATAGAAACGCGAGGAGATATCGAAATTTTTTTATTTTTGCTCAGATCTTTATGAAATTTGGCACACAGGTACAGTATTTAATTTAAAATGCCTGGCAGGTGTCTGCTTCTCTCCATCTTCGATACTTTTTGCTAAATGAGTCACAACTTTTTTATTATTGCTGTTAGAAAAAAAACTGAGTATATTTTTGAGATCCAGGGGTTGCATTCTATGCGAATGCAGATTTTAATTTTTTTTTTAATTTTTCAAAAGCATTTTTTAATATATGAAATAAAATAAGACGTTTAAGAAGATGTTTATTTATAAAAAATACAAAGTTAAATATATAATTTAAGACAAACTTCAATAACGTGACATAAATATTGTACATATACATACAAAATAAAGAGTATACAATAGGAAAAACATTTTTTTAAAGAAAAATTTGAATTATTCACTTAAAAGTAAGAAATTATAGCAAACAAATAATTTTACATAATTAAAAAACGGGCCTATTATTAACATTTATCATCATTAAGCAGGAGCAGGTGGACCCACTGGAAAACCTGGAGATTTGTTTCTAGGAAATGATGTCTTTCCTCCAATAATCATTCTTGAAGGTACTGCTGGATGATGGAATTTCAACTTCTGAAAGCATAAAAATATTTGTTAGATATAAACAGAAAAAATAATGCAAAACCTTTAGTTAGATCAAAAAGGAATCAACAGCCCTTTCACCCAGTGTTGCCAGATCAAAAATTTGCTGGAACATTAGATGGGTAGGAAAAAGCAGTAGTAGATTTTAATATAGGGGGAAAATAGTCATATAAGAAACAAAAAATGAAAATTTTTGAATGTTATACCCTAATTATAAATTAAACAAAAATTACAAATAATAAAATAAATAAAATTTGTAAAACTAAAGTCAGGAAACCAGTAGAACAGAGACAAAACAGTAGATCTACTACAATAGGCCCAAAATAAACATTACTGAACTTGTATAATTCTTTTATTTAAGAAATATTAATTATTTAGACCTCCTTGAATATTGAAAATACCTCCTTTAACTCATTGATGGTTTATGGTGTATTTTTGAAGACTGCTTCTTTGGTCATTTTGTCTGGAAAGGTAAGATCTGGTAGTTTTTGACAATTACATGCTACTAAGTGAATACTGTTTATTTTGGACCATACTGTATTAAAACAGCAGGTCTTGCAACACTGCTCTAATCTCTAAATCTAAAATCGTTTGTAATAATTTGATCAGCTGCAGGATATCCCTGAAAATAATGGATATCTTAAAACTATCAGCAAGTAAAGAACATTAATTGGAGGGTACAGGAAAAAAGGGGCAGTCTCATTTTTGTCAAAATTGAACTGGTACCGCCATCTTCTGTATAATACCTGTATATTTCCATGTAATACGCAAATAAAGAGCATAAAAGTGCATTTAAAATTATGCATTCTGGGACTTTTTCTACTGTTCGATTGGCACATTCAATATTAATATTAAAAAATAATTGTCTAGTAAACTAATTGATATAATCATGCAGCCAATATATACAAACTAACATCTTTAGTAATCAATTACCTAAAAGTATAAAACATTTGTATTTAGTTCAACTTTAAACTTTAAATTTGCTTTCCTACACATCTTGATAATTGTAAATCAAGGGTTAAAGGCAGACTGTTTCCTCAAAACATTATAAATAGCAATTGACATTATTAAATTAAAAAAATCTTAAAACAAATTGGCATTTATTATAAATCTTCAAAATTATATCAAGATATTATAAATCTGTCATTATTATTAAGTACTTTACAATATAAGACCTAAAAAAATTTAATAATGCACTATATACTATGTTAACTCTTTGCTTACAATCTCAGAACAGCATAAAAACACAACAGTATTGATTAGAGATAAATAGAATAATAGGTAGGTGGACCACAATATACATGCTATCCTATGCCTATAATCCAAAGGGCATGGTTAAAACATTGCTCTCTTTATTTCTAATTTATATATCAGGATATGAACATAAAACTACCAGAACAAAGCTCTATCTTAATAGGTACTTAGTACTTACCTTATGTATTTGTGTACTTCTATTTTGCAAGTATCATATGGCGATTTTGTAGAATTCCTGACAGTCATTCCCACAACAGGTTATCTTCTTAATGTTTTAATTTCATTTTTCCCTTTTCTAGATCAAGTTTTATGACAACTTAAGGCCATTATAAAGTCCCAAACTAGACCTGAAAAAGTAAAGGTAAGATATGTAAATTTGGCTACAAAATTAGCTAAAATGTTTACAAACATATGAAACTATACTATATTTTTAAAATAAATACCTGCATTTTCCAGCGGAAATTAGAAAATTTTAAATTCAAATGAAAAAAAAAATATGAGGTTATTTTCTTTCTTCTATACTTTTTAAATTTTGTAGTCTTTTTCTTGAAGAAATTTGGTATTTCTTCTAGACAAATTAGGCTCCTGTATCTAAAGTGTTACTAGACATTCTTTTTTATATTTTATTCAGCCTCTTACTTGCTGGTATGATTAGTTAACTTGCGTTAAGTTTTTTAAGGTTATGTTATGACAGTAGCGTGGTTGCGTGTTAAAATAGGGTTATTATAATTAGTAAACACTGAACACGTTTTTGACAACATAATGGCAAAATTTAATCTAAAGAAGCAATCAAAGCGGCAACCAGCTCGTTTACGGTATAAAATAGAAAAGAAAGTCCGCGACCACAATAGGAAAGTGAAAAAAGAAGCCAAGAAAAATCCCAAAAAGACCAAGAAGATAATTCAAATTCCAAACATTTGTCCATTCAAAGGAGACATTCTCAAAGAGGTCGAAGCTCTTAAAAAGCAAAAGGAAGAGGAAAAGCAAAAGATAAGAGAAGCCGCTAAATTAGAAAAACAAAAGTTGAAGCAGGAACAGAAACAGCAGAAGTTATCTGGCGGATTGCAAGGATTAGTAAAAAATGCCGAAGTTAGAAATAAATTGCACGAACATTTAACACCTGATAGAACTGACAAACGTTATGAGAAGAACAATGAAAATTCCCTCAAGCAATACTATAAAGAATTTAAGAAAGTAATTGAAGCTGCAGATGTTATTCTAGAAATAGTTGATGCTAGGGACCCTATAGGCACAAGATGCAGGCAAGTAGAACAAGCCATTATCGACTTAAAATCAAATAAAAGGCTTGTGGTCGTATTAAACAAAGCGGATTTAGTACCCACAGAAATTTTAAATCAATGGTTAAAGTACTTCAAAAAAACAGCTCCAGCCATTGCTTTCAAGGCATCAACACAGAACCAAAGCAAAAAGCTAGGACAGAAGAAGTTCTCCAAAACAAATGATAAAGTATTAAAAACTTCAACTTGCGTAGGGGCAGAACTGTTGATGTCTCTGTTGGCTAACTATTGCAGAAATAAAGGTATCAAAACATCAATAAGAGTTGGAGTAGTAGGACTACCAAATGTAGGAAAAAGTTCAATAATTAATAGCTTAAAAAGATCTAGGGCATGCAATGTAGGAGCTATGCCAGGAGTTACCAGGACTATGCAAGAAGTACAGCTCGATTCGAAAATTAAATTACTGGATTCACCTGGTATAGTATTTGCTTCTGGGAATGACAGTAGTGCTTCTCTGAGAAACGCAGTTCGTATCTCCTCATTGAGTGATCCTATAACTCCAGCCAATGCTATATTACAAAGGGTTACCAAGCAGCAGATGATGGAAATGTACAATGTTACTGATTACAGCTCTCCAGAAGAATTCTACAGTCTAAAAGCTGCCCGTACAGGAAAATTTAAAAAAGGAGGCATCTTGGACTCAACTGCTGCAGCTAGAGGTTTGTTAGAAGATTGGAACAGTGGTAAAATTAAATATTACACACTACCACCAGAGGAAAATGAAAAAGACGTCCATATAAGCTCAGCCATTGTCAGTGAAGCTGCAAAAGAATTTGATTTAGATAGTTTTGAAGCTATGGAAACTGAAGATTTGAAAAAAATCCAAAAAGAAGCTGAATCAAAAACGAAAACCGCTTTCATTGTAGACAGCTTAGGACCCGTCGATTCTCTAGAAGAAGAGCAAGAAGAAATGGAAGAAGATGCAGTTAATAATGAAGAATTAATTAGCGCAAGAACTAAGATAATGTCTACTAAAAATAAACCCAAGAAAGTGAAAATATCAAGGTTGAAAAAGGTCGATCCTGAAATGGAATTGGAGGGTAATAAGCAGCTGAATCAGATCAAGAAGAAGCAGTTTAAGAAGGTTAACAAGGATAGGCGAAGACGGGCAAAAATAGCAAAACAATTATCAGCAGATTTAGAAAATATTACATTACAAAATGGTAAAACTGATGAAAGTACGGAGAACTACGATTTTGATGTTGATTTTGATTTGAAGTAAAATGTTTTGTTAAGTTTGTTTTATTGTTTAAGCATTATAACCGCCGATGTATCGGAAAGATACAGACATGTGTGATAAAACATCAAATAAAAGGATATAATACAAATATCGGTCTATTTTTTTTATTTTGCACATCCAAATCATAGAATGAAATGAGTCCTACAATAACTTGGCTACTTTTTTATTTATTAAAGCACTTCGTTAACAACATGTAACTCAGCCCTGTTCAAAAAAATTAATAGTTTTTTCTATCTGACATTTTTCTTGTAATCAGGGAAAATTATGGTTCTGCAAAAAGCTACTCTCTAAATCCTGTGAGTTTTGAAAATCTGATTACATCAATATTCTGAGCTTGCATTGTTGGTTTTTTGTATTTGTCAATATTAACTTTAAATTATTCTTTATCTTATCAATTTTAGTAACATAAATATGTTTTTGATGGTAATAAAAAATATTTATTTTCAGAACAATTTATTTTCCAAAGACCTACAATAAATGAGCGGAATGAAAATGAATTTATACATTCACAATACAACGTCTGCTTGTCAAGACATGTAATTTTTACTACGACCTACCTAAGGCACAATGGTTTAAATATTATCATCATCTTTGGAATAAAGTTTTAACAAAATTAAAATAAAAAAAAACATGCTTAGAATTTTTTTATTCTTTATAAGAAAAATGAATAACAATCAAATATTGCTCTTATCTTGTATTTTCAAGTGAAAAACTTATAAGTAAGGAAGATCCAGGAATTTCTTTAATTTCCTACTTACACTTGGATTTCATCTTTATAATTTATTTCATTTCAATAGCTTATTATTTCCATTTCTCAACAATTTTAACTAGCACATCGTTCTTACTAAAAGAACATTAATAACATTTTTTTTTGCAAAATGGAAACCAACAACTTTTGAAACGAAACTAATACTTAAAATAAATAGAGGATAACACAAAATTAATTAACACTAATTAAAATTATCAACAGTGTTAAATAATATCCCAGCACCCAGCAATGAGCATTGTTTAGACTTTATACAAAATAATACAAAATATATGTGCAAAAAAATTGTTTTAATCTGGTTCTTCCCATATGACAAACGAAATTAAAATGGATTTCACGTTTCTTTTAAAATTTGGACATTTAGTAAAATAAGTTAATATTTGTTAGTATTATGGATTAAATAAAAAAAAAAAAAAAATTTTGTTCTCGGAAGAATGGGTATTTTTGGAAAAACTATGGAAAACATTGGAAATATGCAGTTAATTTGCTGTTCTCTAAAATTTGGATATTCTGTACTTTAATAGAAGTTTATGTTTATAGATTATTATAATAAATCTCGGGTAATTGCTATTTTTGGGAAAACTATGGAAATTATACAGTTATTTTTTTCCTTTAAAATTTGGATATTTTTATGTACTTTAGTAGAAATGTATGTTTTTTTTAATTATTATATAATAGTTTAACATTAAAAAATAAAAACAAAACCTCACATAGAAATATAATTTTCGGAAAATTGCTGTTTTTGGAAAAACTATGGAAAACATTGGAAATTATGCAGTTATTTTTTTTATCACATTACTATAAATATCGAAGAAATGCTGTTTTAGGAAAAACTGTGAAAAACATTGATAAATAATTTACGGTATTAACTGCTACTAACAAATCCAATAAGACTTATTGCACCACTATAAAATTTTAAAAGAATCAAACTCAAAATTGTGCTATTTAGTTTAGAATATGGGAAGAAAGTGTTTATAATTTTACTTAAAAACCAAAAACAACTAATTAAAAGCAAGATAATTTGGCTAATCTCAGTGCAAATTTTGAAATAATATATCTTTGGATCTTATATAATTAAAATTTTCTACTAGATTGATTTTTTTTTTATATAATTTGAAGCTAAACCCATACAAAATTAGTATCAATGTCCAGCTGCCCGGAAATGTTTATATGACACGATGGAATGTTGTTTCAATATTCGAGGAATACATTTCTACTGCAAGAGTTTGAAAATTCGTATTTTAATAAACATTTTCATCTTTGAAGTTAGATAACAAGTATTTAGTCCTCCATTTCGCTAATAAACAGCCTTAATTGTCATATAAACACAATAATTATTATTAAAAATTATTAAATGCGCATGAAATGTATAATATATGATACCCTGAAATTTTATTCGCCGTTTAACTATATTATTTCGTTTTAGAAATATAAGAGAATACGGTAATACCCGCCTATTTTAAGATGGCCGCGGTTTTATTTGCTTTCCTTATTCAAAAGTCACTAAACGATGTTGGGTGCCGCGGCCTTTTAGTTTAGTTTACAGAATCTTCTAATGACATTTCAAAACTGTAGGAAGACATAAGTTTGATTTTAAGAAAGCTCTATTCGAAGAAAAAGGAATGTGTTCTTAGAAATTTAATTTTATAAGCAAATCATGATTTAAAAATTTATAATAGTGACCAAAAAAGATTGGTAGGCACAAATTACCTTTTGTTTTCTTACACTATTCCTTATTCTCCAAACGAAGTATAGATGGCGACAGGTTTGACGTGTCAGAAACGTCACGTCAGCTGTCAAAATTGATGACAACTATGAAATAGGCGGGGCTTATCGCTAAAATGATACGAAAATAATTTCTCGCTTAAAATAGAATGCATTTCTAATATTTTTAAATACTTTACAAAACTTATATCGAATCAAACAAAATTCTAAATTCAATACTTTCAGCACTCGATTCGATAATGATATTTGATGATACGATTAATTTCTACGAAATCGTTGAATGGTAATGATGATGGAGTGGCTTTTTTTAAACACACACAAAAAACATTTGAGCATTCGTTTGGTAGATAGAAATCCAGCAGTTTACAACAACCTCATCTGTGTTTGGCATCTTGATCTAAATGTAGAAATAATAATAATAATAATAAAAAACAAAGTATGGAATTTAAAACAGTTCTACGATATTTTGATATAGTTTTCACAACATATGTTTATTCTGGTAGATAAGTTTGTGACAGTCGACCTCGACGTTTTTAAATCTAATAAAATACATTTCTGAATCGGAATTCGTTTCCTATATTTCCGCCTGAGATCATTGTATGGGTTTTGCACGAGAGGCTCGAAACTGAATCAGTTTCGAAGGCTTAATCATTTGAACGCGGCGAAAAATTGATTATTCTGTTGTTGGGCATTGTTGAAATTCAATTGCGTCCCGAAACCAGGAGACACCATGCCTGCATTCGAGACCGATCTAGGTTGGTTGACGGGAGACGTCTGATTGCTAGCCAACTGGTTCATACTAGGAGAAGGACCTGTAAATACAATGACGTCATTTTGTGTTCTAGAATCTGAAAATATTTTTATGAACATTTTATGAAAATCGGGCGAAGAGAAATTTACCTGTTTTCGGTTTATTCGTTAATAAATTGTCCAAATCGATATTGATGTTACCGGAATTTTTCCATGTACTACCAACTGGTACGTTCTTATTCAACGTAGGTTTTTCTGTATTGTTATTTGATGTGGAAGACATTGGTTGGAGTAGTTGTACAGAAGTCGGCGTCAATACGGGACCTAAAATAAAAATATATACATGAAAAATACTGGCAACCCAGGCAAGGCAGTACAGATTATTGTAAATTAAGTATTTTATACATAATTCTCGTTTAAATTTGGTATAGGTTGATTCCATATACGTTTACAGTCTATGATTATTATACATAACGTTTTTTAAATGATATACGTTTTTTTTTTCTATGTTTAAATATAGTTAACAATATATGACTATTTTTAGTTTGTGATGAACGATTTATAGACAGTAGGCCTAAATATGCGTCTAGGTTGAAAAATAAAAGAATACTTTTGTCCTTTTAATAGTGGCCCAGCATTATGTTGGTTGATGAATGGGCGAGAGCCAGGTAAAAGTCGAAAGGCTTTTAACTGCCGCAGACCCAACCCTCCAACACTCCAGGAGGGTTCCGTCCCGCGTTCTTAGATGAAGACACCGATGATCACTTGCTACATACTCAACGAGTGGACATGAGGCCAGTTTGGGATTGATGGTACTCACTATTCATTGTAATTTCTTGCTCACACATGTTATTAATTTAGATTATTTTATGAAAATACATTTTTTAGAAGACATTTTATCTTTATTATATATTATATAGCTGAATTAAATAAAATGCATTCGGTTTTATATACTTCAAACAGTACTGCTGGTCAAAGAGGCACTATCGAATTGTACCTGGCACATGGCCTTTATTAGCAGTCAGTATTAATTTGATAAAAGGCCTGCAATTTCCCGTTAAATTTCCATACATAGGCCATTAATTGCCAATATATTTATTTCAACACATTAAAGAGAAAACGGAGGTCTTTAACTTGATTTTATGTCTAACAAAGTCTAATAAAGTTTTAAAACCTTTACATTATAATTCGTTGCTTGTTATAACTTTTTACCTATAATAAAATTTTGAAAATATTAATACAAATCATATTCTTTTTCTATTAAAATGTTTAAAAATGAAACTCCTATCGATAACTTTTTTAACATACTAATGCTGCTACTATACATTAGTTACCTAAACCAACGCTGGCATCCAAAAAGCATGTTTAGAAAAAAATCATATTTAGTAAGACTGATTGAAAATAATTAAAATTGGCAACACCTATGCCTTACCCATTTAAAGGTCCAAGGTCATAGAAATCTCATTTCAAAATCCTTTGATCTTTTGCCAGGTTTCGCATCTGTTGTGGTTAATCTGTAGTACATTATTTTGTCACTTACAAGGTGATTCATGATTCAACAGATCTTTGTTGGTCAAAGTAGGTTATTTTCAACAAACAACAATAACTAGTATGCCGAAAAAAAGAAAAATACCACCCTCAAAGTCTCTCAATAATTAATATTGTATAGCTCTCGATGTACTTGTTCTAAATTCTTATTGGTGCAATCCTATGACTAGTTTTCCAAATATGTACCCAATATTATATGAATTTTAAACAATACAAGTGATATTTTTCCAGTTTCCCCCTGGAAAACATATTAATTTGTAACATAATGAAAATTTATTTTACATCTTTGAGTTGGAATTATTCTCTATTTTAAAGAAAAAACATCTTACCTGAACTCATAAAATCGGCATTTGAATTACCTATCAACCCAAAATTATTATTAGGAGCAACAGGTTGAGGTTGTATATTTAACGATCCGAAATCCAAATCGCCCAACAGATCGCTGTTGGTCTTCTGCACCGTAGCAAACAGGCCACCAATTTCCGGAGCAGCAACAGCACCGCCGACGTTATTAGAAGGGGTAAGGGGATTGTTGGCGAGCATATTCGGGGGCGGAATCAAATTGGGAATAGCTGAGTATTGTGATGCGGTATCTGGAGCGGAATTGGGCGAAAAGGCTGAGCTGAAGTCGGCGAAATTGTCCTCTTTTTCTTGAATCGTATCCGAGGGATTGCCGAAAGCCGTCTCGAAATCGCCGAATTCGTTGGAGGAGGCTTTCGTTTCTAGCTGGGGTTCGGAGGCTCTTGGATCAAAGTCGTCGCTTAATAAATCATTGCCTGTAAACAAAATATAAAGTTTTACAATAATTATTCTTCCTGAACAACGTCATATATAGTAATATTTCTTAAATCTTTTAACAGATAAAAAGTTAGTTAAAAGTTAGACAAAAGTTGCAGAGTTTTGTGATCATTATAATGGTGCCAAGAAACCTTTGATATCTACAGGGATTCAAAATATCGGACAAAAAAGACCATTTTAATTTTTTATTCAATATTTTGAATCTCCCTCTAGATATCAAAGGTTTTTTGGCACCATTTTAACAAGCACATGTCCTTCATCAAAAATAAATCCTCACCTGCGGGCGGTACAGGGCTCTGACTAGCGCCTCTTCCGAAATTAGCTGCAGCACCTAAATCGACTTTCTTCAACTGTTTGTTTACTTTTTTGGGAGAACTATTTAACGAAGTGTTAATATTAATGTTGACGCGTTTGTCCATCACATGACTAGGACTGGCGGGAATATCGGCGTCTTGGAATTTTTTAATACTATTATTTTGACCGTTGTTTCTTGTCTCCGTATCGCTGTCCTCCTTGTCCACTTCGTATTCTTCGTCGAACGATTTATCTCTATAACGATTGGCGGAATTTGACGTGTCGTCCCAATCGTCTTCTCTCGTTTCTCTGCCGCCGTAGGTCAATCGGTCTTCCCAAGTATCACGTCCCCCTGTACCTGAATTTAAAATGCTATGGTTCATGGGTATATGCCAGAAATTTTATTAATGAATTGTAAATTCTATTATAAAAAAAGGACATGGGCTTAAGACAAAAAGTTGAGAAAAATTCCTGATTTTAAATTTTAGAATGTTTTGTTCCTAATTTGATATGTGGCAATCATGAAGTTAAAAAAAGAATGTATGATACAACACAGATGACAGTCACATACTGTGGTGTGGATGGGGAGCTTTAATTGACAGGCGAGTGAGACAGAAAGTTATTTGACACCCCATATCGCAATATCTTGAAATTTGCGAATTTTAGCACCAAAAAACTGTCTCATATGTGCTTCATGTGCCAAGGGATATTGAAATTGAAAATCTCTATTCAAATAGGTAATCCTAATGTACAAACAACTATTAAAAACAGTTTTTAAGCTATTACATAGCTTTTATCGCGGGCTTTGAGCGCGGCGACCGACCGGCACAGCAGTGCGGCGTTAAACAATATTAACTTCTCATTTATTCAATAAAAGAAAATCGAAAAATCAAAAAATCGCAAAATCGAAAAAGAAAATCCATAACGAAAATAAACCTAACACTTCCCACTCCGACCGGCACAGCGGTGCGGCGTTGAAAGCCGTGCATCGTTTAACGTAGTTTCAGTTCGGCAGACTTCGGCACAATGTTTGTGTGCATGCGAGTAGACGTATGCGTGTAGACTAGCTGCTAACTGCTCATAACTGATTCTATCTCTTTTAGACACAATTTCGGAAAAATTGAATTTGAAAATGAATAATGATCCAAAAGAATCCACAACAAAATATGGAACCACCATTGACGCAGTATTTTTCAGATATTTAGAGGATATTAACTTCTCATTTATTCAATAAAAGAAAAAAAAATTGTTTTCTTATCAGTCACTACGCTCAAAAAGTGTAACTTGAATTAATATCAAAGAAAACACTTGAATTAATACCGAAGAAAAAAAAATACTGCATAAATAAAATAAATAAATAATTATAGTTGCATAAGTTGATAAAAATGCTATGCAATAGCTTTACCGCGGCAGTCCCCGAGTGCCACATGTATTTTTTTTTTTAATATCTACATTAACATAAATTATAAGACTTAAAACAATTAAACATAAATTATAACAGTAAAAATCATTAAAAAACATATATTTAGCACATTCCTTCAGTCTTAATAAAATCTATTAACAATCTCTTAAATTGCTTGATGTTACTTGCAGATTTAAGCTCCACATGGAAAGAATTACAGTTAGACAAACCATTATGAAAAACAGAATTCATAGTACATCTGTAATTTGTTCTAGTTATATGAAAATTGTCAGCACTTCTTGTGGGATAGTTAAAGACTTGATAATTAAAAGTAATGAACTCATCAAACTATTTGGGAACATTATCTGTTAAGAGCTTAAAAATAAACATAAACAGTCTATCCCTAACTGAGAGCTAGTCTAATGTAGATAGCATTAAATTTATTAGAAGGTATTCTTTGTCCAACATCATTGATATCTATTAATCTATCAAATGTTACTGTTATCAGTCACATCCTGTGTATGGTTATCAAAAAAATATTCAGTCTATAAAAAGGAATCGCTTACTAATTAATAATTGTGAAAAAAAAAATACTAAAATAACTTTTAAATAATTAGATAATTCACAAACTATTCATAATACATTTTATTTTTAAATTCATATTACTATGTTATGATGAATTCCATTGTTTTCAAATAAAAGCATGTATCAGAAATGTTAATTGTTTATTGAAACACGAAAGTATTTAATAGCAATTTAATGATAAAATAAAAGCCCATTACTGTTATCATTTATAACTGAAGAGGTAGAGATAATGAACATTTAATAGCTTGATACTAATAAAATGAAAAACTAAAATAGTTTATAAAAATATCACTGCTATAAAAGTAGAAAATAAATTATGAAGTCAAAGTAGAAAATAAATTATTAAGTCAAAGTAGAAAAATAATTTACTACATGAATTTAATTTGAAAAATAAAAGTAGAAAAAAATTGATGTTTATGTTCTGTTCAAAATTGGAATTTATTTTAAAGCCAGCTCAGTGTTTGATTAAAAAAAAAACTCAATTTGTAACCATTCTAATAAAATAATTGTACTCAAAAGTTACGAAAGAGTCTTTGTAAACTATTTAAATTAAAGAAAACAAGTAATAAAAATAAGGAATGAACATTGTGCTATGGTTACCATAAAAATAGGAGTTCCACAGGGAACAGTTTTGGATCCAATATTATTTATGGTTTAATTAATTTGTTATTAAGTACATTTAGATATTGAGGGTCTAAAAATCTCTTATGCACATGACACAGTTCTATTTGAAAGCAACACACATAGAATTCTATTAAAAAGACAGTTATCAAAGGGATGATAAATATCAAAAATTGGTTAGACATGAACAAATTACTACTCAACTTTTCTAAAATCGCATTGAAAAGTTCAAATCCTTTATTGTTAAACTATAAGGACAACTTTAACATTTTTTATTGAGAAAAGGGTTCAATCATTAAGTAAATAAATAAATAAACTAACCAAATCTGTTTCCAAATGTGTCTGAACTCATACCAATAAATTTATCCTTATTTTTCTTAGCCTTTTTCCTTTCCTCTCTCAAACGATCATCATCTTGAACAAATTCGATGAGTTCCTTCACTTTATGCCTAATATTAACTCCTTGATCTTTCCCTATGTCATCTATGAAAGTGTAGTTTTCTAATGATCTTAAATCATAGATATGTTCTCTAGCAGATGTAACTACCCTTTCCGAACCGTTTTTAATTAGATAATTCAACACTAGTAAAGACTAAAAAAAAGAAATTAAATCATCATGAATTGCAAAATGATAAAATTCCACAAACCTTGTATGTTCTCCTCCAGTGCTGTTTGTTGTCTTGAAGCATCCTCTTCCAAAGCATCGACATAACTTCAGGAAAATGTTCGTATGTGAAAGTGGAATGAGCTAATTCTTGCATAATTTGACCAGTGGGCCCCCAAGGTTCTTCATTAGTGGCTTCTCGAACCTTTGCTTCAACTTCTGTATAATTCATCACCACGTTCGTGCTGAAAATTTAGTCAAACCAATATATTAAACATTGCTACATCAAATATACATCGATAGGTGTGTATTTAATCTGTTTCGAGGAAAAACATAGATAAACATCTGTATAAAAAAAATTGTAACTTACACTTTATCAGCTAACTCCCGAACTTTCCACATGCTGGGGAGAAAGTTTTCCATTTTGAATGATTTAAATTTAAACAAATAGTTTATAAATTAGGAAAAAATTGTATATAATAATTAGAAATCGCAAAAACGGTGACTTGGCCAGACATCGGCCATGATACAAAATTTCCTCACAAAATTTGACGTTAAACTATTTGACAGATACATCGATTCAAGGATTCGATACTATTAAACAGGATAGCCTAGTTCCTCAAATATGTTTATAAAATGCGCTAAAGCCAAACGTCGAATTGTGACGTCACGCAGAACTTTCCATTATCTTAAGGGCCGATTCCACCGTTGTGTTAAACGGAGAACGTGTGTGTCTTTTTTTCCACCGGTTTGTTGCAACCGTTGTTTCACCGATGCGGCCTTGACCGTTTTGTGTTGGATTCTGGTTGACCGTTGAAATAAATAACAGTTGACATACCGCACCGATGCCAACGTTGCTGCAACAGTTGGATAAAAAGACACACGTTGATTAAAATGACATTGTTAATGTAAAAATGTCATTTTAAACTTCGTTTAACACAACGGTGGAATCGGTCCTATAAGGTCATAACATTGCGTTCGGTCTGCCAAGTTCCTTTAACACTTTTTACTCGAAACGACCCTTTTAGCGTTCGGTTTAGTCCGATTAATGACAGTTTAACAGGCTTAAATGTCATTTAAAAGCACCGCTCCAGCCCCTGACTATCCGAACTCGCCTTAACTAATCTTGAGTAATCTAAACATAGAATGCGTTTGAGAATCCACATCGGATGCATCTGAGATGTAAAAAATCTTTGATCACGTGATTCAGTATACGTAAATGTAATGGGACAGATGTGTCCGATGTGGATAAAAAAACGCTCGAGATGTAAAAAATGCATCCGATGTGGATTCTCAAACGCAGCAAGTGTTGTTCCTAGGGATTTTTGAATTGTACAACTTTCAGTGTCAAAATTGTACACTTTTACTTTCGATTGTACAACCACTAATTAATCTTCTTCTTTTTTATTGACAGACTATGGCTTACTACTTTCCCATGCTTAAAATTCTACTTTTTTTCCATTTTAAAATTAATTTTTGATGTAAAACGGTGTACTGATTGGTCGCGAATGGCGCCAAATTTAAACTTTTATTTTTTTATTAATTTTAATGCATGCTATTTAACAAATCGTAGACTTTTTGAGCGAAGAAAACCTTTTATATACCCGATTTTAGATAAATATTTAGCAATTTCAAATTGTACAACATTTCTGTCTTTTTTCAAAAGTGCGTACAACAGTACAACCGCATAACTGATTGTACAACTTTTTGTACAATTGTACAACCAGGAACAACACTGTGTGGATTCTCAAACGCAGCATATATGACACGTAAACATGCCATATGAATTTAGAGATGGTAGTAACAAATCCGTAAATATACTTAACAGTTACAGATTTGCTAATATCCATCTCTAAATTCCAGTGTAACACTGGAACCACCTTTTCAGGAACTTTAGATCCGTATTTATAAACAAAACTCAGCTGAGTCGGACTTGGGTAACGGCCATATGCACCATTCTTCTGTTAATAGTTATCAGAGAGTTAACTACATAACTGACTGTTAAATTGACAATTTTGTATTCACCATTACAACATACGACTAACAATCTGTTAAAGGCGTTGTTAATTAACAAACCAAATTTGGCCTGTTAATTTTACTTATCAGACTATTTTAATTTTACTTGTTTATTTTGAAGGGCTATATAAGGTTTTATAGGATATTGACAGTAATATGTACGCAACAGACTGATTTCTTAGTGAAACTAGTAAATAGATGGTACATAGATGGTGCATAGCAAATTCTGTTAACACACTGTTATTTTTTATACTACTGTTAGATAACAGAGGACTTGGCTGGACAATGGTGCATATGGCCGTAAGTCGCCCTTGAACGAATATCGAAGTTCGGTTATATCGCGTGAATTTAGAGATGAGTAACAAATCCGTAAATGTACAAAACAGTTACATATTTGCTAATATCCATCTCTAAATTCTAGTCAAACACCAGAACCACCTAGAACTTCCGAGAAGTTGTAACCGAACTTCGATTTTAGTTCAAGGACGACTTACACAAGTCCGACACGTAAGTTCTGTTTATAAATACGGACCCGACTCAGTGGAGTTCTGTTTATAAATACGGACCTAAAACAATGAACTGGAGGGGGGTAGAATGCTTGTCAATAGGCTTGACATGCGACTCTATGGGCAAAGACAGGTTATTTTTCATCTCACTCGGGAGTATTTATAACAACCATTTTCTATTTCACTTTGTTATTGTCTGATCCACCAGCATGTGGATTGAACAATAACAAAGTGAAACAGAAAATGGTTATCATAAATACTCCCGAGTGAGATGAGAAATAAAAATGGCTGCGCCCATAGAGTCGCATATTGTTCTATTGATACAATATGCACATTGGCTTTCTACCCCACTCCAGTTCATTGACCTAAAACAGTTTACCATATTTGTATAAAACTTTTTAGGACACTCACAGAACTTATTTCAGTTCTGTGGACACACTGTGAAAATTTGACGGATGTATATGTCACTGCTATGTTCTGATTGTTCTGTGATTGCTTTTGACGTTTAGCGAAAGATGAGCAGAAGAACAGATAGTTTTGAATAAAAACAAAAATATTTATTAAAAATAATGTTATCAACAAGTTCTACTGTAAGGAATGAGAAGAGGAATAAATGTATGGTACCAACATGCGACAACGTATATTACAGGCCTGTTCAACAGGGTTTAAATAAACATTTTTTTCGAATTCCTGATAAGAAAAGACAACAATGGATCAACATTCTAGGAATTGTATCAACCCATCGTGAATTGCGCGTATGTGAAGACCATTTTACTTACGATGACTTTACAAGTACTTTGCGAAATAGACTTCATAAATACGCAATGCCTTCTGTACCGGATCAAGTGGTAAACACACTATTTCAAATTATTTTCACTTTAAATGATTTTTGTAATAATTAAATTATGTAGGTTAGTAATATTGTGGAAGTTGTCACCTCGGAGCAATCAATTCCAAATGAATTTAGTAAAAATTCTGATGAAGAAAGTCTGCAAATAGATCAAACTTCTGAGAAAATACCTTATACTATTGATGTTAATGGTACAGCAACCTCTCCGTCCAAGAACAAATCCTTTGCTGAATTATCAAAAGAGAATAATTTGCAGAGAAAAACAATAAGTGAAGAAAGTAATAAGAAAGTTAGCTGTGAAAATAAAGTGTATGTGTACAAGTTGCCAAGTGGTCGAAAAGTTATGTACTATCATTTACCAATTTTGGACAATTTAAATAAAGGATTAAATTAGTTTTTGTTTTCATTTAAAATTATATTTAATTTAAAACAGGTGTTGATGACCAAATAGTGCCCATAACCATCACTATTTACCTTACTTTCTATCTCTTAAGAGTAATTTATTTTTTGTTTTCCTCAGTTACTAATTATCTGATTATTTTATAAATTTATACAAACAGACAGAATAGTGCTTTATGTCGTTTGTCTCTATATAAAGCAGTTTATGAGTTAAAATTTAAAAATCCATCAATTTTGTGTTATCCTGAATGACAGTAACTATTTGATTATGGAACTAATTTTTCGTTACCCTAAATTATTCAGTAACTTGATTTAGAAACCTAATTTTCCCACCATTTTTAAAAAACCTTGCTGCTCTGTTATCCTGATACCAAAATTTTATCAGGCTCTTGTAAATACCCTCTACCATCTTAGGCACCTAGCATCATTTTAATGTTTTTTTCACTTATAAAATAATATATTTGTTTTAAATTTGACATTATACAATAACAAGTGACATTGTCAAAAAAATAAAATAATATTTACATTAAAAAACAAAACATGCAAATCAATCAATAATTTTTTTCTTTTTTTTCTTAACTGGAGAACCTTCATTGTGTTCTTGTTTGATTTTAATTTTCTTTGACTGTGGTAAATGATAGATTGATTCTTCACCATTACTAACATCAGATGGTACTTCTTTAGCTTTTTTCTTCTTTTTTTCTTTGGTAAAAATCAATTCTTCTGAAAATACACCAGCGATGCCACTCAGTTCGGGATTAAAGTTATCAATTTTGGATGAATGTGGTAACATTGTACTATTTGCTAAGGATATTCTTCTAAGTGCTTTCGGTGTCATTTCTTTGTATTCAGTCTCACTTCCGACTTCTTGTTTGATGTTTACATCTATAGTTCTATGTGACTTTTTTTTATGTTTTTTCTTTTTAGGCACACTGGTTTCCAAATCAGATTCATACTCTGTATGTAATTCTTGCTTCATCAGCCTCAATGTCTCTTCTATCAAATCATTTTTGGTCATTTTTTTCTTTTTTGCTGATTTGTGAGGTGTTGAAGGCACTTCATTTTTGTCAGGTTTCTGCTTTCTTGTTACAGTTTTAGTTTCTAGTAAACTAAAAACTAGCTCGTCCTTTTCTTCTTCCAAATCTTTCTGCAATTCTTTCTTCTTAGCCTTCTTCTCTTGCTTCAGTAAATTCTTAATAGCACTGCTCAATTTCTTCTCAACAGCTTCATCCAATTGGATCTTTTCCTCAAAATCATTTCCAAACAGTGGGTGGCGATTCTTCAAGTCATTAGGTAGAGGTATAACAGTTTTTTCTTTTACAGGCAATTTCAGTGTTTTAGGTGGTTTCATATATTTCTCCATCACTATGTTTTTCTTGAAACGGAAAATGTTGCTCAAACTACTCAACAGTAGTGTAGGGTGGGGAATTTTTGATGTTGGTCTGATAATATATTTTTCACCTATATTAATTTTACAGCCTTCTTCTAAGTCGATAGATGTGTTTAGTAGATTTTGTACGTCTACGTTTTTAGGCGTGCGAAACAAAAAAATTTCATCTGAATCACCTAAATTTATTTTCGTTTTTATGTGGCGTTGCTGCAAATTGGGGTATATATTTTTTAGTTGTTGCTTGGGATCCTGAAAATAAAGCAAAAACGTAATAATAAATATAAGTAAAAACGCCATAATTATATAAGTAAAAACGCCATAATTTTTTCAGAAGTACAGCTTTTTAAAAAATAGTCATTGGATGGAGTTAGGTCTATGCATGCTTTTATTTTTAAATTTTAACACAGTACCATGTATCCATAAGAAAAGTGGACAAGCGCCCCCTTTGCCTGCCTACCATATAATACAATAGAATAAAAAATATTTACCTTCGATGGACTAATCCTTACTTCCTGAAGAACTCTCACTTTCTGAACCTTTTCTTCAATTGAATTCATCACTAAAAACAGCATATGTATAGAAACGAAAAAATCCTAAAAAAATACACTTACTATTTACATCATCTTCTTCAATATTGGAATAAGAATGTCTGGAGTTATTCTCATTGCTACTGGCATTTAGGTTACCATCTTCTTCTGGGCTAATTGTATCAAATACTTCTAATCCCTCTACAATTTCTTCTTTAGGTACTAACCTTGGAGTAAAAGCATCATAGGATTTGTCTTTGCTGTTCCTTTTTTTAGGACTCTTTGATTTCCTGTCTTTCTTAAATGAAGAGTTTGTTGCATTGACATCTTCATGCTTATTATGATTAGGAATTATCTAAAATTTGTTTTTAATATATATTGTAAACAATAAATAAAGAGCAAAGGGAGTTATGGGGGCCAGGAGTATTAAATTATCGACTTAATGAGATGTTCTCAATATAAACATATATTTTTGTTAAAATGCTATTTCTATTCAGTTTATTCTACTATTTTTATTATAGAAAGACTATTAGGGATTTTCTGATATCTTAAGTTAATACCTAAAATTCAATTTGTGACTAGGTAAACTATATTTTTATTACCTGCTCATTTATCTCCTCTTCACTTTCAGAAGTAACTACTTTCTTTTGTACTTTTGATTTTTTCTTAGCTTTCTCATTACCATCGGGAAGCAATAAACTAGAACTTAAGTTTAAACTTTTGTGAAGGGCCTGATTTTTTGACATAAAATTCGCTGCTTGTATTATAGAATGATTAATGGAATTTTTAGATTTTTTTGAACTTCTTTCGTATTCTTCTTCACTACCGCTGCTGGAAATTGCTTTTCTCTTAGCCATGATTAAATAAGTTGTAAAACTATCGGAATCCTATAAAAACATAACCTACAAAACTTTCAAAGTCATGTCATCAACATAACCTTTTTTAACTTAAATAGAGCACGCACTTTCATATGTAATCTACTCCAAAAGATTTAAGTATTATACGAAAATTAAACGGATAAACGATGTTTGGTAATCTTGTGAACGAGAAATGTGATGATTGGTGATGATTTTTAAACAGATGCTATTCTCCATATTACTATATGAATTAAAGTAATCAGACCAATAAAAATAAAACAGAAGATTAGTTTTCGTCTACTTCGATTCGGCCTTTTACTTACGACGACTTTAGCGTTCTTCTTTCTCTATATTGACTTGCGCTACTAACCTTATTTAGCAATTTTTAGGAACTGACTGAATAGCATAAAATGCCTTAAAATAGAAGACGTTCTTCTTCTCAATTTTGATGGCCTATTACCTACAACGTTAAACTCTTTGGTGTCCTTCGTTATACTTCCACATCCAATCATTTATTTTTAAACTGAAAAGCCAACAAAATATAATTAAGAAGAAAAAATGAAGAAGAGCTTATAACCTTACAGCAAATTGCAAAAATAAAATATTAAAACATGAATTACAGTATATTTAATAATTTAAATAAACAATTCCTGAGTAGAAGTATTAGATGTTTTCTTAAGAAAGAGGTATATTTTAATTTAAAATTGTTTTTCTATGTCGCAATTCATTTACGTGTCTTTAGGGTCTTTTAACTACTGCACTGCCAATTAATCGTCAAAAATATAGTACAAATGGTTCTCCTCCAAAACCAAGAGCTCCAGGCAAAGGAATCGGGCCGATAACGTGGAAAAATCTTGCCATTACTTCAGTATTAGGAGGTAGTTTACTAGCATTTATGTGGTATATAAAGAGAGAAAAAGAGGAAGGTAAGTGGTAGTCAAAAATAGGAGTCGCTATCCCTAAACAAAACCGCTTTCTTTCAGCTCAAATGAAGGAGCGGCAACGCATGTTAGGAAAGGCTTCCATTGGTGGACAATTTGAATTAGTTGATAGCAATCGAAAGCTTCGTTCTAGTGACGAGTTCCTTGGAAATTGGTTATTGATATATTTTGGGTTTACACACTGTCCCGATATTTGTCCTGATGAATTAGAGAAAATGGCTGCAGTCATTGATAAGTTAGGTGAGAATTTATTGTATCTAGGCTTACAGCCATGTTTTTCTCATTACAATTATATATAAAATTTAGAAAAACCTAACCTGTATGGCCTGGTGCCACTAATAATGTATGTATTAACAGATGCAGCAGATGAAATGCCTAAAATTCAACCACTTTTCATATCAGTGGATCCAAATAGAGACACACCAGAAGTAGTTGGTAAATATTGCAAAGAGTTTAGTCCTAGACTTCTGGGATTAACTGGTACCGAAGAGCAAGTTTCGAAAGCTTGTAAAGCCTATAGAGTATATTTCAGTGCTGGACCAAAAGACAGCGACAGTGATTATATTGTAAGCAGATTATTTACATGTCTACTAAATAACTCAATATGGTTTTATTTTTAGGTTGATCATACTATAATAATGTATTTAGTGAATCCTGATGGAGAGTTTGTGGATTATTATGGGCAAAATCGATCAGCTTCAGAGATTTCCACATCAATAAGAGTAAATGTTTTGAAATATAATCAGGCACATAAACGTTTATTTTAAAGACTTATATTGTACAGTTAGTATATGAATGTTAAATAAAAAATTATTTTTAATGATTATTATTATTTTACCCTTTTACCCTGGGAAGAGAATAGAGTTTAATATTGAAATAAGGCCCATATTTTGGGAAATATATTGAAACTAAAGGTATTCTAATCTTTATGTCCTTATTACTAACAATAATTTATCCAGTTTCCTTGGGTCATAGATTTAAAATCATTTTCAGCTAAAAATTTTTGTAATCATAATTCACTGTAGGATAATTGAGAAAAATACTAAATTAAACAAAAAATTGTTATATTTATTTTAAATACAAATAAACAATTTTAATACGTACGTAGCACAGAGAAAAGCCAAAAAGCAGTGGTAGGTACCAATTTTCAGACTGAATTTGAACATAAAATATACAGTTGAAATTTGAATTGTTAAAAAAAAACCCATCATTTTATTGTCAACACTGAGTACGAAGCGACAAATTATGTACAGATAAAAACAGTTACATAAATACAACAAGAAGTGAAAAAATATACACGAGTCTACATATTTCAGTATTAAAGAAAGGGACATCAGCAATTTATTTACATTACAAAATAATCAATTTTTACAAAACGAAACGCATTGATAATAATATATTCTAACTACTTATTTATAGAGGTCAAAATTTAACAAAATTACACCCATTGAAGCTAATTTCGGAAGTATGCAGAACTGTGTTAGTGTCATAAATATTTCCTTAATGTACTAAAAATACTTATACAAATTTTTGTTTTTTAAATTGGCAATGTCTAGCTGACTTCGTATAACTTCAAATTTACTATTCTGATTATTCTACAAATAATTATTTTGGCCTAGTTCAAAATTCTAGAAAAATCTATTAATATACAACTCTGATTAATTATTCTTTTGGCACTGTTAATCACTTTTCAAACATTCTGATTGTCGCAAGACAGTTTATATAAAAATACATAGTTGGTTTTTTGTTTGTTTTTAGACGGTTTTTAGTTTTTATGATCTTATTCTTTCTTCCATGTGCTCTCGTTAGTTTCTTTTAGTTTGGTTCAATTTTAGATTCAAACGTGTAATTATTTGTTGAAATATATTCTGCCCGCGTTTGTGTTGTGTATTGGTATCGATTTTGTGGGCATGTGCCGGGCACTGTTTTCCACAAATTGAATATACTAAAATGGCTCATTTTACGTTCTTAATACCTCGACAAACGGAAGATTTATTAAAAAGTAGTGTAAACAATGATTACTACGTTAGAAATGTGTCAGTACAGAAAGATATTCCCAATGAATCAAAGGGTTGTAGATTATCTTTGCGAGAAGAAGGAGCTGAGTTTATTCTTGATTCTTTGGATACATATTTTTCTGTTCTACATCATGGAGATTCACTTAGTATGGCTCTTATTTATCAAGCTTTCGAAGATCTGCACAAAGGTGCAATATAACTTAACAAAGCATTAGGCTTCCTACTGGATGACATGGCATTTTTCAGTTTTGGCATATTCTTACTATCACAAAACCTCTTTTTTTTTAATTGGTTATTGAATAAAAACTGATAAGCCCCTTTCTTTAATACAATACTTAAACCTAAAACACTGATATGCACAATTCCACTTAAACAACAATATGAAATAACGGAGACATGAAAATAGATCCCTAGACTATTATTTTTGAGTCAGAAAAATTGATACAGTACAATCACTCTAATAAAGGTGTTTATTGAAATAGAAAACGCAAACAACAGTGTTTTTTACAGTGCATTTAGATCCCAAATTCATGTCTCCATATACTCGAGGAATGTACGTACAGTTATGGCAACATCTGTTTTAAACATTTAAATTGACGTTTGACGTTTCACCCCCACCAAAGTGGATAGGATTTTAAATAGATCACTTTGTTCTTTAAACTATTTTAACACTACAGATATAAATAATAATAATCTTAAATAAAAACTAATGATGTAATGCGATTAAGATCGAGAAAGATTTTTCTACATAATTTTTTGCTTATATTCAGAAAAAACGCTCTTCATATAGAACCATTTTCATACATATACAGTAAATAATACTTAGAGTGAGTATGTACATATCTTCGTGATACATTTTATCTAATATCTACACCAAGACAAGTAATAAGACAGTAAAATATAAACAGAACTGAAAACAGTGTGTAAAAATACATAAAAAGTACTTTTTGGTGGTATTGCTTTTCCCAAAAAACAATTCACTAGTACAGGGTTTTTAATTACTCAAAAAAATGATGTGGTTCTCTCTATAAGAAATGTGTACTGTGCAATATTTTGTCGTAAAGAAAGTGACGAGGTCCTGTACATGTATGAAAATTATTCCAGGTAAATACAATTAAAAATATATCTATAATATAATAAATCATAAATCTAAAACAAAATAATTACAGTTCCGGCTAAAAAAAAGGAACCTATAAATAAACAAAAATATAATAATATATTAACGAATTTATTCAACATATATGTCGAGTTAAAAACAACCCTGCTGTATTTAGAATTTGATACATCGCATAATTTACAGAAAAATACAATATCTTCTAACACCTAAGTTGATTTAACCGACTGGCCTCTTAATTAGGAATCCAAAAACCGACCATACGAATACACTACAATAAGGTACAAAAGGTATTTAGGAGGATTTGGCTTTCTATAACGTGAATATCAAATCAATTGGCTTGTTTTTATCAATGGGAATTTACAAACTATCTTTTAGTACGACACTGCTCTTCAGAACATATTTCAATATTAAAAATAGTTATTTTGTGTTTGTGCCATGCAGTGGGATTGTCATTCGATATTTCTCTCTATTTGATACGTATCATGTCGAGTACGCACATAATAATCTCTGTGCTAAAGCAGGGTGGTACAACTGGAACTACGACTTGTCAGTCGATTTGAAATTCGTAAATTATAAAGACTGCCTACTGTTTAATTTATATGTAAGTATAATCAGTGATTAGAGTGATGTACATTAAGGTTTAAAACAGTGGCGGCATGTCGCCAAAATATTGGGGGTTTACATTAACACAATATAAATCTTAGTACAGATTTAGGTAAACACCTCTCAGTATTTTATAGTATAATATAAACACTGAAAGTTTTTTACCTAAATCTGTTATTGTGACCCCCAATATTTTGGTCAAAGGCCGCCACTGGTTTGAAAACGTCGTTTCTTTACATGGAAAATATTATTATAACATGATTCGAGTCTCTATAATGATTGTTTTATCTTATCGTTAATGGTCTCGAGTACGACCTACAGACAACAAAAAATTGTGATTATCAAGTTATATTATTGACTAGAGTAAGGCTATGTTTAACATAAAGACAGAACAAACAAATAAAGGAATTCTATACAAAGAAAATATAAAGATTAGAGATATATTGCAAATTTAATTAGGGTCAGTCAATATTAGCTCTTATTTGGAGGTACTAGAAAGCTATATTGTTGGTATGTTACCTAAATCAGATGAAATAATGTTATTGGGTGATTTAAATTTGGACCCCTTGAAATCTAATCATAAAACACATCTTCTTCATAGAGGATTTAAAAATAAAGATCTCATTATTACTAATATTATTATATAAGGCATGTGTTTCAAATTAGAAATGCTATTCAAATTTAGCTTCGCAGTCAACGTGTTAAATTTAAATTACCTTAAACTAAAGTATTTTTAATTTACTGGTAAAACAAGGTATGTAAACGGCATAAATATAAATAAAAAACAAATAAATGAACAAATCCTCTATGCGATCCGATTTTTGATGTCATTATTGTCAATTTTATTTCGTCAAATTGGTTATATTGGCCTAGTATAGAATCCCTCTATTGGAAAGAGCCTACGACGAATATAGCTTTAAAATACGTGTTAATTTTACCAACCAAAGTAGTTTACTATAACAGTAACTGTGTCGCAAAATGATTGTTTTTTTTAGCTAACAATAATTTTAAAATTAAAAATGTTATAAAAATAAATGTATGTATAAATATATCATACAGTGATAGAAAATAGATCTATGTATATTTTTAAAGAAGCCACAAACTTCTATCTAATTTTTTAATTATGTTTCCAAAATAAGAAAACAATTTTTAAACTATTTATGACATGATTATTTAGGAAAATTGTAAAACAGGCATCCATTGGAAAAATATTTGATCTTGTTTCATTTCCATGCATAAATTTCTTTTAAACAACTATTTTAACTAACAAAAAAGCTTTTCTACGTTTTCAATTAGTTATTAACCACTAAATCTAATGATACTCCCGCATTGGACATCCTTTCGTACCTTTGTTATGTATTTATCACATTAGAACACGTTATGAAAAAAAATTATGTGATATCACTTTTGTACCGAAATGAAAAAAATTACTGTTACTACTATTCAAAACGGTAAACCTTAGGTTTCGGATCGGCTGTGACTCAATCATCCTTTCTCGAATGCTCTCTCAGCAGATTCAGAGCTTTGTTTCTGAATCTACGTCTAGCCAATTCGGACATCGCCACAGGCCCGAGATGAGCGATTTGCGGTGATGTCGCGATCGCCCTAAACGTGGCAGCAACAGCTTCCTGAAATAAATACTTATTATTTGTTGTTTAAATTAAATAAAAAAGTTTGTTCAATTAGAGAAGGAAATAGCTTCAGTTGAACAGTTTATTATAAAAAAGTTATACGAATTTAAAGTGTCTGACCTTTAGATGCGGTTCGTTTGTAACGGTTGTCCCATCCTCTGGCGTTTGGGGTTGTTTTTTGCGGTGTTGGTGGTGCAAAGTGGACGCGCGTTTCACCCACGGATGTTTCATGATTTGAGCGGCGGTCGGTCGTCGTTCTGGTAAAATATGTAACATGTCGGACACGAGGAGTTTCGCTTCGGTACTCACTTCAGATAGTTTGCCAATCTAAAAAAAAAAATAGTAATAAAAAATACAGTGCCTGTAAAATATTGAGAACAAATCTGAAAAAAAAAAAAAAAAAATATGGGCGATATTTAATTGCGTTTGTCAACGAAAACTTACTAGTTTTATAAATTGTTCCAATCTTAATATTGATGTGTCCAACACATGACTTTTCTATCTAGTAATTACAGGATTTTTCCGTTTATTTAGTATAACCTCTGTAAATATTTAGAGAATGAATTAAATCACACATTTTCCACATACACCTTACGCGAAACATTTTTTTTACATCAACATAACCATTTTCAACGAAAATACTGAAAAATTAAAATTATAGATTTTAGAGAAATAATGTATAAAAACAACTTATATAAAAATTAAAATTTTGCACTTTCTATCAAATTTCTCGAACACGGTCCATTTTAGAAAAATTATGTATAGAACAAAAATTATAGAGAATGGTATTACAAGCAACTTTTATTTAAAGAATTCTCTTTTCCAAGCGTAAATAACAGATATGTTCTGTAAAATAAAGAAACAACCCTCTATAAAGTACCCCCAGATGTTCAGACTATGCCTAAAATTTAATTAGTTCACGGCAGGATGGACAAAAGCTTAAATTTAAAATTTTGTTTTTATCTCTTTAACCGTTTTTTAGTTATAGTCAAAATTCGAAATTTGCACTTTTTCTCAAATATCTCGAATACGGTCCAGTTCAGAGAAATTATGTATAGAACAAATATTACAGAAAATGACATCACAAACAACTTTTATTTGAACAATTTTCTTAAAAATGTAAATTTTACACTTTTTGTAAAATTTCTCGAATACGGACCATTTCAGGAAAATTATGTATAGGACAAAAATTATAGAGAATAACATTACAAGCAACTTTTATTTGAAGAATTTTCTACTCCCAGGTAAATAATAGTTATATTCTATAAAATAAAAAAAACAACCCCCTATAAAGTACCCCCAGATATTCCGTCTGTGCCTAAAATTTAATTAGTTCACGACAGGATGGACAAAAGCTTAAATTTAAAATTTTGTGTTTTTCTCTTTAACCGTTTTTTAGTTATAGTCAAAATTCGAAATTTGTACTTTTTCTCAAATATCTGGAATACGTCCAGTTTAGAGAAAAAAATGTATAAAACAAAAATTACAGAAAATTACATCATAAACAACTTTTATTTGAACAATTTTCTTCAAAATTTAAATTTTACACTTTTTGTAAAATTTTTCGAATACGGACCATTTTAGGAAAATTATGTACAGGACAAAAATTATAGAAAATAACATTACAAGCAACTTTTATTTGAAGAATTTTCTTCTCCCAGCGTAAATAGCAAATATATTCCATAATGTAGAAAAACGACCCCCTATAAAGTACCCCCAGATGTTCCGACTATGTCCCAAATTTTAGCTTCTTGTAGTAGGATTGAATAAAATGGAAGTTTAAAATTTGGTGTTTTTCTCTGCATCCGTTCACGAGTTATCGAGTATACAGGCGCACAGATACACAGACACCATCACGAAAATAGTCAAAACGGATTCAGGGGACCCCAAAACGTGACTCGAGGTCGAAAAAAAAATCATAATTTCTATACTTTCATTATCTGTATTCAGATAGAAAAGTAAATAATACAATAAAAATTTAAATTGTCAACAAACGTCAAATAAAAATAGTAACATTTTTTTCTTCAATTCCAGGGGCGCATATGCGAGGGGGTAATGGGGGGTAAGTACCTACCAAGAAATTTTAAATCTAAATTTTTATAGGTACTATTTACTCTGAGGTACTATTATCAAAAATAAAGTGTTAAATATGACCACTACCCCTCCCCCTGACTTAAAAGTTTATTACCACCAGGAACGACGAGGGAGGGAGGTGTAGGATGTTTTTTCTAGAAATTTCACAAAGAAGGGACCTTTTATAAAAATGCCCCATGGCTATCAGTGGCCCTGATTACCACTATCGCCCCAGACTTAAATTCCGGATGCGCCACTGGTCCATTCAAACACAAATATAAAGTTGAAACGCATTCAATCATATTTTTTAACATAAATAAATGCCTGTAAACAAAACAAATTTATCTTACCTGTAAATCTATTTTGCCCGAACTGATCCTCTGCAATATCTTCTGCGGACTGTCGTTGGACGTCGTACTAAACGGGCATCTGCCCGACATCATGATGTAGAGGATGACGCCTAACGACCAGATATCGCACGCGGCGTCGTACCCTTGTCGTTTCAACACTTCGGGCGCCACGTAATTGGCCGTGTAACAGGGAGTCATCAAGAGGCCGTTTTCCGCTCTCAACTGCAAACGATTTTCATATTTTTAATCAACTTACACTAATAATTTCTCATAATAACAACTGATAATAATAATAATAATGTCTTTATTATTTCTATAAAAATCCAAAACAAAATATAAATATTTTATAATAAAACCAAATACAGAAATAATGGGCGAAGTTCATCCTTTGTTTCGTACATTAATTCTGTTGGCAAGCTTGTCATATTTTGTCATTGCCTTTTTAGTGTAATGCAAATATGAAAAAATCAAACATTTTGATGATACTTCCGTTTGCATAAGAAAAGGGCATAGTTCCTTAGAATAAAAAATAAAATTGATACACCAAAGTTAAAAGAATATGAAATTAATTATAAAATAAAGCAAAAAATAAATAAAATGGAATATTTTTTTTTATTTCGCGTGCTGATACTGTCTTAAATATATTTATTTACAATACACCAGCATTTACAGATTTATCAATACTTCCTAGACGAATAATTAGCGATATACAAACGATTTCAGCTCCATTTTCCGGCTTATATGATTAGATATCTCTAATGAACATAATTAAGAACATATCCTGTAAAAATACTTATATTCTTAATTTAGACAGCGCCCGAGAAAAACATGATTTCCAATAAGTTATTATTGTTAATTCTTATTTCGTCTTTTGCGATAAAATTCGCAGAAAGTAGAGCAGTCGCTGTTAAACATCAATTTCACAGTGATGCCATTCAAACGCATTGGCCAGAAATTAAAAGTAACAAGTCCGATAACGAAGGACAACAAGAGGATGATCCTGATTTTATGGTGAGCATTTTTTTTAAATAAATTAATTTTTATTTACTATTTGTTTTAAATACGGTTATGTTGCAAAAATAGTGCTTAAAATCGCGGAATCAAGTATTCATAAAAGTTGACGTTTTGACCTATATATTTAATGGATCAATAGCGTTGCCTATTATAAACGCACAGCGTCTTACACATTTATTCATTGATAAAAAAAAAATGTGTCTGCGTAAAATTCTTCTCTTTATCCCCTCTCTTACTTCTCACCTTTCGTCTCCTCGCCCCGTCCGTACAAATACAGTGTATTGATTGTCGAATAAATCTTGGCATCGTGAATATTATATTTTATCAATGACTGGCTATATCTCTGATATCTCTGGTGAAAACTATTTATCAAATTTGCTACAATTTCCAATAAATTTAAACTTTCTGTTTTCAGAGAAAAACGTTGAGAAAATTCGGAGAAATGGCCAGCAAAATAGGAAATTCAGTTGGATCGGGAACAACCATAATTACAAATGCCATCGATAAAGTATGTGAAGTCGTCAAAACGATTATACCGCTATTGACGGCGGTGTGCCACGTGGGACAGTTCAAATTTTGCGCGGCCACTACCGGCGCTCCGGAGGAACTAAACCAAGCCCTAACTTCGGGATATAAGGAACTTCAGCTCAATATTCCAGATTAAAAATCTTTCAATGATAAACAATATTTTATAGGAAAATCAAAATTAGTAGCTTGTAATGTTTTATAAAAAATAAATAACTATACCTGTTTGGCAAAACCCATATCACAGATTGTAACACTTTCGGGGGTTAAATCTTCGGAGGCGAAAAGAATATTAGCGGGTTTCAGATCCCTGTGGACGACTCCGTTATCGTGCAAATACGCTATCGTCGATGCTAGCGATTTTAAGATGGCAGCTGATTCGAATTCCGATAATGCTTTCTACAAACCAAAAGCAATTCATTCAATTTTTTTACACTTCTTCCAAATAGAAATGTTATTAAATACCTTTGCGTTCATGTAATCCAACAAATCACCCCCTTTGAGCAGTTGAAGCACCAAATAGATTTTGTTCGTATCTTCGTAGACGGTTTTTAATGTAACGATACCAGGATGCTTTCCATATCTCAATAAAATTTCCACTTCTTCTCTGCAACCGCATAGGGATTTATCCACTATCTGCAATGCAAATTTTGTTAATTTTGGTAAATGTGGACAACGATTTTGATCAGTATGACAAGTAAGAATTCAACTTTGACCCTCTCTAACTTCAACACCTGTTAAAATTTAACAATTGTGTTTGTAAAATTATGTTTCTACACTTTTTAAAAATGTTTTCTCAAATTTTGAAGTTTATAAATCTATTAGTTTGGAAATAGTGACGAAATAAAGGCTCCAATGTCAAAATTTATGACAAGTAAGAATTCAACTTTGACCCTCTCTAACTTCAACACCTGTTAAAATTGAACAATTTTGTTTGTAAAATTATGTTTCTACACTTTTTAAAAATGTTTTCTCAAATTTTGAAGTTTATAAATCTATTAGTTTGGAAATAGTGACGAAATAAAGGCTCCAATGTCAAATTTATGACAAGTAAGAATTCAACTTTGACCCTCTCTAACTTCAACACCTGATAAAATTGAACAATTTTGTTTGTAAAATTATGTTTCTACACTTTTTAAAAACGTTTTCTCAAATTTTGAAGTTTATAAATCTATTAGTTTGGAAATAGTAACGAAATAAAGGCACCAATGTCAAATTTATAACAAGTAAGAATTCAACTTTGACCCTCTCTAACTTCAACACCTGTTAAAATTTAACAATTTTGTTTGTAAAATTATGTTTTTACACTTTTTAAAAATGTTTTCTCAAATTTTGAAGTTTATAAATCTATTAGTTTGAAAATAGTGACGAAATAAAGGCTCCAATGTCAAATTTATGACAAGTAAGAATTCAACTTTGACCCTCTCTAACTTCAACACCTGTTAAAATTTAACAATTTTGTTTGTAAAATTATGTTTCTACACTTTTTAAAAATGTTTTCTCAAATTTTGAAGTTTATAAATCTATTAGTTTGGAAATAGTGACGAAATAAAGGCTCCAATGTCAAAATTTATGACAAGTAAGAATTCAACTTTGACCCTCTCTAACTTCAACACCTGTTAAAATTGAACAATTTTGTTTGTAAAATTATGTTTCTACACTTTTTAAAAATGTTTTCTCAAATTTTGAAGTTTATAAATCTATTAGTTTGGAAATAGTGACGAAATAAAGGCTCCAATGTCAAATTTATGACAAGTAAGAATTCAACTTTGACCCTCTCTAACTTCAACACCTGATAAAATTGAACAATTTTGTTTGTAAAATTATGTTTCTACACTTTTTAAAAATGTTTTCTCAAATTTTGAAGTTTATAAATCTATTAGTTTGGAAATAGTAACGAAATAAAGGCACCAATGTCAAATTTATAACAAGTAAGAATTCAACTTTGACCCTCTCTAACTTCAACACCTGTTAAAATTTAACAATTTTGTTTGTAAAATTATGTTTTTACACTTTTTAAAAATGTTTTCTCAAATTTTGAAGTTTATAAATCTATTAGTTTGAAAATAGTGACGAAATAAAGGCTCCAATGTCAAATTTATGACAAGTAAGAATTCAACTTTGACCCTCTCTAACTTCAACACCTGTTAAAATTTAACAATTTTGTTTGTAAAATTATGTTTCTACACTTTTTAAAAATGTTTTCTCAAATTTTGAAGTTTATAAATCTATTAGTTTGGAAATAGTGACGAAATAAAGGCTCCAATGTCAAATTTATGACAAGTAAGAATTCAACTTTGACCCTCTCTAACTTCAACACCTGTTAAAATTTAACAATTTTGTTTGTAAAATTATGTTTCTACACTTTTTAAAAATGTTTTCTCAAATTTTGAAGTTTATAAATCTATTAGTTTGGAAATAGTAACGAAATAAAGGCACCAATGTCAAATTTATAACAAGTAAGAATTCAACTTTGACCCTCTCTAACTTCAACACCTGTTAAAATTGAACAATTTTGTTTGTAAAATTATGTTTCTACACTTTTTACTTTCCTATCTGTATACAGATATAAGGAAAGTATAGGAATCATGATTTTTTTCGACCTCGAGTTTTCGACGGATTTTTACGTTTTGAGGTCCCCTGAATCCGTTTTGACTATTTTCGCGATGATGTCTGTGTGTGTGTGTGTGTGTGTCTGTGTGTGTGTCTGTATAACGCATAACTCATGAACCGATACACAGAAAAACACCAAATTTTAAACTTAAGCTTTGTTTCAGCGTCCAATGAACAATTTTGTTTGTAAAATTATGTTTCTACACTTTTTAAAAATGTTTTCTCAAATTTTGAAGTTTATAAATCTATTAGTTTGGAAATAGTGACGAAATAAAGGCTCCAATGTCAAATTTATGACAAGTAAGAATTCAACTTTGACCCTCTCTAACTTCAACACCTGTTAAAATTGAACAATTTTGTTTGTAAAATTATGTTTGTACACTTTTTAAAAATGTTTTCTCAAATTTTGAAGTTTATAAATCTATTAGTTTGGAAATAGTAACGAAATAAAGGCACCAATGTCAAATTTATAACAAGTAAGAATTCAACTTTGACCCTCTCTAACTTCAACACCTGTTAAAATTTAACAATTTTGTTTGTAAAATTATGTTTTTACACTTTTTAAAAATGTTTTCTCAAATTTTGAAGTTTATAAATCTATTAGTTTGAAAATAGTGACGAAATAAAGGCTCCAATGTCAAATTTATGACAAGTAAGAATTCAACTTTGACCCTGTCTAACTTCAACACCTGTTAAAATTGAACAATTTTGTTTGTAAAATTATGTTTCTACACTTTTTAAAAATATTTCCTCAAATTTTAAAGTTTATAAATCTATTAGTTTGGAAATAGTGACGAAATAAAGGCTCCAATGTCAAATTTATGACAAGTAAGAATTCAACTTTGACCCTCTCTAACTTCAACACCTGTTAAAATTGAACAATTTTGTTTGTAAAATTATGTTTCTACACTTTTTAAAAATGTTTTCTCAAATTTTGAAGTTTATAAATCTATTAGTTTGGAAATAGTAACGAAATAAAGGCACCAATGTCAAATTTATAACAAGTAAGAATTCAACTTTGACCCTCTCTAACTTCAACACCTGTTAGAATTGAACAATTTTGTTTGTAAAATTATGTTTCTACACTTTTTAAAAATGTTTTCTCAAATTTTGAAGTTTATAAATCTATTAGTTTGGAAATAGTAACGAAATAAAGGCACCAATGTCAAATTTATAACAAGTAAGAATTCAACTTTGACCCTCTCTAACTTCAACACCTGTTAAAATTTAACAATTTTGTTTGTAAAGTTATGTTTCTACACTTTTTAAAAATGTTTTCTCAAATTTTGAAGTTTATAAATCTATTAGTTTGGAAATAGTGACGAAATAAAGGCTCCAATGTCAAATTTATGACAAGTAAGAATTCAACTTTGACCCTCTCTAACTTCAACACCTGTTAAAATTTAACAATTTTGTTTGTAAAATTATGTTTCTACACTTTTTAAAAATGTTTTCTCAAATTTTGAAGTTTATAAATCTATTAGTTTGGAAATAGTAACGAAATAAAGGCACCAATGTCAAATTTATAACAAGTAAGAATTCAACTTTGACCCTCTCTAACTTCAACACCTGTTAAAATTGAACAATTTTGTTTGTAAAATTATGTTTCTACACTTTTTAAAAATGTTTTCTCAAATTTTGAAGTTTATAAATCTATTAGTTTGGAAATAGTAACGAAATAAAGGCACCAATGTCAAATTTATAACAAGTAAGAATTCAACTTTGACCCTCTCTAACTTCAACACCTGTTAAAATTGAACAATTTTGTTTGTAAAATTATGTTTCTACACTTTTTAAAAATATTTCCTCAAATTTTAAAGTTTATAAATCTATTAGTTTGGAAATAGTGACGAAATAAAGGCTCCAATGTCAAATTTATGACAAGTAAGAATTCAACTTTGACCCTCTCTAACTTCAACACCTGTTAAAATTGAACAATTTTGTTTGTAAAATTATGTTTCTACACTTTTTAAAAATGTTTTCTCAAATTTTGAAGTTTATAAATCTATTAGTTTGGAAATAGTAACGAAATAAAGGCACCAATGTCAAATTTATAACAAGTAAGAATTCAACTTTGACCCTCTCTAACTTCAACACCTGTTAGAATTGAACAATTTTGTTTGTAAAATTATGTTTCTACACTTTTTAAAAATGTTTTCTCAAATTTTGAAGTTTATAAATCTATTAGTTTGGAAATAGTAACGAAATAAAGGCACCAATGTCAAATTTATAACAAGTAAGAATTCAACTTTGACCCTCTCTAACTTCAACACCTGTTAAAATTTAACAATTTTGTTTGTAAAATTATGTTTTTACACTTTTTAAAAATGTTTTCTCAAATTTTGAAGTTTATAAATCTATTAGTTTGAAAATAGTGACGAAATAAAGGCTCCAATGTCAAATTTATGACAAGTAAGAATTCAACTTTGACCCTCTCTAACTTCAACACCTGTTAAAATTTAACAATTTTGTTTGTAAAATTATGTTTCTACACTTTTTAAAAATGTTTTCTCAAATTTTGAAGTTTATAAATCTATTAGTTTGGAAATAGTGACGAAATAAAGGCTCCAATGTCAAATTTATGACAAGTAAGAATTCAACTTTGACCCTCTCTAACTTCAACACCTGTTAAAATTTAACAATTTTGTTTGTAAAATTATGTTTCTACACTTTTTAAAAATGTTTTCTCAAATTTTGAAGTTTATAAATCTATTAGTTTGGAAATAGTAACGAAATAAAGGCACCAATGTCAAATTTATAACAAGTAAGAATTCAACTTTGACCCTCTCTAACTTCAACACCTGTTAAAATTGAACAATTTTGTTTGTAAAATTATGTTTCTACACTTTTTAAAAATGTTTTCTCAAATTTTGAAGTTTATAAATCTATTAGTTTGGAAATAGTGACGAAATAAAGGCTCAAATGTCAAATTTATGACAAGTAAGAATTCAACTTTGACCCTCTCTAACTTCAACACCTGTTAAAATTGAACAATTTTGTTTGTAAAATTATGTTTCTACACT